TATCTCTATGCACAGGGATCACTCCTGGTAGTGCTTAAGGAACCATAAGGGATCAAACCAAGGTTGGCTACAGGCAAGGTAAGTACTATCTCTTCACTGTACTATTTCTTCAGCCCTCTTTATTAAAATGATGGTTTTGGTTTTGGGGTCACATCTGTTGAGGCTCAGGAGTGAGTCCTGCCACTGAACTCAGGAATTACTCCTGGCAATGTTTGAGGACCATATGTGATTCTGGGAAATTAAAATCAGGCTGGCCATGTGCAAGGCAAGCGCCAGATCCACTGAACTATCAGCTCTTATTTTTAAACCCAATTTTATTTTAGTGATTTTTCTGGAATGACTGGAAAAAAATCACCTTGGTTGGAAAATTTCTCTGAAAAGAAGAAAAGACTAAATTCTGAATCAGAAGTATATGGACCATTAAAATATCAACAGGTCTATTTTAAAATTCAAACAAAAATACTAAGTTATATAACACTCAAAGAATTATATGAAAGAAAGAATGGATCCTTTCTGTTCCCTGGCTGTAAAAAAAAAAAAAAAAAAAAAAAAGATCAACTAGTCAACAGACTCAGATGTCATGAAATCAAAGGATATTTGCTGCCACCTGCTGGATATCAAGCAGTAGGCACAAAACAAAGGTTTGGTTTCAGTTTACCAGAGGGGGGGAAAAATGGGGGGGGGGTGGTTGGGAGGTGGTGTCAGTTTGAGCCACACCCTGCTATCATCAGGGTGACTCCTGGCTCTGTGATCAGGAATTATTCCTGGAGGTGCTAGAGGGACTGTATAGGATGCTGGGGATTGAACCCCGGTTGGCCACATGCAAGGCAAGTGCCATACCTGCTGTACTCTATGGCTCCTAGAAATTATTTTAAATAACTGTATATAATGATGAGTTAAAAGAAAATCTAAAAGTACAGGTCTCGGCACATTCCATTTTGTAATCTCCAGCATCCCTCTTGGGTGTAATTTCTTTCTTTTACTTTATTTCATGGCCTCTCTCTGATCTCTTGGAAAAGTCTAGATTCACTCTTAAATGTCTTATTGTTTCCCTCGTCCCATTTAGTAAAGTTTCATTATTTCAAAAAGTAAATAAATGAAAGTACAGGTTCTGAAGCAAAGACCTGAACATTCCAAAACAAAGTAGAAGTTTTGATTCCGGCATCTGGTGCTTCAAAAGCATTAAATAAACAATGATACATACAAACCCCCAAATAGAAAAACTAGAATGAATAATAATTTTATGACCAGGGCCAGAGCAATAGTAGAGTGGGTAGGATGTCTGCTTGCATGCAGCAGACCTGGGTTCAATCCCTAAGCATCTCATATGGTTCACCTAGCACTGCCAGGAGTAATTCCTGAGTGCAAAGCCAGGAGTAACTCCTGAGCACTGCAAAGTATGATCCAAAAAGTGTGTGTGCGTGTGTGTGTGTATATATATATTTCCAAGATTTTAAATTAAATAGAATGAAAACAGTCTGACAAATAGTTTATATCTTTGAGCAGACATTAACACAAACTCAAGAGAGCTGGAAAATGCAAAGACCATGTTAAAAATGGAGCAAGGGTCAAAGTGACAGTATAATCAGTGGGTGAGGTTCTTGGGTATAATCAGTGGGCAAGAACCTTACCTTCAATGCAGTCTACCCTAGGTGGATCCCTGGTACCACATAAGGTCCCTGTGTCCCACTAAAGGCTAGGAGTAAGCTAAGCCCTGAAAAACAGCTGGGTATGGGCTCAAAAGGAGGGGGGAGGGGGCCAGGAAAGAAAAGAAACACAAAGATCTAAGATGCCAGGTAATCTGTACTGCATCTTTTAGGAAGATAAGATCCAATCGCCAGTTTCTTTGAGACTTCAAACACTAAGCAAGCACTGAGCAGCAGTTCTTTTAAGTTCTATTTCACTAAATATTGTGTTAGTTCTGACAGATATGCCTCTGTAGTGAGTACCTCAGAACAGAAGGGAAGAAAACAACTATAATCCTTCAGTGCCTAAAAAATTCCAAAACAAATTAAAACATAGTACTTGTTAACCAAGCGTGATACTTCCTAATCACTATGAAATTAAAATGAATTATTTTAGGAAGAACTCAGTGATGGGTAACTTGCCTTCTATGTGTCCAGTCCTGGATTAATTCCTGGCACCAAATAAACAGATAACAACAACAAAGTAATTGTTTTATATCTTTTCCGGTTTTGATTTTGTTATTATTAGTGTAAAATTAAGCACAGGAAATTTTACTTTAATAGAATCAAACCCCCTTCTTAGTGGCTAATTTGTACACTCCAATATTATGGGAATTATTAAAGTACTTTTTTTTTTCCCGGCTTTTTGGGTCACATCCGGCGATGCTTGGGGGTTACTCCTGGCTCTGCACTCAGGAATCACTCCTGGCAGTGCTCAGGGGACTAAATGGGATGCTGGTAATTGAACCCGGGTTAGCCGCGTGCAAGGCAAAAGCCCTACCCGCTGTGCTAATGCCCCAGCCCCTAAAGTACGTTTTTAAAAACCTTTTAAAAATACTGCTTTGCAAAAATCAGTTACTTCACAAATAGTTTAATTTAAAAAATCACAGAAGTCACAAATATTGGTATAGAACTATCTGCAACCAGGCATGCATATGCTGCCCAAGCACATGTAACCCACATCTCCCCTCTTGAGATATGGACTTTCATACTTTAATGTTGGAATGTGTACTGGGACTCTTTCTCCACTCTGGAGAAGGAAGGAGGGCAGGAGGGGGAACGGGGAGGAGAGGGCACAGGAGGGGAAGGGGATGGGAGAGGAGGAGACCAGAGGAGAGAAGAGGAGGAAAGATCAATCTCCAACTAGGGTCGGAGTAATAGTATAGGGGATAGGGCATTGGTCTTGCATGCAGCTGATCCGGGTTTGATTCCTGGCACCCCAAGCTTGCTAGGAGTGATCTCTGAGCACAAAGCCAGGAGTAAGCCCTGAGCACAGCTGGATATGGCCCAAAACCAAACCAAACCAAAAAGGAATTCCCAAACCTCATTTAAAAAAAGAAAAAGAGTGATAGGACAGCAAGTAGGGCATTTGCCTTGTAGGCAGCTGACCTGAGTTCTAATCCCCAGCATCCCATATGGTCCCCAAGCACCGCCAAGAGTAATTCCTGAGTGCAGAGCCAGGAGCATTGCTACGTGTGACTCTCCCACCCCCCCCACCCCCCACCAAAAAATAGGGAAAAGAAATATCTCCAAGGCAATGGGGAGTAAATAACTGTTATATAAAATCATTGTGGGGAAAAAAAAGAAAGTGCAAACTCTTTCCCTCATTTCCAACTCTAATTCTGTTACATACAGATGTGCAAGAAAAGGCCTACAAGGATGATTGCATATACAACAAAGGGTTGTGTAAGCAGGCTAGGCACGGTATAGTGTTTAAGATTTGCTTATATTTAAATATGCTGTGTACATATATGTTTATATGTTTATTTCATGTGGAGTAGTTTTTAAAAAATAAACAGTTCATCACTCTACATACCTGGTGCTGAATTTATTCCAGGTATTTTTATCATGGTAAAAAACAATGTGTGTGGGCTGGAGCAATAGCACAGGGGGTACGGCGTTTGCCTTGCACGCGGTCAACCCACGTTCGATTCCCAGCATTCCATGTGGTCCCTTGAGCACCACCAGGAGTGATTTCTGAGTGCAAAGCCAGGAGTAACCCCTGAGCATTGCCGGTGTGACCCAAAAAGCAAAACAAACAAACAAACAAAAAAAAGTATGTGTATATATATGTATATATATATGCATACACACATGTATAAATACATATACATATATATATATTAAATCACTGAGCTTCAAATACGAAGTGGGAAAGCCTACTTCATAGGAAATAGAACAGGTAGTAATTACTTTCACTATGAAAATCTATCTTGAATAAAACTTACAAAAAGACAAATGAATCCAAGATTTATAATTAACATCTCACAGTAGTTATGTGGCTATATATCATTTTAAAATAGTCACTTTTCCTTATAAATTAAAAAATGTAAAAGTGCCATTATTCGGGCTGGGGAGTAGTACAAGTGGGGTGCTTGCTGCACATGGCCAACCCAGTTCAATCCCCACCTGTGTGCCATGAGCCCTGCCGGAGTGATCTCTGAGCAGTCAGGAATAAACACTGCCTGAGCACAGCTGGGTGGGGCCCACAAAGAAACAGACAAAATGTCATTATTGTGAGTAGAGTAGAAACTTAAAAAAATTATTCTTCTAGATATTGGTATATAGTATGAAATGAGACTGCATGTAATTTACCGGTAAGAAAATTGGTTATCTTTCTAGATTTGAAATAGCTAGAAGTATATGTAAAACCTTAAAACTCACACATACACCTGTTCTTCTCATCTTATTGGTACACGAACTGAACCTAAGGAAATAAGTACAAAAGGATACATGTACCAGATACTACTGTTTTAATTTATAATAGCAAGTTATGGGAGAGAAGTCAAAGTTCACCAATAAAGGATCAGTTAATAAGTTACAGTATAAACAAATAGCTATTAAGTGCTTAATTTCCGAAAAATGGTTAAGGGTATTAAAAATAACTTCATAGTACACAAGAGTAAAATGATTAGAAGAAAGAACAGCATATAAATTCTGATTTCATGAATGGGGGAAAAAATACATATCCCAAAGAAAGTGGAAAGACACCAAATACTCAAATATTTAACATTTCTGGGTATAGCTTATAAGTGTTCTTTGGCTTTCTATTTTTTTTTAAACTTTTTAGTTTCTCCCATTTTTTGTTTTTTTTTTCTAGGAAGTATCTATTACTTTACGGGAGGGGGGAATCAATAGTACTTGCAGAAAAAAGACCCACAAAAAGCATAAAATTATACTTTTTCATTCTTCTCATTTTTAAACTATTTCTTCTCATTTTTAAACTATTAAGAATGATATCTAAATCTTTGATTTTAAAAAATGCAGGGAGATTCTTTTATTTAGTAATAAAAATATTTATCAAATACAAAAGGGTAGAAATATTGCTTTATTTGAGAAACTTACATCCAAATTACTTTCATGTGTTTTAAAAAGTCCTAATGAGCATCCAAGAAGAAAACATGTATAGCTTCCACAGGAATAAGGACAAAACAAGGGAGTTGATAATTACCCCCAAAAGTATTTCCTAAAAGAAAAAACGTAGTATTTAACCTTTCTTCTCTTCAGGCAAGGTAAGTGAACTACACACATCATAAATAAAGTTTTCTTACTTTACAAGGCAGAAGGACTGTGATCCTGTTTTGATGTCTATCATATACAAATACAAAATCCACTCTTCTGATCAAGGTGAGGGGGAGAAACCATTCTTTAACAATTCTTATGCAATGAAATCCAAAGGTCTGTTGAATCCGCCTTTTCGATTCATGTACTGCCTATGGGAAAAGAGAAGATTATTTTTAAATATTTCAATATGCACGGTCACGGTCCTCCCATTGTTCATCGATTTGCTCGAGCGGGCCCAGTACCGTCTCCATCTTTAAAATTTTCTGAGCTCCTCTCATTAATTACATGCTCTGACACCCTTCAACATCAACTTTCCAGGGGCAAAGCTTAGAGTATAAAGTCTTCAAGATTATACAGGGTTCAGTAAGGGAGTCTTTAACTTTCATTCTGAGAAGTCTTGGCCTCCTATGTGCAAAGTATGTATTGTACCGGAGCTACATCCCTGTCACTTACAAAAAGCCCCGGAAACTCATTTATTTTATGAAACAATAAACACCCATTTTAAGGAAACATTTCCAAAGTAGTCAACCATCAAGTGCATCCACTAGGGTGCTTAATGTGTCAGGAATCGAACAAGGGCTACAATGGCCATGGCTGCATCCACATGCAAAGTAAGCACCTTAACCTTTGTACTATCTCTCTGTAATCTATCTCTGTATCTATCTGTATTTATTGCTCTATCTATCTCTCTGTACTCTATGAATCTATCTCTTTGTACTGTATCTCTGGTCCAACATGCAGCATTTTCCAAATACAGGATGCATAACTAAGTTAACCAGAATACTAGACTTAGTAGTGATATAGGTAAAGGTTAAAACAATGCCTGACCGGCTGTTTCACTCAGGTGAGGCCCCTTCCCATCCCAAGGGACCCAGCCGCGGCAGCCGAAAACCTCCAGAATTCAATCACCACCATTCTCACGGCCGCTCTCCACACTTGGGCCGAGCCTCACCCATGAGCGAACCTATTCCTGGACCTCATACCACCCATTCTCCAAGAGTAGTACCACACCACATTTTATAGGGTTTAAAGTAGGAGGCAACCAATCTTAGAAGGAAATATTTTTTACATATATATATATATATAAATAAAAGCACACAAGGCTCAACCTTTAACAACATGTTAGTGATTTCTTATAGAAGGGCTTATTGGCTCCTGAGTGAAATACAACAATCTTCACACACTTTCCTCTAAGGAAAATTTTTGGGGGCATTTTCAGCAGTTTTTCATAACAAACAATACAAAATTAATTATTTTGGTTCCTATTTGGGGCTTAGTTGGGGTTCAGGATGGAAACATCCGAAATATGGTGGTGGGAAGATATAATGGTGATGGGATTGGTGTTCAAGCATTAAATGTAATCAAATTGTGAACTACTTTGTAAAATAAAAAAATTTTGAAAAAAATCAAACAATGCCCAATTTCTTTTCCATTCATTAGGAATTAAGTAATTTCCTTTTCTTTTCTTTCTTTTTTTTTTTGAGAGGCATCTCCAGTGATCCTTGGAAGCCAGGGAACACTCCTGGCAATATATGCTAAAGCAGTGAGGGCCTGGTGAATCAGTGCAGAGACTGATATACTGGGGCCACTGGGACCTCTTCAGCAATGTTTGGGATTGGCGCCACTCCTGGGGTACTCAGGGGTCACCAGGGTGACCCATACAGCAGTGTATGGGTCATGCTATGCTGGGGACCGATCTTGTGGTGCATGGATGACATGAGCTCCTGTTCTCTGAGCTATCTTCTTGGTTCCACAGTGAGGCTTCAAGTATGGATCAGTTTGTTTTGTGGTATTAATAAAACTTTCAATAAGTATATACATAACAGGATATAGCTACAGCTGAAATCTATATACATAGTTTTTTTTTTTTTAAGTCTGGGCTCAGGGCTTACTCCTGGTTCTGTGCTCAGGTGTCACTCCTGATGGGACTTGCGGGACCCTATTAAGTATCAGGGATCAAACCTGGGTTAGCAACATAACAGGCAAAATACTGTACCCTCAGGCCCCCTGAAATATATTTTAAATTTCTAACTATAATGAAACCAAATCCTAAAGACTAAAACATTTGTTTTGTGGAATGTATACATCAACACCAAGGTCTCACAAAGAAAATTAAAACAAGGGATGGAGTCTGGGGATGTGGCTCAATGGTAGTGTGAAAGCCCTGCATATTGGAAGCCCTGGATTGGATCTCTGGCACTGTATTTAAAACAAAACAAATAAAAAAGCATATTAACTGTTAAAAATAAAACACACACACACACACACACACACACACACACACACACAAACCCTGCTACATTCCTAAAAACACAATTATCTGAAAATAAATTCTTTCCCAACCACATAATTTATATCATCAGTTCCAACCCCTCAATGTGGGTTTTGCATACCTGTACTTCCTCTTCTGGGACACATTGATGGCATAGGCATTTACAGAGCCATCCACCTTTTTCCCCTATGGAAAAGCAGTAAGCAAATATAAAAATCAAGTATGACGTTTTAAATGCTCAAAGAGTTTGATCCGAAAACAAACAAAAATGGCAAGATCATTTCTGAAACTAGTAGTTCAATGAAAGAAAAGAGAAATTTTCAGATCCTGATGTTATTTCACCAACTCCAAGCACTCACAATTTGATAATCATACATAAAGTAGGCAGCTGATATAATATCCAAATGAATAGACATTCATGCTATGTGTATTATGGGCAAAACAATCACAAATCATCCTGTTATTCGTCGATTGCCTCCAGCAGGCCCCAGTAACGTCTCCTTCATCCTAGCCCTGAGATTATATTCAAGGCTCTTTAGGAGAATGAGACCCATCATTGTTACTGGTATTTGGCATATTGGGTATGCCACAGGGAGGTTGCCAGACTCTGCCGTGTGGGCAGGCTACATTCGGTAGCCTGCCAGTTTGTCCAAAGTAGGAATGAGATAATAAGATGTCATACTGGTTTTTATAGTCTCTGAGTCTTGGCCGTTGATGGGATTACACGGCGCCAGGGGGCTAGTTGGTGGGTGTGACTTGTGATTGTGATTTGTGATTGTATTATGGGCAAGGCCTGTAGGGGAACAAATTCTTTGAAACCAAATACATGTTAGGGCTATATTCTCTAGAGAAACTCACATTCAGTAAAGTTTACTATATGACCTCAGTAAGCATTCTTAACGAAGAGCTGAAACAGTCACCATCGAAATCACTTTTTGGCACTGGTGTTGCTATTTTGACTTTTATATAAAGGTAAAGGTAAAGGCCCTCCTGTTGTTCATTGATTTGCTCGAGCGGGCCCAGTAACGTCTCCATTGGAGACTTTGTTGTTACTGTGTCTGGCATATCAAATACTCTTGGTAGCTTGCCGGGCTCTCCGAGAGGGGCGGAGGAATCGAACTCGGGTCGGCCATGTTGGCTGCGTGCAAGGCAAACGCCCTACCGCTGAGCTATCGCTCCAGACTTTTATATAAAGAATCAGAATACAAAATTATATTTTTATAATAACAAACTGCACTGCACTGCCCTCCCTTTGTTCATCGATTTGCTCGAGTGGGCCCAGTAACTTCTCCATCGTGAGACCTGTGCAGGTGAGATACTCTTGGTAGCTTGCCGGGCTATAATATATAGAAATAATATTTTGCTGATACTTACGTCCTTTATATCTTGATTTATGTGACCCATTTACATTGTTTTACCTATTTTTTAAATTCCTTTATAGCTCTCCTAACCTAATCAACTTAGCTAACCTATTGCCTCATGCTACTGCTCATGTCTGTACCTCTTTCCCAATGCTCTCCAATTTTATTCTTGGAATGGTCGTCATTTATTTTTCAAAGCCCAATTCAAATGATCCAGTAGCTAAAAAGTACACATTTCTTTCCATGAAGTATTTGTGCCTTCCTTACCATACCCTCTATTTTCTACCTGGTATTATCATGGTATATATATAAATATTTTCTCCATGAGACAGTTCTTGAAAGAGGAATGCAGTTTCACATCTGCAGCAATCAATGCTTCACACACACTCCCATTCCCCCTATTGTAACTCATGGGACATCGGTAAACAAAGATTCTTTTCTTCTTTTGGTTTTGGTGTCAAATCTAGTGGTATTTTCAGGGCTGATCATGCCTCACAGTGCTTGGGGGACCTTATGTGGTTTTGGAGACTGACTCAGAGCCACTGCAAGGCAAGAACTTTACTCTCTATACTCTATCTCCAGCTCTCCAAAAAGAATTCAAAATAAATACACAACAGGTAAAAGGGTGAGGGATATTTAAAGTGATTAAAATGAATATATTTATCTTATTTTTTGTTTTGGGGCCACACCTGGCAATGCTCAGAGGATACTCATGGCGGTGTTTGGGCCCCCATGTGGGATCCTAGGGATTGAACCTAAGTGCCAGGGAAGCACCCTACCCACTGTGCTATCTCTCTGGCCTGATCTCATTTTTATATACCCGTTTTTCATTACATTTGGGGGGAGAGTGGTATTACTGAATAAATTATTTGAGGTATAGGATCTTTCTTTGTTTTTGGCCACACCCAGCAGTGCGCAGGACTTACTTCTGGGCTCTATGCTCAGGGATCACTCTTAGAGGTGGTAGGGGGACCACATCCAGTAATAGGTTTCAGACCTGGGTTAGCATCATGCAAGGCAAGTTCCTTTCTCACTTGTGCTATCTCTCCAGTCCCAAGGTATAGAATTTTGACCATGCAAGAACATAAAGTAGGGGGGTAAAGAGATAGTACAGAGGGAAGAGTGCATGTCATGCAACGTAGCCAACCCAGATTCAATCCCCCACATCCTCTATGGTTTCCCTAAACAATGCCAGGAGTTAATTCCTGAGTGCAAAGCCAGGAATAACCCCTGAACATAACATGGCTGGGTATGTCCCCTCCCCCCCGAATAAAATTTGGGGGGAGGACATACCAAAAAAAAGCCCAAAACAACCAAAAAACCCCAAAAACACAGAAGGTAGGTAGGACCTTAAAAACAGGCTTAGAAGAGGGTATGGTGCCGCCAACAGGTCAATCTGTACCTGTGAGGCGAGTGTATCAGCAGCCTGATGGCACCTTCAGACTTCCAGATACCCCAAAATTGCTGCTGTTCCTTTGGCCACACAACAAAAACTTGGGGCAAAGTTTACCAGAAAAGTAAACAGCCAAAAGTTAGGTTTGTGGGAGACACACCCACAAAACACCTCTGGTTCAGCTATATAATTGGAGGCATGGCCTCTCTGGTTCCTGATCGAAATGCTTAACGGCCATGATCCCAGAGACTCAGAAATGAATCTTGGAATCCAAAGGCTTTTGGCAGAAATGCATCCTGTGCCTGCAGTAGGTTACTGATGCTGGGCCACCCCAGGTGGGAATAGGTTTCGTGCCTTGGCCTGTTTGTTCCCCCTGGCGGCCCGATGGCCGCCATCCTCTAGAGGCCACTGGACAGTCAGGTTTGGGCCCGCAGTGACGAGACACGTGGGGCCTCACAGGATGGGGTTGGAGCTGGCCCTTTCCTCCCCACCCCAAGGAGACCCCAAGTTGCCACCCATGAACGGCTTCTCTAGCTCCTGATCAAACTGCTTAATGGCCATGATCCCAGAGACTCAGAAACAAATCTCAAAACCCAGCGGCTTTTGGCAGAAATGCGTCCGGACCACGCAGTAGGTCACTGTTGCCGGGCCACCCCAGGAGGAAAAGGGTGCTGTTCCTCCACCTGCTCCCCCTTGGCGGTTCGGTGGCTGCCATCCTCCAAAGGCCTTTGGACAGTCAGGTTTGGGCCTTCAGTGACAAGACACGTGGGGCCTCACGGGATGGGAGTGGAGGTGGCCCTTTCCTCCCCATCCCAACAAGACCCCAATTTGCTGCCACGAACAGGCTCTCCGTCTCCTGATTAAGCTGCTTAATGGCTATGATCCAAGAGACTCAGGAACAAATCTTGGGAACCCAGCAGGTTTTGGTAGAAATTCCTCCAGATTTAATTGTTAAAATTTCGGAATTTCAAAATCGCATGGTCACTACTGCAGCTGCGCGACATCATATGCTATTCCTAAACAGCAATAGAAAACAAATTGTCTACTGTTGCCTTTTCAGCAGATCTGAGTGTTGGGGCAAAATCCCAAATAATAATGGTGGGTCTGGTGTCAAAATATTGAATGTAATCAAAGTAGAGAGTGAGTAATGTGGAAATCATCTGCCCCACAGGTAGGGGGAAGGTGTGGGATGGGGGTATACTGGGGTTTTTGGTGGTGGAGAATGGGCACTGGTGAAGGGACGGGTGTTTCATTGTATGATCAAGACTTAAACCCGAAAGCTTTGTAACTGCTCTAACGGTGATTCAATAAATAAAATTATAAAAAAAAAATTAAAAAAAAAGTAAGGTGGAGTTCATGCCCAATTCAGTCAGCCTAATCAGTGGCTGAATAGGAGTACTCCTACATTTAAAAAAAAAAAGGAGTTTAGAAAAAGACGTACATGATGCTAATCTTTTTACTAGATTAAATTCCTAAAGTCTTATTTTTGAAGATAATTTACAGAGTTACATATGGCAAGTCCTATTTTTATAATCTATTTTTATAATCTGCTAATAAACATAACCAAACTTTTGAAGTTTCATAGAATTTTAAAATGGAAGGGAAAATAAATGACTACAATGATACAGAAAAAAAGGTCAAACCATAGATCAATGATATATTCTAAGACACACATAACTGAAAAATATAAACAAGCTTGAGGCTATATAGACATAAAGCCAACTACCTATGAACTAAAATTGTATCTTTGAGGATGTCATGAAAAAAAATTGATATCAAGGCTAGAGATAAGAGTACAAGGGGTAAGCTGCTTACATTGCACACAGCCAATGTTGAATCACCCCAGGGTTGAATCCTGGCACCCCATTCCACCTCCCCAGCCCCTGCCCACCTCCCAGCCCCTTCGGGAGTGAACCATGAGCACCACGGGAGTGGCCCCAAAACAAAAACAAACAAAAAATTGATACCATTTAAAAGCTTGAGGAATGGGGTCCAATCATTGAAGGTGCTTGCAAGAGTAGGGCTGAGTTTGATCCCTGGTGCTTTCCATACGTCTGAGCACCATCAGAGCTGTTTTTGGTACCCCTAACACTGCTATGATCTCTGGTAATGGCCAGGTATGAGCAAGCAAAGCAACTGAAACATGGGAGAAATTCAACCAGCAGTTTGATCCCCCAGCAAGCTGTGTTCAGCACCACAGCAACCTTCTGCGAGCACTACAAACAGAATGTATGCTACACAATGGGAAGAGGGTGACCCATTAAGCACATGCACAAGCATAAGTTAAATGTGTGAATGAGCACCACTACCGATCACCACACCAAGCACGTGACTCCTGGTCATAGAGGCAACAGCAGCAACACAGGGAAAGAAGTGGGAGTAGGTAGGTGGGGTATAAGTGGGGGGGAGGGGGAAGCAGATATAATTTGTTCTTATGGCACTTTGATAATTTTTGTGCTACTTTTTATTTATTTTTTATTAGTGAAACACCATGAGGTACAGTTGTAGACTTACAAACTTTCGTGCTTGGGTTTCAGTTATACAATGATCGAGTACCCATCCCTCTACCAGTGCCCATTCTCCACCATTATTTTTAATTTTTTTTTTTTTTTTGCTTTTTGGGTCACACCCAGCCGAAGCTCAGGGGTTACTCCTGGCTCTGCACTCAGAAATCACTCCTGGCGGTGAATGGGGGACCAGATGGGATGCTGGGAATTGAACCTGGGTCGGCCGTATGCAAGGCAAACGCCCTACCAGCTGTGCTATTGCTCCAGCCCCAATTTTATTATTATTTTTATTAGTGAAACACCATGAGGAACAGTTGTAGACTTACAAATTTTTGTGCTTGGGTTTCAGTTATACAATGATCGAGTACCCATCCCTCCTCCAGTGTCCATTCTCTACCAGTACTTTTAATTTTTAACCAAAATTTCCCTTTATAAACAAATGCATTCAGCCCAAAGTATTTTTTTTTCCTTTTTGGGTCACACCCGGCGATGCACAGGGGTTACTCCTGGCTCTGCACTCAGGAGTTACTCCTGGTGGTGCTCAGGAAACCATATGGGATGCTGGGAATCGAACCCAGGTTGGTCGCGTGCAAGGCAAATGCCCTACCTGCTGTGCTATCTCTCCAGCCCCCCAAAGAATGGGGTTTTTTGTCACTTGCTTGTTTTTGGACCAAACTCAGAGGAGCATGAGGGATTATGTGGTACTAGGCTCCAGTGCGCAAATAATGAACTCCAGTGCTTTGCGCTATCTCCCTGGCCCCACAGACAATAACTGAAAATACAGTATACCTGTATTTTGGCATCGAATTCTCAGGGATTTCAAACATAATATTAAGTATTAAACAGAATTATTTTAAGTATTAAACAAGAGATAAAAATTCTAGTAAGACTCCCATAAACATTCATTTATCATTGCTTTTTTGTTTTGTTTTGACCATACATAGTGGTACTCAGGGCTCAATCCTCTCTCTGTGCTGAGGGGTCACTTCTGGTGGTGTGCAGAGGACCCCATATATGGTGTTGGAGAGCAAACCCGGGTCAGTAACATGCAAAGCAAATTCCTTACCCCTGTACTATATATCTCCTGCCCAAAGGCTGCTTTACTTTAAAGTTAATTTTATTTACACATATATACTAATAAGAAATTCCATTTAGAAAATATTCTTTGGAAAAACAAAAGAGAATTCATTATATTCAAGAAAAAAGCCTGAGATAAAAATTACATTACATTTCAAAACAATGTTTACATAAGCATTTCTGAGAACTTATTCTCAGTTTTCTTAACTTAAATAGTCAGGGCTATACATTGTCATTTTAAAAAAAGCAAAAAAAAAAAAACAATACAACGAAGAGAAATCTCATTTGAAAAGTTGCTTAGTAGAGCACTGAACTGTCTGACCCAGTTGACTGACTGAGTACAGCTCGAAGTGGATCCCAGATTCCCTTAGCACCACTATGGGGAGTCCCCAACAAATTGAGCAAAGAAAGTTTCATAATGGGAGAGGGTATCAAACGTCACATACCTGGGGTTTTCAGTGGATTCATTCTCATGTGTGAGGGGCTCAACTCGAGCCTCACACAGATGTCTTATCTTTTAATCAAATAAATTGGTATCAACAGAAGAGATCACTGGTGATTATAATAAAACACGTAAAAGTGAAACAATTGTAACGGACTCATTCTAATCATAATCCTTAACTGGCTATATGTTTTACTTACTTTTGTAGAATCAAAGGAGGCAAATCCCATTAATTTCATCATTTCTATTTCTTCCTCAGTTTTGCCCTCTAAGTCTTCCTCTGCAAAACATAATTTTAAAAACTCATTTCATAGCTATAGAAGTGACAAAAGACAAATCATTCCATTTCATCAGTAAAAACTATACAAAACAATTAGCTAAATATACAAAATTATTTTTAAAAAATTCCTCCTCAATTTGGACATAATTTAACTTAAAATGCAAAGAGAAAATGTATTCTCCATCCTTCTTCCTCACAGAAAACTGCTTAAAGAGACAAGGTTGGGGAACTTAAAAAGGATCACCTTTACTATCTGTTCATGACACTCATTTGGAAGATATTACCCAAACAGAGTATTTTCCAGTTTTTAACTGTTCTTGCTATTATTAGGAGCACTGCAGATAATGAGCAATTCACCAAGATACAGTTAAAACAAAATCTTAATTATATACAATGAAACTGTGAAAAACAATATTAGAATGTCATAAGCTTTAAAAATTTTATCATGGCTGAACTTCTAAACCAAGCTATACTTTTCCTTTATCAAATGACTTTACCGGTAATCTGCCGTTCTTTGTTCTTTGTGTCTTTTGTTTCTTTCTTTTCATCATCTCTTCTTTCTTTCAGTCGGGAAGGGGAAGGAGATGTAGATCTATGTCGTCTTGGGGATCTAATATTTAGTAAGCAAAGATGTCAGAGACATTCTTGGCACTTGTGTCCCCTTAGCACAGACTAATTGTGTCTGAACAATGAAAGATCAAAAATGCAGGCTGCAGAAAACCAGTAGTTCACTCCCCATAGAAAAATAAGGAAGTTGGGGAGCTGGGGTGATAGCACAGTGGGTAGGGCATTTGCCTTGCAACAGGGCTAACCCGGGTTCAATTCCCAGCATCCCATATGGTCTGCTGAGCACCGCCAGGAGTGATTCCTGAGTGCAGAGCCAGGAGTAACCCCTGAGCACCTCCGGGTGTGACTCAAAAGGAAAAAAAAAAAAAGGAAGTCAGTTCTGTTTTTTTTTTTATTTTTATTAGTGAAACACCATGAGGTACAGTTGTAGACTTATAAATTTTTGTGCTTGGGTTTCAATTATACAATGATCAAATACCCATCCCTCCACCAGTGCCCATTTTCCACCACCATGGATCCCAGTATCCCTCCCACCCCCATCCCCCCCATCCCCCCCTGCCTCTGTGGCAGGGCATTCCCTTTTGTTCTCTCTCTCCTTTTGGGTGTTGTGGTCTGCAAAAGAGGCATTGAGTGGCAATCATTTTCGGTCCATAGTTTACTTTCAACATGCATCTCCCATCCTGGGAGGATCCTCCAAACACCCTTTATTTGGTGCTCCCTTCTCTATCTGAGCTGCTCTTTACCCTAGAATGCCCAGCTGGCCTCTAAGCCATGGAGTAATTCTCCTGGTACTGATCTCCGCTATTCTTGGGTATTAATCTCCTATTTTGTTACTTTATGTCCCCCAGATGAATACAATCTTTCTATGTTTATCCCTCTCTTTCTGACTCATTTTTGCTTAACATGATACTTTCCATGTAGTACCACTTGTATGTAAATTTCATGACTTCATCTTTTCTAACAGCTACATAGTACTCCATTGTGTAGATATACTAAAGTTTCTTTAACCAGTCATCTGTTCTCAGGCACTCAGGTTTTTTCCAGATTCTGGCTATTGTAAAGAGTGCTGCAATGAACAAACAAGTGCAGATGTCACTTCGACTATACATTTTTGCCTCTCTGGGATCTGAGTTTTAACAACAACAAAAAAATCAGTCTACGTCTCAATCATCAGTCTCTGTATTTACAGAAAGAAAAAAATTTTTAAAAGTAGAAAAATGGGGGCTGGAACGATAGCACAGCGGGTAGGGCATCTGCCTTGCACGTGGCCGACCTGGGTTCTATTCCAAGCATCCCATGTAGTCCCCTGAGCACCGCTAGGAGTAATTTCTGAGTACATGAACCAGGAGGAACTCCTGTGCATTGCCGGGTGTGACCCAAAAAGCAACAACAACAACAACAACAAAAAAAAAGGTAGAAAAATGTTTGTTTTGGGAGTTTTTTGGTTTGTTTTGTGGCCATAGCCACCTGTGCTCAGGGGGCCATATACAGTGCCAGGGACTGATCAGAAATTGGCCAAGTACAAGTGTCTAACCCCTGTGCTATTTATCTGGCCTGTAAAATATATGCTTTTAAAAATCACACAAAAGCTTAAAAGTTGATCTAAATATCAATTCACATGTTTTTGTTTTATTTGGGGGAGGAGGTGTAATTTGGGCAATAACAGTGCTTAGAGCTTTCTCCTGGCTTTGAGCTCAGGGATCACTCCTGGTGGTGCTCAGGAGACCATATACAGTGCTGGTGATGGAAACTGGGTTGCATGTAAGTCAAGTGCCTTATCTGCTATGCTATCTCTCAGGGCCCCAACTGATACTAAGAATCTAGAGTCTTGGGAGCAATAGCACAGCGGGTAGGACGTTTGCCTTGCACACGGCCAGTCCAGGTTCAATTCCCAGCATCTCATATGGTCCCCTGAGCACTGTCAGGAGTAATTCCTGAGTGCAGAGCCAGGAGTAACCCCTGTGCATTGCTGGGTATGACCCCCCCCCCCCAAAAAAAAAGAAAAAAGAAAAGAATCAAAGAGTCTGGGCGAGGGATATAGATCAAAGGGCTAGAACACATGATAGGCATGAGGTGGCCCTTGGTTCAATTCTTGTCACTATAGGGTCTCCCAAGAACTACAGGGTTGGTCCTGATGCCTCTAGCATCACTAGGCAGAGTATTGCAGGCATGTCCCCTGGGGCTCCCTGCATACTGCTTAAGATGTCCCCCAAAGAAAAGGAACCAAGTTCATTTCTAAGTTCTCCCAAGAGCTTGCATTCTTGCCTGGAGAGAGACGATGGATGGCATACATACTTTTGCATGCAAGAGGACAAGATTCAGTCCGGGCACTGCATGGAGTCCCAGGAGCATGGAGTCAGAAGTCCCTGAGCACCTCTGATATGGTCTCAAAAAACCGAACAAAGCCAAAAAAAAAAAAGGATTTTGAGGAATACCACTGAAGAATAATGAAGCAGCTAAGAGCAGGGGCTTTTTAATCTTTCTCCACTCAAAACCCTTTTTCAGCTAAAAAATACAATACAGGTGAGAGCTGCCAGAAATGCCTTAGATTCATTACAGATAATTTTGAATTAACATGTGATGGCTGCAAACTCAAAAACCAGATTTCTCCACAGTCAGTTTATGCATTGGGTAGCGTCCCACAGTTTAAGCAGCGAGGGCTTAAAGCACCCATTATGTGTTCAAATCCCCAGTGTCCCATATGCAACCACCAAGCGTGATCCTGGCTGCTCTGATGTTTGAGCCTCTCAGTCTTGCTGTCTGCCACCCACCCAGGGCATTGCAGACAATTTTGAGGTGACTACCACCAATAGGTGTAAGCACCATAAAAAGGGGTGTGCCCCCTGCAAGCACCACAATCAAGTGTGAGGGGCTGGAGAGACTGCAGTGGGTAAGGCACCTGCTCTACAAGCTGCTGACCCACGTTTGATCCCCAGCACTCTGTATGGTCCCCTTGAGCCCAAGAAAGAAAGAAGGGAAGGGAAGGAGACCGGAAGGGTGGGGGGGGGGGGGAGGAGTGGAAATGAAAAGGGAAGGAAAATGAAAAGGATAAAGGGAAAAGAAAAGGGAAAACAGAAAGGGGAACGGGAAAGAGAAGGAAAAATGAAAAATAAAAGGAAAAAGGGAAAGGTAAATGAGAGTGTTTAAAGGGAAAGGGTAAAGGGAAAGGAAAAAAGGACAGGGAAAGGGCAATAAAGTGTGAGTCTTTCAGCGAGGAAGTGTGACTTGTGGCCAGTACACATGTGAGCACTGGCCAAGCCCCACACATTTTTCAAAGGTGGACCAGGACTTTCTCTGAGCTTTTGTAATCAAACTTGTGGTAATGTTCTCTATTTACCTGGAGCGTCTTCTGTGCGGGGATCGAGAGCGGCTCCTTCTCCGGTCTCTCTCCCTGGACCGGGACCTTTCTCGGCGTCTGCGTTCCCTCTCCCGGGACGTAGACCGGGACCGCCTACGCTCTAGAAAGTTAATGCAAAAAATTCCAGAGCCGAAAATTATCTAAAAACAACTACAGCAGCACTGCCCAGTATGATGGGAACCATGTTCTCAGGCACGCTTCTTAAAAAGCTGAAAACAAACAAAACAGCCAAGTGCAAACTAATTTTTTTTGTTGTTGTTTTCGTTTTGGGGCGACAACTGGTGGTGCTCAGGACTTACCCCTAGCTCTGCACTCTAGGAGGAACTTGGGGGGGGTCCGTATGGGATACCAGGGATGAAACTAGGGTCTCTGCCGCGTCCAAGGCAAATATCCTACCTGCTATGCTATCATTCCAATTCCACGTGCATTTAATGTTAAAAACATGTATTTGACCCAATATATCCAAACTACCATCATCTCAACCAGGTATCACTGTAGCACTGTCCTCCCGTTGTTCATCGACTTGCTCGAGCGGGCCCAGTAACATCTCCATCCTTGAGACTTGTTACTGCGTTTGGCATATTAAATACGTCACGGGTAGCTTGCCAGGCTTTGCCGTGCGGGTGAGATACTCTCAGTAGCAAACCTTTTTCCCCTCTTCATCCTAAATCAAGGAAATCCAGGGTCCATTCTATACTAAGCAGCACTTTACAACCCAACCAAGAACATTTTAAGTTCTCAATGGCCTGCGTGGCTCGTATTTACCTAGCCCTCTCCCCCCACAGCCCCCATTTTTTGGGTTGGGTGGGGGGAGGCGGCTGGATCTGGGTCACACCCAGAGGGCTCAGGGTGTCCGGGATCTAACCCGGGTTGGCTGCAATTCGGAAAAAGCAAAGCCAAGCGCCTTGCCCGCGATACTCTTTTTCCCATCTACAACTTAAAAAAAAATCAACCAACCAATCAGAGCTTTACTAGTAGGTGATTCTACAACACCTCCCCAAATCTTAAAAGTGAGCCAGGTGTTGGGAGGTGGGTGGGGAGCAGAACCAAGCTTGGAAGCGACACTACCCTGATGGAAGCTGTCGGGTCCCCTCTATCAGCTGCGCCTTCTCCAAAGCCTAGTTCCAAAGCCCGAGCCCGGGGCGTCAGGAGCGCGGTCGGCACCGCGGGACGCGGCTCCATCCTTACAGGGAGGTGACGGTCTCAGTGGTGCCCTAACGGGAGCCGAGACGCGGAGAGGGCGGGTGATGGGCGGGTGATTGGCACACGGTCCCCGGATGCTGGCGGCGGGAAAGCGCGGTTCTCACCCCCTCTCCCTCAGTGTTCCTCTCTCCAGGCCGTGAGGATAATTAAAGTCACGGCGGGACAGGGTCGGGGGACCCCTTCGGGCGTGCGAACGCGGGTGTGCGGGGATGAGGCCGCGTCCCTCCGGGACGAGCGGGCCCGGGCGTCCCTCTCCAGCCCAAACGGTTCTTTCCTTCCGGAGAAAAGAGGCAAAAGCCGCTTCTCTCCGTAAGAACAGGAAAAAGCTCGCGGGCGGGACGGGCCCCACACCCCCCACCTCGCCCCCCCCCCCGGGGTGCCCGGACTCACCCCTCCGCGGGGAGCGGCTACGGCTGCGACCCATCCGGAGGCCTCCCGCGCAGCGCGCCGCCCCGGAAGCGACGGCAGCGACTTCCGGCAGGGAGCGCCCTCGCTTCCGCCTCCGGCTCGGAAACCGTCGACACGGCGCCCCCGGGTTCCGACTCCGCCGGAAGCCCGCCCGGAAGCCGGTGTTTCTCGGACCTGAAAGTCGGCTGGAAACCTGACAGTCTTCTCCGAGAGCTCCTTGACCCGACTTTGCGGGTGACTGCTTCGTTTGCCTTGCCCACGTGGCGGCATTAAAACGCGACACTTGGGGCTGAAGCGATAGCCCAGCGGGTAGGGCGTTTGCCTTGCACGCGCCCGACTGGGGTTCGATTCCCAGCATCCCATATGGTCCCCTGAGCACCGCCAGGGGGTGATTCCTGAGTGCAGAGCCAGGAGTAACCCCAGTGCATCGCCGGGTGTGACCCAAAAAGCAGAAAAATTAATAATAAAACGTGGCACTTGATATTATGTGCCGATGTCTGGCAAAAGCACAGACCCATCACCTCGCCCGGTTCTCGTCCCAGTTACTGTGCACGTATCTAAAAGATAACCCATCGCGCTCACTCGGGGACAGTAGCCACACAACACGGGTCATCAGAAGGAGGGAGCAAGCTTGGATGGGTATCGCTGTGCTGTAGAGGAAACAATTGCAGACAGGCGACACAGCTCCATGGTGAGAAAAAAACTTCACACACTTTCTTTTAAGGAAACCTTTTTTTTGATCATTTTTAGCGAATATATAATAAATTAAATTAAAATAAATAAGATATAAATATATAAATAATACATTTTACACGCAATATAAAATAAATCATTTAGGACCTGCTATTGGTGCAAGCTTGGGTGGTGGTTCGGAAAATTGGCTGGTTGGGAAAATAACGGCTGTGGGAAGGTGCAATGGTGGTGGAATTGGTGTTGTAACAAATCATGAACAACTATAAAATTAATTAAAATAAATAATAAAACAGGCCTGTTTGAATTATTTCACAGGGATTTGGTGTGGAGGGGATGTCTTGGGGTTTTTATTGTTCTTGGTTTCTGGGTTGGGTTGTTCTTGTTTTTTTGTAACAAGCCCTGGAGTAATTTTCCCTTAGTTTGTTGAGAGTTTGATAAAGGAAGTTTGCATAGGAAAAGTGCATTTAAATGAGTCATTGTCTCCCTGGAGGAATCAAGCTAGCACAACCAGGCACCTTAATATCAAAACTTTAAGAGGGGAAATTACATCGTTTTATCGTTAGTACTATTGTTTTTTTGTGTGTGTGTGTGCGTGTTCAACATACATTTGTGCTCAGGGATCACTCCTGTGCCCAGCATCCAACCGGACATGTCTGATGTTCAAAAGACAAGCACTTTTGGTTATAGGGGGAACCTGTATTCCCAGTCGTGTAGCCATCAGGGTGATGAATTGTAGGCAATTTTGGACTTGATGAAATGTCTATGTCATATGAGGAATTTTTAGGTTTTTTTTTTTTTTACCTTTTTTGTGTTAGCTTGACTAGTGAAAACCAACTATTATGTATTAGTCTGGGAACACTGTATAAATATAATTTGATCATAAAATGGTAAGGGGAAGAGTTTTAAATACTTTTATAAAGCAAAACTCCGATCAAAAAAAAAAAAAACAACAAAAGACAAGCACTTTCACCCCGTACTATTTCTTGGGTCCTTAATACAATTGTTCACAAATGTTTTGCATGCTTCTATGAGCCAGAGGATCTTTAGTGATGAAAAGTGATGAAAAGATGTGACAGCTCTTGAGTAGCTTCCAGTCAATGGATACAAATAAACCATGAGACATACACTGATAGGGAGTGAATAAGATATAAAGACATCCAACTTTTTTTTGGAAAAAGTTTTCATTAGTTATGTCTAAACAAGACCTTAAGGATGAGTAGAAATTAGCCTGTTAAAATGAGGTGGTTGGTGGTGGGAAATGTTGGAAAGTATTAGCCAGGTAGAAGAGACTGAATGTAGGCAGGAGAAAGGATAAGTTCTTCTAAAAAACTGAAGTGTTGGGCTGGAGAGATAGTACAGCAGCTGAGGTGCTTGCCTTGCATGGGGCTTACCAGGTTCAATCCCCAAGCACCCACATGGTCCTTGAGCCCGGCCAGAAGTGATCCCTGAGCACAGAGCCAGGATAAAGCCAGGTAACCCAAAACACAAAAACAAACAAACAAAAAAACATATGGACCTGCTTATCTGAGATGCCACTTCATTATCCCCAAGAGAATTGAACTAGAGGTATATTTTAATTTCAGAAGATAATAATCAGCATGCAGAGTACATGGTACCAGCAAGCCCAGGAAAGAAAGGGGCTTAGGAACAGGGAGAGAGAAGAAGTCTAAAAGGAGACTAAGGAGTGACTAGAGAATCAAATAAAACAGGGTATTATGTCAAGTTTGCTTTTTCAGGCAACATAGCTCCCTTTAAAGATTAATTTTAAATGTTATAAGGAATAAAAACAATCTTGATTCAGGAAGTTCTAGTAACTTAATGGCTTTTGAAGTGGAAACAATTTTTTTTCTTAATAATGTGGGAGTACTGCTATTTGTTCAGCCATTGATTAAGCTGATTGAATTGGGCATGAATTCACATTACTTTTTTTTTTTAATTGCATCACCGTGAGGCTGGAGCAATAGCACAGCGGGTAGGGCATTTGCCTTGCATGCAGCCGAACCAGGTGACCCGGGTTCGATTCCTCTCAGAGATCCCAGCAAGGTACCGAGAGTATCTCGCCCACATGGTAAAGCCTGGCAAGCTACCCGTGACGTATTTGATATGCCAAAACACAGTAACAAGTCTCATAATGGAGACGTTATTGGGCCCGCTAGAGCAAATCGATGAACAATGGGAGGACAGTGCTACAGTGCTATCACCATGAGATAGAGTTACAAAGCTTTCACATTTGAGATTCAGCCATACAATGATGAAACACCATTCCTCCAGTAGTGCACATTTTCCACCACCCTGAAGTGGAAACAATTTAGAGAACACATTTGAGAAGTTTGGCTGAGACAGAGAACAATATGAATATTTACATATTCAGTAAATATGTAACTGAAGGATGTTTGAAGTTGGTAGAAACTTCAGCACAATATTAGTGTAAATGAGTCAGTATAGAAGGTAAAGTAAAGGTACAAATGGAAACATCAAAGGAATAAGTTCCATAAAGGGCTAGCCTGAGCAAGAAAAGGAAATGGCTTTTTCCTCCTTTATGACATGATGGGCTTTGCCAGGCTTTACCATGTGGGCGAGACACTCTTGGTACCTTGCTGGGCTCTCTGAGAGGAATCGAACCCGGGTCACCTGGTTCGGCTGCATGCAAGGCAATGACCCGCTGTGCTATCGCTCCAGCCTCATGGTGATGCAATTAAAAAAAAAAAAGTAATGTGAATTCATGCCCAATTCAATCAGCTTAATCAATGGCTGAACAAATAACGATTTGTTCAAACGATTTTGCTAGGGTTTCCTTATTCTAATCAAGATGCCCTCTTTCATGATATTCACTACCGTTTATCTTCGATATCATTGTACTTAAAATAAAGGCTTCATTTAAAAAAATTTTTATCTCTTTATATATTTTGGCTTTTTGGGTCACACCAGGGAAACTCAGGAGTTACTCCTGGCTCTACACTCAGGAATCACTCCTGGCAGTGCTGGGGGACCATATGGGATGCCAAAATTGAACCCGGGTCAGCCGCATGCAAGGCAAATGCCCTACCCTCTGTACCATCGCTCTGGCCCCAAAAAGACTTTAACAGATACTTTTTTTCTTTTCTCATTCTAAAGGCCATTTTAATAAAAGAGTAGAGTAGCATAGGTCAAGGTTAACATTTGTGATTGCACTGGCATAGAAGCCCTTATCCCACAGATAGCAAATAAGCCTTTGCTATTCCTATCCCATATAAAAATTACCAGCCTTGGGTACAGTGGATAGGGTGCTTGCCTTGCATGTGATCAACCTGGGTTCAATTCCAGGCACCACATATGGTCTGAAGAGCCCCTCCAGGAGTATGCCCTGAGCACCAACAGGTGGCCCCGAAGCACCCATCTCCAACCCGTCCTTAGCAAAGTATCCTGACTTCACTGTTATAGATGCATTGTGTTGACCCAGCAACTTTTCCCATAATAAGTTGTGATCTGATGACATCTGACCAAGAGTGGTTGGTGATATACATTTATTCACTCCTGTATCCTTTTTTTTTTTTGGGGGGGGGGGGGGGGGGCAGAGAGCTTTTTTTTTTTTTCTGTCACTCTTGGCCGTGCACAGGAATTATTCCTGGCTCTGCAGTCAGGAATTCCTCCTGGTGGTGCTTGGGGACAATATGGGATTCTTGGAATCGAACCCAAGTCAGTTACATGCAAGACAAAAGCCCTACCTGCTGTACTATTGCTCCAAGCCCCTCATTCCTGTATCCTGAATTTGGAAACATTTAAACCCTCTGGATGGAGAAGGAGTTGTACTGTATCTTTTTTTTCTTTATGGTTTTGGCACCACACCAGGTAATTCTTAGGGGTTATTCCCAGATCTGCACTTAGGAATTACTCCAGGCAAGTGCCCTACCCACTGTATTCTCTCCAGCCTGCTTGTGTGTATTTTTAAAGGATAAATTATAATTAAGATATAATTATCACAGTATTTTATATATTTATATAAATGCCTTTTAAAGTAATTTAGCATGAGAAAATAGTTACTAAAGGTCTCCTTTTTAAGCCAAACAAAAATAATTCAGTATTAATAGCTAAAAAAGAGACTTGGAAACTATAAGGCAAATGTTGATAAAAATGTTCATATACAACAAGTTACAGATAGTTCAGCTGAAACCTTTAGGCTTTTATTGAAAACATTTCTATTGGAAAGAATAAAAATTAAAGTATTTGGTTAGAAAAAAAATCAGATCTTTACTAACAATACAAATAAACAATTTCTCAAGTAAGAACACTAAAGACAATTATTCGTTATGAATAACATGTAATTTGGTCAAGAAAAAGCAGTGAGAGAAGTGAAGGCTCCAACAGAGCTCCGACAGCTGGAAACCTCCAGAACCCAATTGCTGCCATGTGCATGGCTGATCTCGACAGGCTTGGGACAAGCCTCATCCATGCAAATGAATCTGCTGAAAAACTCAGGTATGCGGGCTTTGACAGAAATCTCCAGGCTCTCACAGAGTGTGAAATGGTAGACCTCCCCACATCTTCCTGTTCTTTTGGGAGCCTGGCAGGCCATGAACTGCCTCTGGCACCATATAAGCTCATCAATGGCCATGATCCAGACTCATAAAAATCTCAGAAGAGAGCCACAAACTGCAGAGATGCCTCCTGACCCCAATGTCACCATCCAGTTAAAAATTTAACTCCAGAAGATAGAAAGATAGTACAGTGGAGGGGCTGGAGAAATAGCACAGTAGGGTGTTTGCCTTGCATGTGGCTAACCTGGGTTCGATTTCCAGCATCCCATATGGTCCCCCGAGCACCACCAGGAGTAATTCCTGAGTGCATGAGCCAGGAGTAACACCTGAGCATCACTGGGTCTGATCCAAAAGGCAAAAAAAAAAAAAAAAAGGATAGATAGTACAGTGTATAGGGTATTTACCTTGCAAGCGGTCAACCAAGATTCAATCCACAGCATCCCATATGGTCCTCTGAGCACCACCAGGATGCTGAATTCAGAGTGCAGAGTGAAGAATGCACTCATTCCTGAGTGCAGGGTCAGGAGTAACCCCTGAGCATTGATGGTGTGAGCCAAAAAGGGGGAAAAAAATTAACTCCAACTGTATCACTCTATATAAAATTTTAGAATTCCTACTCTATACCACTGATGTACCAGGAGTAGCAAACCACCTTTGATGGAGTGTCAAGTAGAAAGCAACCATCTCAAAAAAAAAAAAAATTAGCACACAAAGGCTCAACCTATAACAACATATTAGTCATCTCTTATACAAGGGCTTAATTCTTCCAGTTTGAGATACAACCTTCACACACTTTCTTCTAAGAAAATCTTTGGAACCATTTTTAGCAGATTTTCCATAACAATCAATATAAAATAAATTATTTAGAACATTTTTTGGGGCAGGCTTGAGTGGTGGTCGAAAAAATTCTAAATAATTGGGGGAGGTGCTGGAGCAATAGCACAGCAGGTAGACGTTTGCCTTGCATGCAGCCGACCCGAGTTTGATTCCCAGCATCCCATATGGTGCCCTGAGCACTGCCAGGAGTGATTCCTGAGTGCAGAGCCAGGAATAACCCTGGTCATCGCTGGGTGTGACCCAAAAATTAAAAAATTAAAAAATTAAACATAAATGATGGTGGTGGGAAGGTGTAATGGTGGTGGGATTGGTGTTGGAATATTGAATGTAATAAATTACTGTGAACTTTGAAACAACAAAATTTAAAAAAAGAAAGCAATGACCTGGAACCATATATAATTCCAATTTGGTTCACTTATATAAAGTCAAACGAAACTTTTACTCATAAATATAATCAAATCTTAATGATCTTTACTTCCAGATTTATAAGTTATTCAAAAAATCAATGATTTCCTAATTATACATGTGTGCATATATGTATATAGATGAACATACATATATATCCATGATTATAGTTTTTAAAATGTAAAAGGTAAAGCACCTTTGCTACTATATCTCTTTATTAAAGCACTAGCTTTGCACACAGTCAGCCTGGGTTCAATTTCTGGCACCACATATGGTCAAAATCCTGCCAAGAGTGATTTCTGAAGGCAGAGTCAAGCATAAGCCGTCAGCATGGCCAGGGGTGCCTTCCTCCAAAAAAGAGGTGACAATTATTAGAAAAGAAAAAAAGTGTAACCTCCCGAAAGTTAAATTAAACTCAGAACATTCAAACTATAGTTTTGGAGTTGGAAGAGAGAGATGTTACTAAAAGCTTACCCAGGGGATAAATTTTGAAAGGACAACTGATAAACCTATGGACATATCCCAGGAAAGAAAATCCACTAATAAATTCCAGAAATTAAATGTCACTGGGGAAAAAAACTAGAAAGAAAAAAAATTCTGCTATCAACTGTTTCATTTTCATTTCATATAAGAATTTATTTTTTCTTTTCCAAATGGGTATTTATACAGATACATAAAAATGATCCCCATTTTTTAAAAACATACTAAAAATATACATTAGCCACAAAAAGTACTTACTCTGGCTGGAAATAATGATGAGCATGGCTATTTTCAAAATAGCAATAAACATAAGCAGCCAACATATATAAGTCATGACAAACATACACCTCATTTTTGATAAAAATAATTTCTATTTTTACATTAATGCTTTATTATCAGCTTTTATATGAGATACTCAACCTTATTTACATTGACTATGAAATTTCTATTATGTATAACTCAAAGGCACTCAATTCAGAGGTTATAAAGTCCTGAGTTTAAGTAGGGAATAAGATTAATAATTAAATTTTAAACATAAATAATCCTAACGATCAGAAATATGAAAATGTTTAAAGTGTAATATTTGGTACAAAAATAAACCATGACTTAATAATAATAAAGATTTACACAATGTCAAAGACCAAGTAAGGCATAGGATATCCTCAGAATTAAACTTAATTTCTGCCCCCATTCAAGTTCATTTGAAATTCTGAAGTAAGTTTTTGGTTGTTAAATTCCTCAGAAAGTTATACACTACAATCAAAATAAAATAGAACAAAAACTAAGTTAAAGAAAAAGTTCCTCATCTTAGTCTCCAAAACAATGAACAATCTTTTGAAAAATACAAACTGAACAAATATTACAACAGGAGGAAGACTCATAAAGAGAAGTTTAAAAAAATTAAAGGACAGCCTTTAAATGCACCGACTGAAATAAGATTTACAATTGGTCGTTTAAATTATTCCTTTAGCTTCTTGAAGCTAAACAGAAATAAATTCACAGATGGATACTGAGATTACTAACACTAGGTAGACTGATCAAAGCTTAAGCTTAAAAATTAAATCTATATTTGGTTCCAGAGAAATATGAAATTTACCTACAGCTATGTTCTATGATGCTAAATTAAAAGCACAAGTTGATACTTTCAACAAAAAATGGTTTCACAAATATTTTCTTGGCTTTAAAATTTTTTTTCACATATGCATAGAAATGGGATGAGAATAAGAATAGTCTTCTGTATTATTTGTAGAGTTCATAAGGCCTTTGTCTTTGTTAGTCACCTTGGATGTGAATATCAGTTGGGTCATTAAATGGAAGCTGGCCAAAATAATTTTCAAAGTGCTACTATTTCCAATAGATGAGACCCTCAATTTTCTGGATTTTCAGGATGATTATTTTCAGTTCTCTTCTCTGGTGATATATACAAGAAGTTACAGCAGATATATAAAGGGAAGATCAGAAGCCTGCTGTCCAAGTTCATCACTACTTGTTCCTATTAAAAAAAAATAAAATGTTACATCTTCAGTGGTAAGCAGAGAGTAATACTAAAAGCAGAACGACATGAAAACCAGACTACTGAATATGAATATACAAAGAGATTGTATGGTGGCATATGAAGTCTGAGGCACTGCTAGAATCTCGAACCTACCACGGACAAACTGCATGACGCTGGACAATTTACTGATTTTATGAAGTGCAGTTTTTCCATTATAAAATGGAGGGCAATTAAGCATACCCCATCTCATAGGATTTCACTAAGGATTAAGGATTAAATAAGACACGCAAAGACAGTCATATATCAAGTATTCAGTAATGAGTTATTTTTAATTTTAAAAAGTTCCACTTGAGTATCTACATATTTTTGCATGATTTATTCCAGAAATATAAAGACTACTCATTTGGTTTTAATTTTCTTTTTGAATTTCTGAAGACCTTTATAATATATCAGATAACTGGGATGAAGGTAAGGAATACTCACCAAGAAGCCTGGTTTCCTCCCTTATCTAAGATTCCCCACTACCTCTAAAGCAAAACATTATTTTAAAATTTTAATTTTATTTTTGGTGTTTGGGCCACACCTGACGATGCTCAGGGGTTACTCCTGGCTCAGCATTCAGGAATCACTCCTGGTGGTGCTTGGGGGATGCTGGGGATTGAACTAGGGTTGACCCTGTGCAAGGCAAGTGCCCTACTCTGCTGTACTATCGCTCTAGCCCTAAAGCAAAAGAAGTTTTTTTTTGTCTTTTAGAACAATCATGTAAAAATGAGGCTGTCTTGAAATCCTACAAAAGCAGGAGATGATACAAGACCTGAGAAACACACATTTAAATGAGAACTTTCTGACTACCTGAATATAACCTTAGTAATAATACATTTATTTCATTGTTTTATACATTTTATAGACTACATTATTAAACAATTTACATCTAGAGTAGTTTTTTTTTTTAACTGAGGTGTATATTCCTGCAATGATGAGGAATCTAAAACTGAACACCAGAGCAATTTAGTTAACTGGATTCAGTTTCTGTGTTGGAAGTATAGCAAATTCTCCCAAGTGTACCCAACAATTATCAAAATGTATAAAGGTAGGATATGAATTTGGATAAAGGTAGAAATTTGGATGTCACACATATATAATTTCTATGAGCTTCCCCAAAGGGAAAGTGGTGTTTTGTTCTGAAAAAGGTATCAGTGAGCAAGATGGGTAAGGTCAGGCGAGGTGAGCACTGGGCTGACAGTGCTCAGGTCAGCAGGGAGGAAGGCTGTCAAAGCCAGGTTGGTCATTAGATGCTATTAACTGTTACCTAGTCAAAAGGCATATTTGCTAAGCTTGCTGAGGACTTATGCTTTGACAGTAAGTGTACTGATAATAAAACCAAAAGGTTGAGCATCATAACAAAACAAACCATGAGGGGCTGGAGCAATAGCACAGCGGGTAGGGCGTTTACCTTGCATGTGGCTGACCCGGGTTCGATTCCCAGCATCTCATATGGTCCCCCGAGCACCACCAGGAGTAATTCCTGAGTGCAGAGCCAGGAGTAACCCCTGAGCTTCTCCGGGTATGACCCCCCTCCCCCCCAAAAAAAAAAAACAGACTCTGAGGAAGATTAGTATCCTGGTTTTTGAAAATAAGGAAGGGAGGGTAGGTCATAGAGTCAACCCTGGGAAAAGGGTGCTGAACCAATTTCTGCTTATTAAATTGTATTAACTGTAATTCCAAGGTAGACAGATAAAATTCCAGTTTCATCTAATTAAAAAGAAAAACTGAGGGCAAGAGCTGTGCTCTGGGGGATCACTCCTGGAAAACTGGGGGACCTTATGTGGTGCCGGGGATCATAACAGGGTCAGCCACATGCAAGATAAGAACTCCCTGCCCACTTTAGTATCACTCTGGCTCCCCACCAAACTTTGAAACTCCAAAGGGCAATTTACCTCTGTATTTTCCTTCTCCCACTAATGACGTGGAAACTGAAAATCCCATACACCACAGCATCAGAGAGGTGGCATGCATGGTCCTAGGTTTTGAACCCTACTTTCAACCATTATCCCCCCCCATCTTCGTGTACAAGTCACCGCTGCCTCTTTGAGGCTTATGCCACTAATCCTGTATCATACCACTATTAGTTTCTTGAAGTCTATGATATGGAATTCCCAGGATCCATAAAAATCAAACTTCTTACTAAAAATCTTTTGATTAAATCAACTACAACAACAAAGGTAGTCCAGAGCCAACAGTACAAGTCCAGGTACTTGACTTGCACATGGCTGACCTGGATTTGTTTCTTTGCCTCCCTATAATTCAAATCTCACTGTCACTGTCCAGCAGATAGGGCGTCTGCCTTGCACGCGGCCGACCCGGGTTCGCTTCTTCTGCCCCTCTCGGAGAGCCTGGCAAGCTACCCGTGACTTATTCAATATGCCAAAAACAGTAACAACAAGTCTCACAATTTGTTGTAAGACATTACTGGTGCCCACTAGAGCAAATCGATGAACACCTAGAGGACAGTGACATTGACAGTAATGGTGGAACATCAGGAACTCTCATTGACTACATTCTTTCTCACCCTCACAAAAATGAAGCAAAAATTCTATCAACTTTATTTCCTATAATTAAAATATCAGGCAAAACTTATTGTAAATCAAACTGCCTAAGTTAGAACATCAGAAACTTTCACTGACTACACTCTTCCTCACCCTCACACAAATTAAGCACAAACTCTACCAATAGCACTACTTTATTTCTAGAACCCATCAACATTTACTTTTATGCCCACTAGTATCTTTTCTAATCCAAGAATATGATTTCTTTTTGTTTGTTTTGGAGCTTAGGGATGACGACTCCCGGCCTGATGCTCCAAGACCATCCCTGGCAGTGCACAGGGTGGAGGCAGCATGAGAACTGGCCCCTGGCCTCCTGCAGAGAGAGCACGTGCTGTGTTCTGAGCTCTCTAGCTGGCCAGGTTCTCGTTTATCATCCAGATGATAGCAGCTGTTCCTAAACTGTCTTCATACCAAAAGTTGTCATATCTCTAATTCTTCCTACACACTGCTAAGAAGACATTCTTCTATGATGCAAATCCTGTTTGTACAATTCTATGAAATATGCTAAAGTCACCAGCATTCTTTTTCTTTTTGTTTCTGGGCCACATCTGGTGGTGCTCAGGGGACTATATGGGATGCTGGGACTCAAATTTGGCTTAGCTGTGTATAAGGCAAGCACCCTACCCATTGTACTATCTCTCTGACCCAAAGGAAGACCAATTTTTTTTCTTTTCTTTCTTTTTTTTTGGGCGGGGGGAATGGGTGGGGTGGAGTGGAATAACCTGTTGTGCTCAGGGCTTATTACTCCTGGCTCTGCACTCCGGGATCACTTCTGGGCCGGACTCAGGGGGCCATTTGGGGTCCTGAGGATCTAAACTGGTCAGGCGCGTGCAAGACAAGTGCCCTAACTGCTATACTATCTCTTAAGTCCCTCAAAAGGAAAACAAATATTTAAACAATATAAACTGCTGGTTTATATGTTCAATTAGCAAATAAAGGAAGCAGCAGTACAGGTATGTGTTTCACTTGGTCACCACCAGTTCTCTCCATGGCATCACACGGTCCCCCGCAGGTCTAGAGCCCCCACACCTCCCAGAGTGGCCCCAGAACTGTAGGGTTCCAGCAGCAGCACAAGACTTATAACATTCTGAAGATGAATTAAGATAAACTATTATTCCCTTATTATCAGATTTCCCTTACCCCTCAAATCAAAATGTGTTTTTCCTTTTCCTGTTTCTGCAGTGCCAGGGATTGAATCCAAGACCTCGAACAAACACAGCAAGAGCTCTAATACTGAGCTACTAAACTATGTTTTCTTTTTTGTCTTAGTTAAACTTTTAGAAAAATGGGGTAAATTACGTGAAAGAGTATTTATGCAGTACTTTCATCTTATTATGACATCTTATTATCTCATTCCTACTTTGGAAAAACTGGCAGGCTACCGAATGTAGCCTGCCCACAGGGCAGAGTCTGGCAAACTCCCCTTGGCGTACCCAATATGCCAAATACCTGTAACAATGATGGGTCTCATTCTCCTAAAGAGCCTTGAATATAATCTCAGGGCTAGGATGAAGGAGACGTTACTGGGGCCTGCTCGAGGCAATCGACGAATAACAGGATGATTTGTGATTTGTGATTTGACTTCCATCTTTATCCTCAAGCAACTTTTAAACCAATTTATAAATCAAATACCAACTCTATTTTCCAAAAAGTTTTCAAATTACATACTGTAATGAAAGAAAAAATAAACATACCTGATCCTTTTCAAGTGTAAGTATTTGGTAGCCAGTTGTTCTACTACATATTAGTTTTCCACTACTATCAAAAGAGGCCAAACGTAATCTAGGAGAAAAAAAGGTAAAAAAAAAATAAACAATTTTTTTAAACAATTTTTTAAACTGCAGATTAATCTGAGTAACCCTTCCCTCATTTCAATACTCTTTTCACCCGTATTGTTTTGCATTCTCCTTAAATATCATTATCAAGCAATTCTCTTCATATTTACGAATTTGTGCATACTTTAAGGCACAGGTACTTAAGTTTATACATACTAAGACATAAAAAGTTTATAAGTAAGACTATTCTAAAATATCAAACTTACAATCTTCATCATTTTAAGCTATATAACTCTGTGGGACTAGTAACTGACATTGTTCTGTCATCAGCACAATCAATCCCTCTTCAGAACTCTCTCTTTCTTCCTCTTCAACTGAACTCTACTTGCCCTGACGCTGGTCCATGACAACCACCACCATTCCTTAAGGAACCTCAAATTAGTAGAATTAGTGTGTCTTTTGTAATTTATGTCACTTAGACCAGTATCCTCAAAGTGCACCACTCGTGTTACAGTACATAGCATGATTTCCTCTATTTTTAAGGTTGAATAACATTCCGTTGCAGTATGTATATACCATATCTTATTTACTGGTTAATCTGGGGTTTGTTTTAGTTTGGGGGTCACACTGGAGGTACTCAAGGGCTAACTCCTTTCTCTGTGCTCAAGAATCACTATTGGCAGGGTTTCCAGTATGTGGTGCTGGGGGATAAACCTGGGTCAGCTGTGAGCCTGGCAGGTGCCCTTCCCACTGTACTGTCTCATACCCATGGTTGGTTCCTCTGTTGACAGACACTTGAGATTCCACCTTTTGCCTATGTGACTAATGCTTGGTGTAAAATGCGGTATGAGTATCTGTTTTTTTGTTTGTTGTTTTTCTTTGGCTTTTTGGGCCACACCCATCGATACTCAGGAGTTACTCCTGGCTCTGCACTCAGGAATCACTCCTGGGAGTGCACAAGGAACCATATGGAATGCCAGGGATCAAACCTGGGTTGGCTCCGTGCAAGGTAAAAGCCCTCCCCACTGACTCTGGCCCCCTGGGTATCTGTTTGAGATCCTGCTTATAATCCTTCTAAGGTTTTTCCTTTTACAGTTCTTTTTTGGTAACTACTCAGGAAAACAGAGTTTAAGGTAATTCTATGTTTAAACTTTTTTTTTTTAAAGAAAATGCCATACCATGTTCCCACAAAATATGGATCACTTTATATTCCCACTGAAGGTCCATTTACTCCACTATCCCTTATTATGGTATGAGATGGGTATGAGATGGTCTCTTGTGTTGTTTGTGGGGGTGGGTAGCCAGAGATTGAACCCAGAACCTCACACGTGAAGCATACTCACTACCACTGAGTCACATCCCTGGCCCTTCATTGTGGTTTTATGTTTGTATATATAAAGTAAAAGTTTTATTTAGACATAGGAAGAGGAAAAGTGAAATTAACAGCTGTGAGGGAGAACAGTTTTCTCCAGAAAGCAGCTCATAAAATAAAAGGAATTATATGTCCCAAGTAGAGATGGCACCCAGTCCCTGAATGGACCCAACCTCACACTGTAACTTTGTTATGATTTCCCTAATGACTGACGATGTTTAACAGCTTTTTGTGTGCTTTTTTTTGGGTGGGGGGGGAGTATCCTCTTTTGGAGAAATGCTTTTTTATATCTTCTAAATTGGGTTGTTTTCTATTGCATTTTAGCTCTAGACAGTCTCAACATTAACTCCTATCAGATACATAACTAGTAAATATTTCCATATTTTACAGTTTATCCCTTCAATCTATTGATAATATATTTTAATAAATAACTTTCAAATTTTTGGTTAAGCATAATCTATCATTTTTCTTTGCCTTTACTTTGATATCATATTGGAGAAATCAGAGCCAAATCCAATGTCATGAAAGTGTTTCTGTAGGAGGGTGGAGAAAGGTGGGGCTCGTACCTGGTGGTGCTCAGGGTTTACTCCTAGCAGAGCTTCGGGAAGACCACAGGTGGTGCCAGGTATCAAACTGGGGTTATTTGTATGCAAGGTAGTGCCTTAACTCCTGTACTGTTGCTACAGCCAAAGTTTTTAGCCTCTATTTTCTTTCGAAAATTATTACATAGATTTTAGGTTTTATTCTTTTTTTTTTGCTTTTTGGAGTCACACTCGGCGATGCACAGGGGTTACTCCTGGCTCATGCACTCAGGAATTACCCCTGGCGGTGCCCAGGGGACCATATGGGAAGCTGGGAATCGAAGCCGGGTCGGCTGCGTGCAAGGCAAACAATTAATCTTTTTATATGGTGTTAAAAGTTTAAATTTTTTTATATAAACATTTGTCATTTATTTGAGGGCATTAGGGTCACACCCAGCAGTGTTCAGGGGTTATTTCTGACTATGCTCAGGGATCACTCTTGGTGGTGGTTGGGGGACCATATGCAGTGCCAGGGATCAAACGGGGGTCAGCAAACGCCTTATCCCCTGTACTATTTCTCCAGCCTTATAAATACAACCTTTTAACAATACATTCATTAAACTACTTTTCAATTTGTGAATATTCTGTCCATAAAAAAAACTATCAGCTCAACAATCAGTCAGAATTTAAATATCAAATCCTATAAGAAGCTAAAGACAAAACTAAACTTATTTTCCTGGGGAATACCTTGCTTTATATTAGTTAAAACATTTTATTTACTAGGAACAGCAGCAAGCCAACAGCTTCAAGTCCACTAACAATTCTACGTCATTCACAGTCCAGCCAGTTTTTTTCCCTAATATATTAGTTTTTATGATTTCCATTATTAATACATTACGGGAATGGAGCCTTATAATTTCCCTGTACTTTCATGAAATCTTACCAAAGCTCGATCATTGCTAGAAAAAACTATCAAATAACTATTATTTCACTTATTTTTCTTCTGCAGTGCAGAGCAGTGGGATGGGGAAATCTCATCCTACCTAAATGCTATGCTCCTTCGAGGTTGTAAACTGACAGATCCGCTACATGGCTGATTCAGTGTATTGCGTTTGAAAATGATGTATCGATTGGTGTAAGTGACAAGCAGGTCAAAGCCGAAGTTAAAACCTGTCCACCGCCAACAGTACTAAGAAATACAAAAAAGATACTTATTTCAGTTTATCATATTAATAAATTTTTTAAAAGGCTCAAAAATTTTTTCTTACCCCAAATAATTTTTCTCTAATGGGTTCCAGTATTGTCAGAGCCTCTCCTAAAGGCGTACCACACAAAATACATTTGTGAATATATATATACTCATATACTATATACCTCCATAGACATATCCTACAAAATAATATATATCAAAGCAAGAATGGCAGGATTTAAAGTATTATTCCTTAAGATACTATCCTAATTGCTGTTTCTTGATCAATTTCCTCTTCCTCTCCAACTAGATTCATCATAAGAAACATAGATTTTCTCTACAACTACAAGTTGGTATAGCTTTTAGGGAATCTTTTAGTCTAGAAAGAGGTAATAAGAACTACCTTAATGGTACCTTAACTAATATCTGAACAGAGTTATTTTAAATACCATCAGGAGAGTTATGTAATTTGTTTATTCTAGCATCTAACAGTGAATGAAAAGTCAATCATGACATGGTATGGTATAGTGAATTAAAGTTGGGCTTCACGTGTCTGGATGAGATTCTAGATTATAACATTAGCTCAAATTTTTGAAGGTTGTGGGACACTTCTGGTAATGCTCAGGGATTACTCCTGGCTCGGTACTCAGGAATTACTCCTGGTGGTGCTCAGGGGACCATAAAGGATGCAAGGACTGAACCAGGATTGGTTACGTGCAAGGCGAACATCCTACCCAGGGTACTATTCGCTCTGGCCCCAAGTTAGCTCAATATTTAACTGATATTTATTGAGCACACATTATATGCACTGCTCTAAGCACTGCAGAAATAGCAGCAAATAAGTTTCTGTCCCACTAGAATACAAATGTATGGAAAGAGGGATGATGAATCATAATAATAAAAAAAAGAACAGAATACCAGGAAAGTGTGTCGAGATAGGGGAGGTGGTATGCTGGTCAGGCTGGTGACCAGGGAAAGTCTTTATGGAGACGTTACGTGAGTAGAACCCTGAGAGTATGGAGAGCTCTCTGGGGAAACAGTGGCTCAAGAAAAAGAGAAAAGAAAGTACAAAGCTATGGACATCAAGACAACCCGAGCATGTCGTGGGATCCTTATCCTAGAAGATTACACTAAACTCTACTAAATAAGCTTTTCTGAGGCACGATAGGTGCTGCTATCTTTTGCACTAACAATACAACAATGTCTGAGAATATTAAACAGCACAATCCTTACTTACTTCACCATCTTTGGCGAGTTTTCTACCACACCTCATGCTATTTCCCTCCAGTTCTTCTTTGTTAATTTCTTGAGGCCTAGAAAGATAAAAAATAAATAAAATCTCACAGATATTAGTGGAATAGGCAATTAGAAAAATAATTCTGAGTTAATGAGAGAGAAAAAAATTGCAAAATTTTAAAATGAAATTGTGCGGTCAAGATTCCCAGCACTCCATGGTCCCCAGAGTACTGGGCCGGAAGGAGCCCTTGAATGAACGCTGCTGAATGTGGCATAAAAAGTAAAGATGTACACACTGACTCATTCCAGTCCACCGTCGCTGCTAAATAAAAATGATGGTGGGGAGAGGGGGGAAGTTAAGCAAGGCAGTTTTTATTGAAACCAATTTAGAAAGAAGAGAGGGGAGAGAAAGAGAAGTATGAGCTCACGAGAGAACACAGGCCTCACCAGCACGGAAATAAGAAAAGAAACAGAGACAAGCCAATGAGACATACACTTTCAAGTGACACAGGTTGAAGAGCCAGATAAAAATGATCTAAAAATCACTAACTTTTCACTTACTGCCCTGGCTTCTAGAGCTCAGCCAACCTTAAGGTGGGGGTGTGTGAAGGAAGAAATCTATGAGAAATTCTGCTCACCTAGAAAATAAACACACACAAAGTACTGGGGCCAGAGAGCTAGTACAGTGGATAAGGCATTAGCCTTGAACACTGCAAAACCTGGGCTTGATCTCTGGTACCCCCATACCAGTCGCTCAAGCCTGCCAGGAGTTACCGAGTGCATACCTGAGTACTGGGTATGGCCCCTTTAATACAAAAATCAAGTGCTAAATAAATTAAAATATATTACTTAATATGTAACTGTTCTCCTGTACCTCTTAATAATTTTGTTTCATATTCTAGCATTTACTTTGTAGTATAGCCACACAAACCCAATTATTTAGCAGAAAGCAGATAAATGTTTTATTAACTCATATTTACCTGGTACCCCATTTAAAAAACTTAAGAGAAAAATTCATTTCAACTTTTAATAGCAAATGCCTCTATTCATATGCAATATTTTTTAAGTGCTGGGATACTGAAAATACCATTGCCATAATAAAAACACTGAAAAAAATTAAATGTTTAAAAATGTAAAAGCAGAACTAATAAAACATGTCTCCAACATTCAAGAATTCAGTACAGTAGGGAAAATAAATAATATTTATACTGCTTTGTAGAACTGTGATGTCAGGAGCATAGATAACAATGGCAATGATTTTCTACACGGGACTAGATGATCATCACAGTACCATTTATATCTAAGTGGAAGCTTGCTGAGGTGAGGTTGGGGTGAATTCTATGCAGGGGAAGGGTATTCTAGGTAGAAAAAATAGGTAGAGACTGTAGCACAAAGCTGGGGAGATGGCTCAGAGGTTTGGAGTGCATGCTTTGCACAGACGGTCCACCCCACGTGCTACAAGTACAGCCCAGGAGTGACCCCAGAGCACCAAACTGTCCCCCAAGCACCCCCGAATATGACCCCCAAACCAAAACCCAAGCCAGGTTGGCCGCATGCAAGGCAAATGCCCTCTACCCACTGTACTATCACTCCAGCCCCGGCAGAGCCTGGCAAGCTACCCGTGGTGTATTCGATATGCCAATAACAACAATAGATCTCATTCCCCTAACCCTGAAAGAGCCTCCAATACGGCAGCGTTGGGAAAGACGAGTAAGGAGAGGCTGCTAAAATCTTGGGGCTGGGACAAATGAAGACGTTACTGGCGCCCACTCAAGTAAATCAATGAACAACGGGATAATGGTGATGACAGTGATGATTTTTTTTCTTTCTTGCAGCACCGCAAGAAAACCCAGATCCCGCACATGCAAGGCATAAACTTTGCTGCAGAGCCACATGCCTGGCCCTAGAGTCTAGGCATTCATTATTAATAAATTAATACTAAAATTTTCAAACAAAAATGTAAGAAAATAAAGAGGGATGTGGCTCAGTGGTAACATGTGTGCTTCTCACGCAGGAGACCTGGGGTCCCCATTACTACAAAAAGAAAAAGAATAAGCAAAGTAGTGCAAAGATAAAATGTTCTCAACATTCTGGTTTTAATAATAGTTTTGTCGTTGTTCTGTTTTTTTGGCCACACCTGGCGGTGCTCAGGTTTACTCCTGGCGCTGTACTCAGGGATCACTCCAGGTGGAGCTCTGGGAACCACATGGGGGGACGGGGATTGAGACCCAGGGCAACTGCATGCGAACCACAGCAACAACAATTACATATAGAGCCATATAACTCGGTGACAAATTAATGTTATTCAATTTTACCAACATAGCAGTAGATTACAAGCCAAACACAGCAAGGTTGACCAGTAAGATACTTATAAAACTGGTAGCATTATACAAATACAATAAGAAAAGTTGATCTTTTCTCTACTAGCTCTTGATTTTATAATACTGGTTTGTTTGTGTGTGGTATGCTGATGGTACAACTCTGGACCTCACACGCAAAGGTAAGTGCTCAACCAACTGAGCTACCAGCCCTCAGTACTGATTTTTCAATAACATGAATAAACTAAAAACTCTTCTAACAGGGCCTGAAGAAACAGCTCAGGAGCTCTGAATACCTCCCTGGCAAGCTTGTGTTCATTTAATCCCCAGCACTGCCACGTGTGCCAAGTAAGATCCTAGCAGCCTACTCTCTTTGATCCCCCACCTCCACAAGAAACTTCGGGCGACATATACAGCCAGATGTACATAACGCTACAACAAAGCAGTGTGAACCCTGGAGACAACCTAGTCAAAAATCAGGCAAACACTTGGTCAGGAAGTTAACTGCTGGCAAGTACGTCTAAGTACATAACCCCAGGAAGCCACAATCAAAATGAGCACCAGCACCACAACCAGAGTGAAGGCCCTTGTGAGGACATGTGCAAGTGACGGCTGTGGCAGTGCAGCCCTCAGTGAGCACCGTGGCTGAGGGTGGGAGCCGCACAGCGAAAAGTGCAAGCAACAAGCTAGGCAGGAGTGCAATCCTGGGTCACTGCAACAACAAAAGGAAGGGGGTAAATACAAATACAAACGTAAGAACAAAACGATTCATCACATAATCTGTTAGGAAACCAGTGGTGCTGGGCGAAGGGGCCGACTCCCAGCTCAGTGTTGGGGGTTATTCCTGGGGTCCACGGGAGGCCATGCGATACCAGGGATCAGACCTGGCCTTCAGCAGGCAAAGCAGGTGTTGTCCATTGAGCAATCTCTCTGGCCTCCTCTAGAGCAGAAATTTTTAATAAAGGATGACGTGGCGTGATATGACGTGACATCACATGACATGATATGATATGATACACTTACCCCATCTCACTATCTTGTTCTGCCCGGAGCATAGCAAGCCACTGCTGTTTGTACACAGAAGACAGCCATTCTAAAAGTGAAAACAAGCAGAAGAGGAGTAAGAAATACAGAAGAACAGTAAGAATAAAACTTTTTAAAGGAGTTCATAAAATTCTACCATTTCTTAATTCATGTTTAACTGTCTTTCAATAACAGCAATAATTTATATTTTACAAGTACTCTGTAACAACATGGCTTTTTATACGGTAAACATTGTTTAGTTTTGCCCAAAGATACTCTATTTAGGTCACATACATTAAAATTAGAATTCAGGGGGATGAGAGTGACAGTGCAGTGTGTAGGGCATTTGCCTTTTACACCACCGACCCAGTGTCCCATATGGTCCTCTGAGCACCACCAGGAGTAATTTCTGAGTGCATGGCCAGGAGGAACTCGTGAGCAGTGTGGGGTGTGGCCCGAAAACAAAACAAAAATTAGAATTTAGAGGTGGAATTAAAATTCAGAATTTAGGAATTAGAATTCAGGTACAGCAGGTAGAGAGCTTGCCTTGCATGCAGCCAACCCGGTTCAATTCCCACTACCTGACATGGTCCCCCACAAGTGCACCAGGAGTGATCCCTGATTGCACAGTTAGGAGGAAGTCCTGAACATTGCTAGGTGCGGCCCAAAAACCAAACGAAAAAACCAAATTAAATTAGGAGCCAGAGGCTGGAGCAATAGTACAGCAGGTAGGGCACTTCTGTTGCATGTGGCCAACCCGGTTCCACTGCTGGCATTCCATAGGTCTCTATCAGCAGAGATCCCACCCAAATGCTCCCCACCAGGAGTGAGCCTTGCCAAGAATGCTCCCTCAGCGCAGAGCCTGAAGTAAGCTCCTAGGCACTGCTCGGAGCTCAAAAAACAAAAACTACAATTTCTAAATTAAATTTAGTAGAAAATTACAAAGAAAAAACCTAACCAACCACAGTATTTAATGCTAGAGAAGTCAAACTAATACAGAAACAGGACCAACAGCTTTTACAAATAGGACAATTTTAACTTTAGTAGAAGTCTCAATAAAATAGTGGGAAGCCAAAGACAGGTTGCGGGGAGTTGAGAAATGGTGAAACAGTGAGAAGACAGTGTCTGTGATCCTGAAAGTGTTAGAAGATGGTGCGAGGGAAGGAACTCAGGATTAAGGAAGGGTTTTGCGTGTTGTTGAGTGAAAGAGACCTGACAATATTTATAGGATGAGGGAAAACTAGGTAGGGGAAAGGCTGAAAATACAGTTGCAATGATAAAGCAACATTCTAAAACAGGAAACTACAAATTTGAACTTAAAACATGGCTGGATAGGGAGGGAACACCTTCACCTTGAGATGCGAACAAATTATTGTCCTATTCCTTTAGATTTCTGTAAGAAAACAGCACAGTTTCCGTACTGATGGTGAGATGACTGAATAAGAAGCTTGGTAACACTGATAACGATGCTGAAACAAACAGGAGGAGTCCAAATATAAATAGCTGGGTGTAGTGCCCAAGCATAGCTGGGTGTGGTCCTTAGACCAAAAAAAAAAAAAACAAAAACCAAAAACAAAAACAAAACCACAGTGAAAAAATAAAATAAAGGGGTTAGAGAGATGGGGTTAAGGGATAGCATTTATGACCCATATGCAGCCCAACCCCAGTTTGATGCCCTGCTCAAGATCCCCAAGCATTGCTGCACCTCCAGGTGCAGACTGGAGGCCCCTGAATACGCAGCACCGCAGGGCCGGAGCAGAGAAGCACATCCTCTTGCCCTCCCCAACAGACTTTAAAGTTTTTTGATTTAAATAATATTTCTGGCAGAGCAGTGGGGCAGTGAAGTGTTTATTTAAGGAAGTGAGAGTAGAAAAAAATACTCTACAGCACAGAGAACACAGGGAAATAGCCTAAGTTCGCATTCATTTCTACAGCTAGAGCGAGATTGCAGCAGGCCTGGTTAAAGCATATGGCCACCCCCAGTTTGATCCCCAGCACTATCAGGTCCTCTAGGCACCACTGGGAATGACCCCGAGCACAGAGTTAGGAGCAGCCTCTGTGTACTGCTGGGTGTGGAGAAACAAACCCCAAGCATTTCTTTCTAAAGGAGAGGGAGACTAGGAAAAGAGAAAGGAAGTGGAGAACTAGAGTGACATTTTCAAGGGTCTTTGGCATAGTGGTGGTGGTACAAATGCAGTGAAGTTGCATGCCAAAGTATTAACCTTAATGCTACTATAACTATGTCACCTCAATAATTGAAACATTTTTAACTGATAAAATTATCTTTTTCTTGGGGGGGGTGTCAGGCGTAGTTAAATCACACCTAGCAGTGCTCAGGGGTTTCTACTAATTCTGCATCCGGAGGTCACTACTGATGGTACTCAGGGGATCATATGCAGTGATGTGGATCAAGCCAGGATCAGCCAAATGCAAGGCAAGGACCTTAAATCTGCACAATCCCTCTGGCCCTAAAATTAATTTCTTGGGCCAAAGAAATAGTACAGCAGGTAAGCAGTGTACTTCGCACACAGCTGACTTGGGCTCAATCACCAGCACCACATATGTCCCTCAAACCCAGCCAAGGGTGATCCCTGAGCATTACTTGGGTGTGCCGAAAAGCCAATATATATAAAATTTCTTAACTTAAAAGGAAGTACAAGACTAGAGAGGGAGTAAGTAGTTAGCCTTGACATCTAATATCATTCCAATGCATAGTTGTTACTTTGGGATCTTGGCCCATTTCTCTGAAGACTATATTTCCTACAGTAAAGCAACTCGATAGTAGTTTTAGCATGTGCTATGCAGCAGGCAGCAGCAACTGTATAAAAACGTATGCCTTACAAATGTCAAGAGTTATTTTTATTTTCTTCATGATTCACCATGTGTTATTTATAAAGATGCATCAAGATACTGCGAAATACAGGTGTTATTTCTTATAATTTAATCATGGTCTCTTACCTGAAGGTACTAGAGAATCCTGTTCAATAATCCTTGCAGAGGCCAAATCACTGATAATATACTGTAACCTTAAATGCTTGAATACTGACACAAATGGTTTTCCTTGCTCAGTTTCAAGAAAGGTCATGCCTTCAAAATCTATTAAAATAAAAGATTAGTTGTTTTTTTGTCCTAATTTATTAATATTCCTAAATATTTTTCTGAGCAGGAACACACATGCCCTCTCTTTGAATATTAATAATCTCATTTTAAAGGTTTTGGGACTTCACACTGCTCAGATGTGTGGACACTTGGGCCGGAAACTCAGCTGCATACCTCTCTGGAGTGTGGCGTGTTCAGCGCAGCAAGATGGAAAAGGCAGGCCAAGGATGGAATTCTCCAGAATTCTCTCCCCTAGGGACTGAACTCACTTTAGAAGCCGAAATGCCTTCCTTTTTCTAGGATCTTTATAAGATACAAAGGACATGGCTACCATATGGAATTATTCTAACAGGTTTTCACGACTACGAAGAACACTAGCCAATATATTAATTCTCTATGGAAATATAAAATAAAAATAATACACTTTTTACTAGAAATATTCTCAGTTGCATCCCAATGTACTTTCATGAGTAGGAAAGCAACTTCTGGAGTTACTGCTAGTAAACACGGCCCTGCACATAAGCCCTAGACTATTTCCTATTAGACAAAATATACCCATGGCAGCAAACTCATTCCTGTTCCTATTGTTGACTGGCAGGAATGCTGAGTCTCAACTACCAGTCTCAAGCTATGCTTCACATGAAACATGGATCTCCTGCGGACCAGAAAGAAACTCTTGCTCACAAAAATATATTTTCCTGGAAATTGCAGAAAGACAGACAAGGTAATTTCCAAATATTTACCCCTTACATCTCTATATTCCTTTGGTGCCTATCTAGAGTCAAGCAAAACACAAGAAAGCAGTAAACTTAATTAAAAATTAACAGGACTTTGCCTGTTTATAAGCAAAAGCAAAAGGCATGTAGCTGAGATTTACATCTTTTTAAATAGTAACATTAGTTCTGGTAGGTCACATGCTGAACAAAATGTGCTTATTTTATGAAGTGGACAGAGAATACTATTATGTTCTTACAGATGTCCCCTGACATAAGTGATATGAATCTAATGTTAGGTTGTCTCAGAAATCTAAACACTGTCCCATGAAGCCTTTTCTTCGAGGGCAGAGGAGATAGGTTTATTTACTTTTTTAAGTTTGCACAGAAATCGGGCCAGAGCCATAGTAGAGCAGGTAAGGCCTTGCACGCGCTACCCAGTTTTGATCCCTGGCATTCCGTAAGATCCACTGAGCACCACTAGGAGCAATTTCTGAGTTTAGAGCCAGGAGTAACCCCTAAGCATTGCTGAGTGTGGCCACTTACCCTCCCCCACCAAGAAAAATTTAGAGAACTAAAAATATGTTTTAAAAATTCTATCTGACAAAAATGAGGCCATACTAATTGTAGCAGCCAAATTCAACTGCATTCCCTACGTATAATTTTTTTTTATCCTTGTAGTCCTGAAGTACATGAATCTTAAAAGCCAAGTTAAAGAAAATCTAAGAGGGGCTGGAGCAATAGCACAGCGGATAGGGTGTTTGCTTTGCACGCAGCTGACCCGGGTTTGATTCCCAGCATCTTATATGGTCCCCTCAGCACCGCCGGGGGTAATTCTTGAGTGCAGAGCCAGGAGTAACCCCTGTGCATCATACCTTGTGATGAAAAGAAAAAAAAAAAGAAAAAAGAAAGAAAGAAAATCTAAGATAGTATAGGGATGAAGGCATTTGTCTTTCACGCAGCTGACTGGGGTTTGATCCCAGACTCTACATATGGTCTCCTGAGCACCTCTAGGAGTGATCCCTGAGCAGAGCCAGGAGTAAGCTCTGAGACTACCTAATGTGGCCCGAAACAAAACAAAAAAGAAAATGTAAGAGGAGGGGGCCCTGGAGATATATTAGGGATATAATCCCAGGCACCCTATGGTCTCTCAAATACTGCAGGAGCAATCCCCTATCACATAGCCAAGAGTAGCCCTTCCACCCCACTTGGTGTGGCCCCGAAACCACATACATTTTTCAAATTTCAGACATACCTTTTCTCCTCTTAGAAAACCAGACATCTGTTTCAGTCAAAAGCTGTTTTAAAGATCCATTCCAAGAAGGCACAAGTTGAAGGAACATCCACTAAAATTTAGAAATTTTTAAGACTTCATCATTTTCTGATTTTGCATTTTTAAACTCTTTCACCTTGAAATCTAGATTCTGAAATTTTTTCCTTTCTATTTCACAAGCAGTTACAAGAATAATTATTTCATGACATGCTTGTAACATTTCGATGATAGGAAACTAGATGTGTGTGATAAGGAATAAATGGACCCTGGAGGACTGCGGCGAGGGCTTAGTGGCTGGAGTACAGGCCTTCCCCACAGTGACCTCAGTTTGACCCTCAGTCCCACTCGGTTTGCTCAGCACCACTAGATGCACCCCAGAGCACTGGAGCTAGGAGCAGCTCCTGAGCACCAGCAGATGTAGCCCAATAACCAAAAATAAAATAATCCCTGTAAAGTGCTTATGGTTTCAAACACTGTTGTTACAGGATAGACCTTTTACCTATACTTATAGGTTAAGGTTCTAATCATTTTTTTTTTTTTAATTTTAGGAGATTTAAAGCAGTGTTCAGATGGCCTCTGGCCCCCTCCTGGCGTTTCTCAGACAAGGGGGAACCAGCAGTTCAATGCAAGGGTCCAAGGATGCAGTGCAGGCCAGCACACTAGCCGATATTTTATCTCCAGGTTTCTGACTAGGATTCTTAAGAGCATGGTCTGCCTCAAGTCTGACACAGTCATTTTAGAAAATTACTTACATCACTGGAACAAGAATAACTAGCAGTTTGTCTCTTCAGAGAGTGATAAAGTAGAATTACATTTAAAATGTTGAAACCAGGCCAGAGGGAGAGAAAATATATAGTATGATATTAAGGCATGTGGCTGACCCCAGTCTAATCTCTGGCATCACCTATGGGTCCCGAGGATTACTGGGAGTGGTGCTTGAGCACAGCAAGTAAGCCCTGAGCACTGACAGTTGTGCCCCCCAAAACCAAAGAAGTTGAAACCTTCCTAAAGAACAAAGCAGAACATATGCCTAAAGTGCAAAGTAGGTCTTTAAAAGAATCTCAACATTTTCTAGAAAACCTGTGTAAAAATATCAACATAGTCATTAACTAACCAAATCTAAAGTTTTTGTGGTTTGATTTGAGGCCATGCCCAACCGAGCTAGGGAGCTTCTTGCAGCTGCTGGTCAGGGAATCACTCCTAGCAGTGCTCAGGAGTGATCTGGTACTAGGGATTGAACTTGGGCCTCCTGCTTTCAAAGCCTACACTCCAGTCCATTGAGTTACCTTTTTAAAAACCATTAAAAAACATGCCAACATTTCTGATCCCTAAGTAACATCTTTGCTGTTGAGAATAAAACCGAAATAGAGTCCTAAAACAGAAAAATATAAAGGGACAAAATGAGAATCATTCATGATACCAAACCTGTAAACACAAAAACTTTTAACATGCAAGTATATTTTCTCTATTTTTCTCATATTTATAACTGTTCACTAAAAAGCTAGCTAGGGGTCAGAGTGATGGCACAGTGGTAAGGCCTCATAGTTGGCAGACCCGGGTTGAATCCTCAACACACCTCAGGTGGTCCTCTGAACCTCATCAAGAAAGATCTCTGAGCCCAGAGCCAGAAGTATGCTTGGTGACTCCATTTTTGGGTATGGCTCCAAAATCAAAAACAAAATAGCTGTTTCTAATTTTTCACTATTATAAAAAGAACTGAGGTGACATCCTCATGGCATGTTGTGCTCATACCTTTTTAAGAGCTGTATATACATCCATCTCCACTTGCATCACAAATAAGTTAGATGAGCCAATGAGCTGTTTCATGACATTTATACTAGAAAAAATGAATGAGAAGCAGAGTTTATTTTCACGTACATGTTAATGGACTTGGGGGGGAAAAACCCTTTTATCTTTTATCTACTCAAAAGAAAATGTGGAACAAAAATTACATTAAACTTTTAATCCAAGACAAAAAATCTTAAGATATACTTGAACACAAGGAGACTTTTAATTCAGACAGTGTGCTACAAAAGAACTTTTTTGCTAATTAATCAAATTAAAGCAAGGTCCCAATTGGGTTTTAGAATGCTCTAGTAAACTAGCAATCTTCAGTTTTTCACCCTGAATGTTAGAAAAAGTTAAAAAGATTTGTCAAAATTAACTGGAAATGGCTATATCTTCTAAGCAACCTTCAACTTCTAGGCTTGAAAACACACATGAAGTATGTACCTATAGTATTCATAAAACACAACACTGTAGGGGCTGGAGAGATAGCACAGCAGGTAGGGCGTTTGCCTTGCAGGCGGCCGACCCAGATTTGATTCCCAGCATCCCATATGTCCCCCGAGCACCACCAGGAGTGGTTCCTGAGTGCAGAGCCAGGAGTAAACCCCTGAGCATTGCCAGATGTGACCAAAAAAGGAAAAAACAAAAACAAAACAAAAAAACACAGCGCTGTAAAGAAGGATCACTTTAGTGAAAAATTAAAATTAAATGTGTTAAAGTCAGAGAGGGTTACAGTGGGTAGGATACCTGCCATGGAAGTGGCTGACATAGGTTCGATCCCTTGAGTCCTGCCTAGAGTGATCCCTGAGTGCAGAGCCAGGAATAAGCCCTGAGCCCTGCTGGGTGTGGCCCCAAACCCAAAATAAAACAAATGTGTTAGCTTCAAGTTAGAGTAGAAATATCACTAGTAGTTCTTTTTTCTTTTCCTTTATCTTTCCTTCAGTACATGAAAAGCATGTGTGTGTGTGTGCGTGCGTGCGTGCATTCGTGTGTGCGTGTGTGCGTGTGTGTGTGTGTGTGTGTGTGTGTGTGTGTATGTTGACGCACATGCACTTCTGGCTTCTGCAATTCTTTGCCAACTGGGCAGGTGGCTCAGTTCTAGGCTCTGCTTGAGCTCTATAGTCCCAGGGATGGAATCTGAGTCAGGCACTTTCAGCCCATCCTAACCACTATCTCTTTGCCTTCTGATGATCTTCAAAAACCAAACACATTTGCAGAAAACACTGTTTATGCTTTGACATCATTAAGTGCTGACTTTATGTCGAATGACCTAACCTCTGTACTACTTCCTGACCCTCTAAAGACTTTCAAAACATACTGCAGAGAGCTGTGTTTCTGCCTTGGCATCTCTAAGTGATGCAGGTTGCTGCCGTTGTTTTTTTGTTTTGTTTTGTTTTGTTTTTTTATTTAAACAAAAGCATCTCTAAAAGGCAGAGGGAAAAAAGTCCAGAAATCCAGGATGCGGGTTAGCCATACAATTAACATTTTTATTAATTCCTGAATTCCATCAAGAAAGTTTTAAGAAACGATAGTTCTCTCTAGTCCATATTATGCTAGGGTCTAAAAAGGTTAGGTTTTCTACCTCTTTTCCAGCTTTATGCCCCATATCAAAACTGACATTCTGGGAAGTTATGCATGTTATCTGGGAAGTGCTTTGGTTTTGTCTCTCTATTGGAAAGACACATATATTCCTCAGGACACTCATATCTGCATCTCAGAAGCATGACTGTCAAAGATGCAAGATCCTGAAAAGGACTATCAGGCTTACTTACTGATCTTTTAAAAGGTCACTGCTTTCCTAAATTTGTTGCCCTTCACAGTTATCTTAACTCAATTAAAACAAACTCGGGGCTGGAACGATAGCACAGCGAGTAGGGCATTCGTTCGCCTTGCACGCGCGCCGCCCCAGGTTCGATTGCCAGCATCCCATATGGTCCCCTAAGCACCGCCAGAAAGAATTGCTGAGTGCATGTGCCTGTGCGACGCTGGGTGTGACCCCAAAAGCAAAATAAATAAATAAATAAAATAAACTCTTTGAGGACTAAAATCATGACACAACCCCTATCACTGAACTTGATACATAGCAAACATTTAGAATTATTTGCTGAAGGAATGAATAATTCACACACTTAAAAATCCACCATATGTGATTTATGTTCCAGTGGCTTGGGGAAAAAAAGTCTTAAAATACACTTTTAAAATCTATAAATCCAGCAATTCACAAAAAACTTGAAACTTTCCCGATTTCATAGCAACAATAATTCTACTAAAATGTTCACTTGCAGAAAACCTAATTCTAAGATGTCACTTTTAACGAAGAAATAAAATTCATGTAACATTTCTTCAGTTCATACATTTCATTAAATCATTTTTATAAGTAGCATATTTTGTTTAATACAAAATTACGTAGCCTATTTTAAAAATGAAAAAGTATTTTATGATTAATTAAAAGTTATTTAAAATTTAAATACCTGAGTTCTTTAAAAAGTTCAACATTCTGGTGAGTCATCAAGTTGTTTAGAAGCCATTCAAGACACCTGAATTCAAAACATGTACAATTACATTAGCTTATGGATTACTAAACAGGACTTACATTTAAAATAAAAATAAAGCAGTAGTCTTGCTAAGACATGCTCAAAAAATTTTAATAATGAATATTTAATGTTGCTTTTGTAGCAATTATTAAGTGAATGTCATCTTTTTACTAATGGGAGCACCCTAATAAGAAAACCTCATTTTCTGTTTATGTGAAACGACTTATCGTTTATTTCTGTACCTTCTTTATAATCTGAAATGAGTACTGTAGGGTTCTGAAGTTAAGAATGTAGCCAGTAGCTGCACAAATATGTCTGCTATGCTCATTCCTTAAAATTTAATAGAAAATATACACTAAAAAGTGATCACAGTTTTTTTAATTAGTTTTTTATAAGCACGAATAACCTATCCATATTCACAAAGACAACACCTTGAGGCATTTTATAATTAGTCCAATGTAAAAAACAAGTTGCTTTTTAACAACAAAATTCTATTCTTTTTTTCCCACCTCTTTTTATAACTACACATTCTCTTACAAAACTGAAGCAATCTAATTCCCAAAAGTGGAACAAAAGGAAAAACAAGAAAGGGAACTCACTTTTTCTTCACAGAATCTAATCCATAGGTCCCTGCTGATGTGTAATAGCCACATACAGTTTTCACATTAATTGTTTCCTTCATTGTCTCACCACACTGCTGTATTAAACCATCCTGCAAATATAAATAAGCATTAGAAAGACCCATTTTATGTGGGAAACATCAGTTTTGAATATGTGCTTTTACAGGTTGGGGGGGAGGGAAGACAAAGCTAAGTAAGAGTAGCAAGTTTAGCTTTTTTATTAAGTCCATTAAAAATAACACACCCGGGGCTGGAGCGATAGCACAGCAGGGAGGGCGTTTGCCTTGCACATGGCCAACCCGGGTTCAATGCCCAGCATCCCATATGGTCTCCCGAGCACTGCCAGGAGTAATTCTTGAGTGCAGAGCCGGGAGTAACCCCTGAGCATCTCTGGGTGTGACCAAAAAAGCAAAAAAATAAATATAAAAAAAACACACCCATAGTGCGCACAAATAAATTAAAAAAAAAAAAACTGTCCAGTAAATAGTAAAACAAATTCTTAGAAGAGATATAAAGGCAGTAAGATGAACATTTTTAATTTTTCTTTTGTATTAAATGGAGCTCTGTTTGCCTCTTCTTTTCAAATTTAGACCCCTTTACAAGGAGCAAGAGAGGCAAGGGGTTAAGGTATTTGCCTTGCATACTGCTAATTCTACATAAATTGTGAATATCTTGAAAGTCGGGATTATATTTTCCTTTACCTCTGGATCCACATGAGTAGTTTTGAATACTCAAAAGGCTTCAGCTGAAACAAATCTGTCATTCTACCAAAGTTTAAAATTAATTTATTATGTGATTTACACACAGTACTGTAGCACTGTCATCCTGTTGTTCATTGATTTGCTCGAGCGGGCCCAGTAACGTCTCCATTGTGAGACGTGTTGTTACTGTGTTTGGCATATCAAATAAGCCATGGTTAGCTTGCCAGGCTTTGCCGTGCGGGCGAGATACTCTTGGTAACTTGCTGGGCTTTCCAAGAGGGGCTGAGGAATTGAACCCGGGTCAGCCAGGCTGGCCCTGTGCAAGGCAAATGCCCTACCTGCTGTGCTATCACTCCAGCCCAATTACTGATTTACACATAAATGAAGAAAAAGTCTGCATACTAAGGACTCAAGCATTTTTGAATCCAAGAACTAAAGGAGTCAATGATAAGCTATCTGATGTCACTGTCACTGTTCTCCCGTTGTTCATCGATTTGCTCGAGCGGGCCCAGTAACGTCTCCATTGGAGACTTTGTTGTTACTGTGTTTGGCATATCGGATACATCACGAGTAGCTTGCCAGGCTCTGTCTTGTGGGTGAGATACTCTCGGTAGCCTGCCCGGCTCTGATAAGACATTAATAAACGGGATTCTGTAAATATACTTAGACAAGCAAATTTTTATTTTAGCCATTCTAAGATATAAACAGAGATAACTTCCAATCATTTTACATAGACAACATGACCCCCTTAGTTGGATAAACATGTTTTGAGTTAAGTATTTTAAATGACTTAACATAAGCAGTTTACATGTTTCATTATTTTAAAAACTGTAAAAATCATGAAAATCTAAGCTCTAATTCTAGTTTGTGGAACAGACCCTCTGAAACAAAGACACAACCATGATTCTTTCTGTAATTAAAGTCGATACTTACCAATTGCAGCATACAAGCTGCCGCCAAAATGGCAATAACACGACTGGGCTTTATTAAGACATCATCTCGATACAGTGAACCAAACGCAACCTGCAATGCTGAAAGCAAAAGCATTATTTGCAGAAATGAAATAATTACACCGTAAGAATATTTTTAAAAATCACATAATGACTCTAGCTTCACTTACGTTTTTCTAAATTTTTGTAGAGAAAAGAATCACTAATTAAAATATTGGTAATGGTCACTTATTGATGATACTTGTTTAATAATCATGAGATAAATCTCTATCTAGTCTACCAAACTGAGCTAGAATTGTCTACATGCAATCTTGACATTAATGATCAGAAGTGAGGCTGGAGCGACAGCACAGTGGGTAGGGAGTTTGCCTTGCGCACAGCCAAACCAGGTTCGATTCACAGCATCCCATATGGTCCCTGACCACTGCCAGGAGTAATTCCTGAATGCATGAGCCAGGAGTAACCCCTGTGCAACGCCAGGTGTAACCCAACAAGTAAAAAAAAAAAAATCAGGATTAATATAGATTTGGGAAAATTTTTATACCCCCAAACAAAAAATCATTAAATATAAATACAAGTATATCTTAGTGCTTTCAATGACTTACTAGAGTGGAGTAGAGAACAATTATAACATTAGTTACCTTCTATATCTATATTCTGGTCAGGAATCTCCAGTTCAATAATATTCATGCTGGATTCTTTCCATGAACCACTGAACATACTAGAAAAATAGCCAGACTGAAAGGTGAAAAAAAAAAAGGATTACTGAATACTTTGGAATTCAAAATTATTTTCCTATTCCTAACTTCAAGTAATTAATTTACTAAACTAATTCATTATGTTTCATAGAAAAAAAGTACAGTCAAATATGTCTATAGGGAAAAAAGAAATTAAGAATACTAAAATACTTCTGACCCTTTCTTTTGGTTCTTGGGTCTCAGCTGGCAGTGGCCTGGGGTCCATAAATACCAGAGACTGAACCTGGGTCTCCTGCATGCAAAGCACAGGAGACCTCCTCCAGTCCCTGCACTTTGAACCACAGCACCCAACCCAATACTTTAGTTTACTGCTAATAAAAACTCAACCAAATACTCATATTACTACCTGAATTTAACACCTATTTGAGCCTCTCCGCTTTTTAGTTAAAACAATTTCAGGACCAGATAGCTAGTCTGAGAAGCTTTGCATGTGGAATGCTTGGGTTAGATGCCTGGCACCACACAATCCCCAAGCACTGCCAGGTGGGGCCCAAAATACAAAGGAAAACAAAACCACCAATAATATATTACATGTTTTCCTCTCAGGCACACTCTAAAGTCAAGCTTTGGAACTGGATTACACATCTTTAAATATTCCTCATAAACACATGATTACACATAAGATAGGTACTTTTTAAACTGAGGAAGAAAAATGACCCAAAGCCTTCCCTCTGTTAAACTTTTATTGTACTTCAGTGGCTGTAAGGGTCCAGATCAGTCTGGACTCACTAAGCATTAATAGGATGATCTCTAAAGAGATAAGGGAAAACCCACTGTTTAAATCAGATTTTTAAAAGTCCAAATAAACTGGAATTCATGGAATTCATACCAGAATAGGTATGTCAGCTAATTAGAATTACTTTAGAAAGGGTTCAGTATTAACTAGCTGGAGCCCAGGGATGGCTCAACGTCAGAAATACCTTTCTTGTCTGTGTGAGGCCTGAAGTTGAATCCCCAGTATGGACCATATGTGCTAACTCTGCTGTTGGGGATTCCTGGTACGACCACAAAGTGCTACCCACTGGTGAGCACCAGAACCAAAAATGTGTAAGTTCCATAGCCAAGTGTGTGACCCATGTATGTTCATTAATGAGTAGGACCCTGGCAAATATGTGTAAGTGTATCCACAAACATTACAACAGCAGTGGTGAGAGCAACAAAAGGGGAGGGGGGAAATGTGTGTGTGTGTGTTGTGTGTATAATGTATATGCACATAGATACATAAACCACACACACAAATATATGCACACATGCTGACCTATTTAAACAATTTTTCCCGAGTTCTTAATATATAAAAGGCATCATGAATATAGCAGTAAATAAAAGACATGACATCAGGGATTTCTTTATATTTCAGCGTGTACTTGCACTTTGATCAATCCAGTTTCTCTTGAAAGCAAGGGATTCTCAGTCTAAGGTTAAGAGCTGCTTTCAGGGTCTGGAGCGATAGCACACGGGTAGGGCCTTGCATGCCACTGACCCGGGCTCAATTCCCAGCATCCCATATTGTCCCCCGAGTACCTCCAGGAATAATTCCTGAGTGCAGAGCCAGGAGTAATCCCTGAGCATCGCTGGGTGTGATCCAAAAAAGCAAATAATAATAATAATAATTAAAAAAATTAAAAAAAACAGCTGCTTTCAGGGACAGGGAGATGGTTCAGTGGACTGAAGCACATGCTTTGCATGCTGGAGGTGCAGGTTTGATCCCTGCCCTGCACGGTCCCCTGAGTCCCACCAGGAGTGACTCCCCAGAAGGAGAAGTAACTTCTCTCTGGCACTGCACCAGGAACAGCACCTGAGCATTTCCAGGTGAGACCCAAACACCCCCACCCCGCAGCAACCCCCACCCCCAATTTCAAATATTAAAAAGAAGTTTATGGGGAGGCCAGAGAGAGAATACTGCAGGGAAGGCATTTGCCTTGCACATGGCCAACCTGGGTTTAATCCCCAGCGTCACATATGGTCCCACAATCACAGAGGCAGGAATAAGCCCTGAACACCTCTGGGTGTGGTCTTCCCCGCAAATAAATCAATAGAAATAAAATTAAAATAAAGCGTTAGAGGAAAAAAATTTCTTTTAGATGTTTATTTAAAAATCTTATCTTGGGCTAGAGAGTGAGTACAGCAGGTAGGGTACATGTCTTACATGCAGCTGACCCAAGTTTGATCCCTGGTATAGTCCCAAGCACTACTGGGAGTAAGCCTCTAAGCACCACCATGTGTGGCCCCCAAAACCAAACAGAACCAAACCAAAATAAAAAAGTCTTGTCTTGGGAACAGAGAAACAGCCCTGAAGATAAGGTATTGCCCAGCTTGCAGCACATGAGGATTTGATTCTGAACACCATATCTGGCACCCTGAACACCACCCAAGAACAGAGCCAGGAGTCAGCTCTGGGCAACACAACATCCATTTTATTTCTGAGCCACATCCAGTAATACTCAGGGCTTACTTCTGCCTCTGCTGCTCTGGAATCAATCCTGGTGGGGTTGGGGGGACCACTCGGGGTGCTGGGAATCAAACTTGGGTTTAGTCACATGCAAGGCAAGCAGCCTATCTGCAATACAATCTGGTTCCCTTACCCTACAAAAAATTTTATCTTAGGTGTGGGGCTGTGGCTCAGCAACAGAGCACTTGCCTTGCATGTGTGAGGCCCTGGGCTTGATCCTTTGGCACTACAGTGTATATTTACTGTCAAAGAAATTACTGTGATGAAGAAATTACTGTGATGAAGAAAGGGAAAACAGAAAAACATAAGCTGCGTAGGATAGAACTGAATTGCTTATTACTTATTCCCATTGTTTAGAACAATATTTAGTACACAAAACAACATAATACTGGAACTATCATAGCACATTTGTTCTCATTTTGAAAGCTATGAACCTTTAAAATTAAATGGGAGAGAGCAATATTTCCAGCACAGAAATCAAATAGGTATATTAGCTTAATGATTCTATATAATTTTTACTCTTGCCATTGACTGCATTTTTTAAGACAGGAGAATGTCAAGAACTTCCCATTTACATTCAACTTTAACCACATACATAGCAACATTTCAGATGAATCTATCCAATTGAAATATTGATATTTAAAACAAATTTAGGGGGCCCCAGAGATAGTCTAGCAAGTAGGGTACTTGCTTTGAGGACTCTGACCCAAGTTTGCTCTCCAGCACTCCATATGGTCCCATCCAACTGCCAGAAGCAATCCCTCAGCATAGTCAGGAGTAAGCCCTAAGCACTGCTAAGTGTCATCCAAAAAAACAAAACAAAAAAGCCTTTGGGCTGGAGAGACTGTAGAGCAGATAGGGTGCTTTCTTTTGCATGTGGCCCACCCTGGTTACCCAGCACCCAATATGGTCCCCCAAGCACATCAGGAGTGATCTCTGAGCAGAGACAGGCGTGACCACTGCCAGGTGTACCCTCCCATCAATTTATTTTAGATATCTTAATTTTATTTTATTTTTTATTTTTTAAATTTTATTATTTTTTAAATTGAAGCACTGTGATAGACCCTTACAAAGCTGTAAAAATTTAGTTCTTAATTACAATGTTAGCATAATTCTAATAAATGACACTGTCAGAGGACTAAATGATTGTCCGTGCAAAAGATTACTAAGAAATGCAGTGAAAAAGAATATGGTTTAAAAGTGAATTTTAAAAGTGACTACTTTGGTTACTCAGATAGAAATAGAAAATACTTACTTGACATAAATATATTTTGTGTAAGCTCCATTCTTCTCCTAGCGCACAAATCTTAATGTCACTATTTTCACCATTCAAAAATAATGTCTGATAAATATACTTGGATGTACTCTTTAATTTTTTCCTGTTAAAAAAAAGTAAATGTTACCAATGTGTAAAATAGAATTACTTCATATGCAATTCAAGATATTCCTTTTACAGACACAGAATGATCTCTCTCAGATGTGGGATACAAAGAAACAGAGGTGGGGGGAAGGGCATGGTGCCACTAGCAGGTCAACCTGTACTTGTGGGGCAAGTGCACCAGCAGCCTGATGGTGCCTTCAGACTTCCTGATGCACCAAAATTTCTGCTGTGCCTTTGGCCGGACCCAAGAACTTGGGGCCAAGTTTCCAAGAAATTAAGCGGCCAAAAGTTAGGTATGTGGGAGCCACGCCCACAAACCACCTATGGCTCAGCTTATGAGCTCATTTATTGGCCTTATTTCAGAGACCCATAAGTACATCTCAAAAGAGATCAAAAGCCAAAGTTAATCTTGGACCTGCACATGGCTGAACAGACTGGGGCAAATCGGAGGGGGGCTTGTTGGCCAAGGGCCCACCCAAGCAGAGCCCCCAGCACCCGCTTCCTTCCACAATCCAAAATCACCGCCATATCCCAGCCTGACTCCACTGTCTCAGGACGGACTTCATCAAGATATAATCTGCTGAAAATTCGAGTATGCGGGTTTTATGACTAAAATCTCCAGGCTTTTTTGGAGTTGAGATGGGCTACTTCCCTCCACTTCCCAAACATTCCTGGAAGCATTGGCAGTCACCCCCCCCACTAACCAACTCCAGCGCCCGCAACCACGTAAGCTCTACCACCAGTCTTGCTTCAGAGACCCATAAATAAATCTCAAAAGAGAGCAAAAGTCGCAGTTAATCCTGGATCCACGCATGGCCGAACAGACCGTTGGAGGGGGACAGGTTGGCTGGGGGGCCCGCCCAATCAGAACGCCCAACAGACTCTTGCTTCCACAATCCAAAGTCACTGCCATATTCCCAGCCTGACTCCACCATCTCAGGATGGACCTCACCAAGATATAATCTGCTGAAAATTTTGTAATGTGGATCTGAGCGCACCAGCAGCCCTAGCCCAGAGACACAGAGGCAAGTCCCAGTCACGTCTACAATTTGCCACCAGGCGCCATCTTGGCGCACCAACAGCCTCCCCAAGTCATCCTCCACCCCCCCTCCACCCAAGACTGGCTGATATGCCCACAATTAGCCTCCACGCACCATCTTAGCCCACCAACAGCCCTGGCCCAGAGACATAGCAACAAGTCTCAGAAGACACCACAGCACCAGAGATCTCTCTGGGCCCCATACCGAGCCAATATCACTGGGGCACCCCAGATGGAGCAGGCGCAGTCTCCCTGACTACTCCAGATGGAATCCCAGTGACCAAGAGCTTTCATAAGCAAGGTCCAGGTATGCAAGTTCAGGACTAAATCTCCGGCTGCATGGTAGCAGAGGACCTGGGCTGTCCCTCCCTGGGTCACCACACACCCAGAAGACTGGCTGCCAAGCCCACAATTTGCCTTAGGACACCATCTTAGCACACCAGCAGCCCTGGCCCAGAGACTCTCAACTGAATCCCAAAATGGATTAGTGCCATACAGAGATGTCTCTGGAACCCTACCATTTACAACCTAGAAATTTACATTTATAATTGTGGCCAGGCGTGCTCTCGTGATAATCGAAATGAGCTATGGAAAATATATTATCTAGAGCCGGCCCCCGGCAGGTAGGCTTGAACTGAGCAAAATTAATGCCCAAAATTAGAGAGAGTATTGGGGCAATTGCCATAGAGGCAGGGTGAGGACTGCGATTTATATGTGTGTGGGGGAGAGGGTGGTACTTGGGACATTGGTGGTGGAAAATGTGCACTGTTGGAGGGATGGGTGTTCCATCACTGTATGGCTAAATCTCCAACATGAAAGCTTCGTAACTATCTCACGGTGATACAATAAAATAAAAAAGTAATGTGGAGTTCATGCCCAATTCAAGCAGCTTAATCAATGGCTGAACAAGCAGCAGTACTCCGACATTCTTAAAAAAAAAAAGTAGGAAGACAAGTTAGCACTGATTTTTGCTTATCCCTATTTAGAAATCCACAGAGGGCTTCGATACAACTGTAGTAACACTTCTATGAAAGAACAAAAATGAAAAAGTAGAAATTTACCTACACAAGAAATTTTTCAAAAAATGCACTTAATCTTTTGTTAATACCAAGTATTAATAAACTAGTTTAAATGTTATTTCCTCCCACTGGACAATGGTTTGTAGTTTAGAACAAAAAGTTTCAAAATTATGCTCAATAGAAGTGTCTTAATTTAAAGGAAGAATTATATATATATTTTTTTCTTTTTTGGGTCACACCCGGTGATGCTCAGGGGTTACTCCTGGCTCATGCACTCAGGAATTGCTCCTGGCGGTGCTCAGGGGACCATATGGGGTGCTGGGAATCGAACCTGTGTCGGTTGTGTTGGCTGCGTGCAAGGCAAACGCCCTACCCGCTGTGCTATCACTCCAGCCCCATAGAATTATATTTTTTAAGTTTAATACTACTACCCAAAATGATTCAATAAATAAGTCCTAGGCAGAAGCTGATTAGTACCATTTCTATTTTTGTCAATCTGATAGCTTTCCTAAGACTGAGTTAAAACTTTTATTTATTTTTTTAATTTATTGAATCACCGTGAGAAGAGTTAAAAGGCTTTCAGGTTTAAGTCTCTGTCATACAATGATCAAACACCCATCCCTTCACCATTGCATATTTTCCACCACCAAGAACCCCAATATACCCCCACCCTACCCCTCCCCTTGCCTGTGAGGCAGATGATTTCCACTTAACTCTCTCTCTCTACTTTGATTACATTCATTATTTTGACAAAAGATGAACATTATTTGGAATTTTCCCCCCACAATCAGACCTGCTGAAAAGGTATTGTGAAATAATTTGTTTTCTATTGCTGGTTATGAAGAGTATATGATTCTGGATTTCTGATATTTTACTAATTAAGTCTGGAGGAATTTCTGCCAAAAGCCACATAGTTCTGAGACTGGTTTGTGTGCCAGTTTGTGTGCTGGTTCTGCCCCCCATCCCATGAGGCAGAAGTTGCCCCGTCACCGCCGGCTCATACCTGGCTGTCCAATAGGCTCTGAGGCGGCAGCCACCCTGCAGAGGGGGGACTGGGGATGGCGGAAGAGACAGACACCCTTGGGGGGGTGCGCACAAGTACCGCTACATCCTATTACTATGTTCTTTGGACATAATAAGAGATATTTCTGTAGGAACAGCAGTGCATGAATAAAAAAAAACTATTGAGACACTAAGGGTGCTGTGAACCAAAAACGTCTGGGAATCTCTGCTCAAAAAAACACACCAAATTTTACATTCAACTTAGTAGTCAATCTTACTACAAAAAGGAGAGGCATTGGGCCTGGAGTGATAGCACAGCGGGTAGGGTGTTTGCCTTGCACACAGCCGACTCGGGTTCAATTCCCAGCATCCCATAAAGTCCCACGAGCACTGCCAGGAGTAATTCCTAAGTGCAGAGCCAGGAGTAACCCCTAAGCATCTCCGGGTGAGACCCAAAATGCAAAAATAAATAAATAAATAAATAAATGAGAGGCATAGCAGAAACAGAACTATTTGCACAATTAAAACATGCACATACATACACAAATCAATTACTCACCCTTAAATATAGATGGACAACAAAAGATTATCCAACATGAGAAAATTAGGAATATTAAAGACCATGGCTTAGGGGCTGGAGCAATAGCACAGCAGGTAGGGCGTTTACCTTGCATGCAGCCGACCCGGGTTCGATTCCCAGCATCCCATATGGTCCCCTGAGCACTGCCAGGGGTAATTCCTGAGTGCAGAGCCAGGAGTAACCCCTGTGCATCGCCGGGTGTGACCCAAAAAGCAAAAAAAAAAAAAAAAAAATTAAATTTAAAAATAAAAAGACCATGGCTTGGACATAGGGTGAAGGAAAGAAAAACATGACCACTTTCTAAAATTTTTTTGTTTTGCTTTTTGGGTCACACCCGGCGATGCTCAGGGGGACTATATGGAATGCTGGGAATCGAACCTGGGTCGGCCATGTTGGCTGCGTGCAAGGCAAATGCCCTACCCACTGTGCTATCGCTCCAGCCCCTCTAAAATTATTTTTAATTAAAAAGTTCATTGATAAATAATATTGATGAGTTTCTGTGGGAACAGGGAAACAAGGGGAAAGGCGGGGAGACAGTGCCAGGGAGCAAACCAGGGGGCCTCACACAAGGCTTATGCATCAGCACTTACGCACCAGCTACATCCCTGGCTCCCAATTATTACACTTATAATTAACAAGATGCTCTGATAAAGGATTACTCAGAACAATGAAAGAGTTCCTACAAGCCTTTTAAAGCGGGGGGCGGGGGGTGGGGGTTTCGGGATTGGGGTTGAGGGGCAAGGAAGAAGTCTGTTGGGATCTAATCAAGTTCTCATGCTCAGCAAGACAAGCACTCTACCACTGAGCTGAATCCCCAATCAAAATTCACTCTTAGACACAAATACAAGGCTAGAATTAAAAAAAAAAAAAAAAAAAAAAAAGAGCCAAGGGGCTGGAGTGATAGCACAGTGGGTAGGGTGTTTGCCTTGCACGTGGCTGACCCGGGTTCAATTCCCAGCATCCCATATGGTCCCCTCAGCACAGCCAGGAGTAAGTAATTCCTAAGTGCAGAGTCAGGAGTAACCCCTGTGCACTGCCAGGTATAACCAAAAAAAAAAAAAAGGACTGTTTGAGAAGTTAAGGACATTTCTCAGAACACAGAGCAAAAGGATCCAGAAAAGGAAAAGGAAAAAAGAAAACAGAAATAGGTTACAAAGCAGGGGCTTTCATTCAAGCACAGAGCTGGAAGCAGCACAAAACTCCACCAGGTGTGGCACAACACACCTCACCAAAAAAAAGGGTGTGTGTGTGCGTGTGTGTGTGTGTGAGTGTGTGGAAAGTTCCCCAAATTAGTCTCCAGGCTGTAAGGATTCAGCTGGGGGCGGGGGTCAAGTGGTATTAGCTATATACCAAACCACAGAGTCAACAACACTGAAAGTCTGAGATCTAATAACAGTAACCAAACGCGAGCCTGTCAAGGATGCAGGCTGGGGTCGGGAGGGTATCTGGAGATACTAGTGGAGGAAGTTGAGAGTGGTGGAGGAACACTGTATGCCTAAAACTCAACTATGAATGATTTGTACCTCGCGGTGCACATAAAAGAAAGAAAAGAAAAAAGAAAGTCTCGCGGTTCACACCTTGGGACTAGAGACTAGAGAGATGGTACAGGGGTTAAGGTGCTTGCCTTGCCAGGTCAACCCTGGTTAGATGACCCTGATTCAATCCCCAGCACTGCATTTGGTTCCAGCCAGCACCTCAAAGAATTATCCCTGAGCACAGAGCTAGAAGACAAACTTGCAGGCTATCGAATGTAGAAGACAAACTTGCAGGCTATCGAATGTAGCCTGCCCACAGGGCAGAGTCTGGCAAACTCCCCGTGGCGTACCCAATATGCCAAATACCAGTAACAATGATGGGTCTCATTCTCCTAAAGAGCCTTGAATATAATCTCAGGGCTAGGATGAAAGAGACGTTACTGGGGCCTGCTCGAGGCAATCGACGAATAACAGGATGATGAAATGAAATGAAATGAAACAGAGCTAGGAGTAAACCCGGGGTCACTGGTTGTGGCCGAAAAACAAACATACAAACAAAACAAAATAAACAAAAAATTTACACTTAAAGAATTTTCTAGTCAAATTCCAAAGCACCAAAGACTTGGGAAAACTCCAAAAATTCCAGAGCAGAGATCAAGATCAGCAAATTTCTTATTAACAATGTCTAGAAGTAGGGGTTGGAGCAATAGCACAATGGGTAGGGCGTTTGCCTTGCACAAGGCTGACCCAGGTTCGATTCCCAGCATCTCATATGGTCCCCTGAGCACTGCAGGAGTGATTCCTGAGTGCAGAGCCAGGAGTGGAACCCCTATACATTGCCAAAAAGCAAAAAAAAAAAAAGAAAAGAAAAAGAAAAAGAAAGAAACTCGCACTTAGATAAGCACAAATTAATTCTCTTTTTATAATTTCTTAGGAAAATACTTGAGGATATGGTTTCCTTAAAATGCAAAAATGCAATAAACCGCAAAAAAACAGTAGACTCTAGCCTAAGGATACAGTGAAAGTTCCAGGGCAAGTTCAGCAAAGAGTTCAGGAGGAAATGCTCAAGATGATGGTTTAGATTTAGTAGAGGGGGGAGGCATGTGTGTTTGCAAAATCTTGGAGATCAATGTTTTTCTTTTGCAACTGCCAGTGGCAGGGTGAAGATGAAGGTTTAGAAACTGTGGGAAAATAAAAGCAGCAATGCAGGACCAGAGAGATAGTACACGTACGCGGTGGAGTAGAGTTCAGGTCCTGGGTACCACAAATGGTCCTCCGGGCCCTGCCAGGAGTGATCCCTGAGCACAGAGCCAGGTGTAAGCTCTGAGCACTACCAGGTGTGGCCCAAAAACCAACACACAAAGAGAAACACTGTACAAAGGTCCCTCTTTTCCTAATAACATACAAAATCAGACTTTGGTTTTGGCCAGACCTGGAAGTGCTCAGGACTTACACCTGGCTCTCTGCGCAGGATCACTGCTGGCAGGGCTTAGGTGACCATATGAGAATGCTGGGGATCAAAATAGGGTCAGCTACATGCAAGACAAGCATCTTACCCACTGTACTATCTCCCTGGACCCTCAAAACAGATTTCATGCACATAAAAGATAAGGGAAAAAAATTCTATTTAACTATGCTACTAGGAAATTTCTCCCAAGAGAAAAATAGGGGGTTGTGACACTGGACCCATAAAGTATGATTTATTATCTTAGTATCCTACTTGACTACAGTGGATGCAATCCCCTTAGAGATAACAATAAAACTATTTAATCCAGCTGTTCTAATGAGATCATCTACAGGCAAAACACTCCAAAGCCAGTTGTACAATAGTTCTGTTGATATAAAAGTAAAATATTTGGTAAAAAAAATTGTTAGGTGATAGATGGGCCTAGAAGTCAGTACTTTTGAGGAAGTAGTTGAGATGGGAGCGCACTGCAGACGGCCTTAGGAAACTATGAGTGCCCACAGACAAAATTCTGGTTCTTTATTATTTCTCACGCTCCTCACTCTGGTTGAGTGAGCGAGGCACCTTCCGCTGATCTAACACAAACTAACATCTGGTATTTATCTTCTTTTTTTATGATGGACATGCACTATAGCACTGTCCTCCCGCTGTTCATCGATTTGCTCGAGCGGGCACCAGTAACACTGTGAGACTTGTTGTTACTGTTTTTGGCATATAGAATATGCCACGGGGATCTTGTCAGGCTCTGCCGTTAGGGCGGGATACTCTCGGTAGCTTGCTGGGCTCTCTGAGAGGGACGGAGGAATCGAACCCGGGTTGGCTGCATGCAAGACAAATGTCCTACCCACTGTGCTATCGCTCCAGCCCAGTATGATGGACTTACTGTAAAAATTATTAATGCTAATGATTATGAGATATAGGTATCCTTAAAATAATCACCAATCACATCAAAATCCAGCTATTGATGTGACAGGCTCTTTCTAATAAAGATTTTGCTTTAAAGACTTTCCAGTCCAATCCATTCATATAGTTCTAGGGTTGGTAATTGGTTTCTGTAAAGGTCTAGTCTAGGCTGGGTGTTTTCGAATTTATAGGTCAATGGCTCCAAGGGAATTTTGCTGGCATGGTCCCAGTGGATCATTTCCTGCCTGCCAGCTTCAACTACATCACTGAAAACTTCATCCTATGGGTTACAGCCTCGCCTCAGTCAACAACTAAACCACAGTTGGAGAAAATGATTCTAAAGGGGCACCTTCTTTGGGTATCCTGCTTCAGACTCAGCAGTACTACTGCCCTCATATCCTTTATTCCTGTAATTTGGGGGAGATTTCATTACCTTAGTAAAATTTAGCAGTTCAGTAGTTCACTACTGATTACTAGTTAATAATAACATTAAATTTTCCCTATTTAAATTACTGTGCAGATTCTCTCTCTCAAATGTACCTGAACATCTATTTTTCAACAATTACATTAAATGTAAATGGCCTAAAAACAAATTAAAAGGCAGAAATTATTGCTAGATTGAAAAAAAAAAATCAAGCAGTATACTGGGAAGGGCACTTGCCTTGCACGCAGCCAACCCAGGTTCAATCCCTGGCACCTTATATGGATTCCCCAAGCTTTCCAGGAGTAATTCCTAAGCCTGAGCAATGCCAGGTGTGGCCCAAAAGATCTGGAGGGAAACAATAAAGATCAAGACACAACTAAATGATGTTAAGATATCTATTTGAAAAAAACAAAGACACTTATAGGAAGCCAGGGATGTGGCTCTGAGAGAATGACTGCCCTGAATGACTGCCCTGTTTGCGTGAGGCTGTTTGATCCCCCACGGCAAAATATAAAAACTAAAAGCAAAACCCCTCCAAACCAAAGGGACATTAAGTGAAAAAGAGAAAGGAATAAAGATAATACCGTTTAAACACAATAAAGAAAACTGGCAAGAAAGTGGCTATAGCTCTATTATCAGGAATAAAGAGAGACATCTGTATTGACAAAGGGAACCAATTCATCAAGGAGCATTATTTGCTCAGAGGGAGGACCGCTGACTCCCGGGGGTGCTCCAGGGCCCTGAGGATCAAAGGTGGGAGAGGGTGTAGGGGGAGAGGTTAGGGAGGGGGAGAGATGGGGAACTGGCCTGTATTCCAGCCCTTGGAGGCCTCTCCCCTACTCAAGAAGCTACAATATTTACTGTGTAGTTATACACCAAGCACTGGACACACTCTCCTACTGTGCATGGCATTCATTCTCCTACGGGTCAGCTCCCATAAGGAAAATAATATCACCAGTTTATCAAGGAAAAAAGGGTGAAGTGCAGAAAACAAATGAGATCTCATAATTTGAGCTCTTAAAACTAGACTACACCTACTCTCCAAAAAAGGTAACTCAACAATGTGACAGTGGAGGTCCATTTTTATAAATTCACTCACACCTAAGGCTGAGATTGCATAGATCAAGCTATTGACGGGTCATCGACCATGCACTTAAAAAATAAGTAGCGCTTGCACCGCCAACCTGTGCATCATTCTCGAAGGTCTCATTTAGAAAAAGAAATACACCTCTAAGCAACCCCAAATGACCACCTTTTCGCAAAACCGAAAGCCGCCCACAGGGGCTTCCGTGAAAACACACTGTTATCGGTCAGCTACAATCCAGAGCGCAGTAAACAGCTGGCTTTCAATCTCTGCAAATAAATAAACAAACTGCAGAGGTTAAGCAACGAGCAGGCAGCCCCGTGCCTTACACGAATGCACGGCCAACGTTCACGTCCCGGAGTCCAAGACCTGGCTCCTACCTACCCCAGAGCCTTATTGGAGGTGCTGGACCTAGCGCTGGTGAGTGAGGTTCACCTTGGACACTCACGGAGCAGCCTGGGGTGGGGGCGATCCTTTCCCCTCCTCCCCCGGAGCGGCGAGGGTCGCGCCGAGTCCACGCTGGCGCGTCGGGACGGCAGGACCCACGGTCACGGCCACGGCCACGGACCCGCCCGCTCGTCCGCCCGCCCGCCACCGCCGGCTCGGAGGTTCCCGGAGGCGCAGCCCAGGCTTGGTCCGTCCCGGGCGCATCTCGGGGCATCTCGGGGCAGCGTCTGTGATTATTAACGAGCCGCCACCGCGGGGCGTCTCCCCCGGCCCCGGCTCCGCCAGCGCCCGGGCGGCGGCGGCGCGGGTCCGTCCCCCTACCTCCGCGGGGTGTTGAGCAGCCGCTGCTGCTCGTCCCCTTCCTCCTCGTCCTCGTCTGTCTCCGAGTCGGGGTGGCAGTAGCAGAAGGCCCCGCTGCTCCGCTTGCGCTTGCGGCTGCCCGGGCAGTAGCAGAAGCCGTGCGCCGCGTCCCCGGCCGGCTCCGCTCTCCGCGCCGGGCCCCCCGCGGCCGCCGCCGGCTCCTGCAAGGCGCGGGCGCGCCCCGGCTGGCGCAGCACTCGGCTGCTCAGCGAGCCCATGGGGCCGGCGAGCGCCGCTCAGGCCGCCCCCCCGACGCGGCCTGCCGCCATGGCCCGCCGCTCGGCTGCTCGCGACCCCCGCGCCTACGCGGCCGCCCCGCCTCGCGCGGCCCCGACCGTTGCGGCGGACGCCACCGCCATCCTCGCCCCGCCCTCGGCGTCTGGCCGCGCGGCGCGCCGGGACCGCGGGGACCTCGGGCCGGGCTTTCGCAACAAAGCCGGGCCCGCACTGCGCAGGCGCGCGGCGAGCCCCCGGAAGGGGCGGGGACGGGGGGGGTGTCTGCGTGGCGGCCGCACGCGAGGAGCCGGCTGCCGGCTGCCTTGCACCGCGGGTGCGGGGGGGGATGGGGGTGGGGGGTGGGGGTGCAGGGGTGTGTGTGTACTGGCGGGGCGAGCGATGTGTGTGTGTCTGTGTGTGTGTGCTGGAGGGGCGAGCGGTGTGTCTTTCTGTGTGTGTGTGTGTGTGTGTGTGTGTGCTGGCGGGGCGAGCGGTGTGTGTGTGTTTGTGTGCTGGCGGGTGAGCGATGTGTGTGTGTGTGTGTGTGTGTGTGTGTGCTGGCGGGGCGAGCGATGTGTGTGTGTGAGCTGGAGGGGCGAGCGGTGTGTGTTTCTGTGTGTGTGTGTGTGTGTGTGTGTGTGCTGGCGGGACGAGCGGTGTGTGTGTTTGTGTGCTGGCGGGGCGAGCGATGTGTGTGTGTCTGTGTGTGTGTGCTGGAGGGGCGAGCGGTGTGTCTTTCTGTGTGTGTGTGTGTGTGTGTGTGCACTGGCGGGGCGAGCGGTGTGTGTGTGTGTCTGTGTGCTGGCAAGATGAGCGGTATGTTTGTGTGTGCGCTGGTGGGGCAAGCGGTGTGTGTGTTTGTGTGCTGGCGGGGCAAGGGGTGTGTGTGTGTGAGTGTTTGCGTGGTGAATGGAGTGTTGTGTGCGTTTGCATAGCGACTAGAATTTTATGTGGTTTGTGTGGCAAGTGGAGGTCTGTGTGTGTTTGCATGACAAGTGGAGTATTGTGTGTGTTTGCGTGACAAATGGAGTGTTGAGTGTGTTTGTGTGATGAAGTGTTGTGTATTTGCATGGCCAGTGGAGTTTGTGTGTATGTTTGTGTGGTGAGTGCCTTTTGGGCCTTGTAAATGAGGCAATTGTGTGTATTTGCATGTTGAGTGGAGCATTGTGTCTACATGGCGATTGGAGTGTTGGTATTTTCATGGCAAGTGGAGCATTTTGTGTTTGGCGAATGGAGTGTTGTGTGTTTGTGTGGTGAGGTGTGTGTGCGTGTGCGTGATGATAGTGAGTAGAATGTTATGTGTGTTTTTGCGTGGCAAATGAAGTGTTTTGTGTGTGCTTGGCGAAGGCAGCAGAAGCAGAACTGGCATTGCAGGGTATGAGGTGCTGCATGCCTGTAGTTGAGTCCATGCTAGGGAGGCCTGGGTTGTTTGCAGCATTAACCCTGGAGTCTGACCTGTCTGAGCTTTTCTTCCTGCAGTACCCTCGTGTTAGCAGGACTGGAAATACCTGCGCTTTTTCTTCTTTCTTCTTTCTTTCTTTCTTTCTTTCTTTCTTTCTTTCTTTCTTTCTTTTCTTCTTCCTTCTTCCTTCCTTCCTTTTTTCCTTCCTTCCTTTTTTCCTTCCTTCCTTCCGTCCTTCCTTCCTTCCTTCCTTCCTTCCTTCCTTCCTTCCTTCTCCATTTTTTGGGTAAACGTTTGTCAGGCTCTAGATGCCTATTGGGCCTTGTAAATCAGGCAAAAAGTTTTGTGGGTTCTAACTTGGAGGGACTTCCCACAGGCTGCAGAGACAGGAAAAAGCTTCCCAGAGACTCGAACCTGGAATGTGAAGTTTTGCTAGACTGGGTGTCCTCCACATTCCTCCTTACCCCAGCAACAGTGGAACTGATTAGAGGCAGGTGCCTGGACTGTTGAGGCTTAAGTAAGTGTTTTGAGGTCCAGGTCCAAGCAAACTGCTATCTTGTCTCATTTTTCTTTTGGGGGGCAGGTAAAGGGATCAAATCCAAGGTCTCACACACTTAAGACAAGTGCTCTACCACTGAGCCAGATCCCCAGTCCCCTCCTGCTACTTTAAAATAAAACCTGTAGTAGGCCAGAGTGATATTACAGCAGGTAGGGTGTTTGCCTTGCTTATCCGGGTTCAGCCCCCAGTGTCCCATATGGTCTCCCCAAACACCATCACAGAGTATAACTCCTGAGCATTGCCAGGCGTGCCCTCCCCCCACACACACACACAAAGGATGTCTAAGTGTTTCCTGTGGAACAAGTGTGGGCCACTGTAGACAGCTAAGCATGAGGTCATCTTAGATCCTGTCCAAGAGGTTTTAGTGGAAGAATAGACTTCAACAGAGAATTTGAAAATGTCATCAAATCTAGGGACTTAAAAAGGAAAATTGCATTTGTCTTGCCAAAGGAACCAAAGATCAGTAGTTCCCTGGTGACAGGGCTAATAAAGGAACCCTAGAGAATGCCCACAACAACCCTCTTTAAACATTTGCCAAAATCACACAGAGTTGATCCTTCACAACTACAGCCGTAATGGTCGGGAAATTACTTAACCAGTTGCCCCTTACTGTGTTTCTTCCTTCTACTGTCCTAGCTAGGTTGGATGTGGGGGAAGGAATAAAAGGCAGCCTAAGTGTCCAAAAGCACCACTAGGTCCCTCTACCCAAAAGTCAGCTTCCTGCTGGCAGAAAGCCTGAGTTGAGTGGGGAAAAGGCTTCAAAATCTTGATTGGATTTGTTATTGGCATGATACTGTTTTTAGGACCTTAAGGCACTTCACAGCCAGACTTTTTTTTTTTTTTTTTTTTTTTTTTTTTTGCTTTTTGGGTCACACCCGTCGATGCACATGGGTTACTCCTGGCTCTGCACTCAGGAGTTACTCTTGGCGGTGCTCAGGGGTGGGATGCTGGGAATCGAACCCGGGTCGGCCGCATGCAAGGCAAACGCCCTACCCGCTGTGCTATCTCTCCAGCCCCACAGCCAGACATTTTTAACTAAAAAAAAAAATATATATATATATAGTTTTAATGTTAAGGGACCTGATTTACCGTGATTCCACATGAGTTTTAGGTATACAATGTTTCAACACCAATCCCACCACCAGTGCCCACTTCCCTCACCAATGTACTGAAATTCTCTCCCACTTCTCAGCCTGTCTCCGCCACAGGTACATTTTTTTTTTATTTTTATTTTTTACTTATTTTTTTTTAATGAATCACCGGGAGGTACAGTTACAGACTTACAAATTTTCGTGCTTACCCATTCTCTACCACCAATGATCCCAGTATCCCTCCCACCACTCCCCACGGGTACATTTTAAAGTTTGACGGTAGTGTGGATCTCCTGGTGGTGTTATCAGCGCTGCGTACCAATATGCCCAAGGCACTGTCCCCTACCCCCATTACCTCCAGACTATCTTTTCTTACTCTTCACAGCCATACTTCTATTTTTTTTTAAAGTTTTAGTCACTGTCATTTCTATAAACTTTTTTGATTGAGGTATACAGTGACTTACAATATTGCTCATCAGAGTTTCTTATGTACCTAATTCCAATACCACACATACCACCAGTGTACCCACCTCCCTCCCCCAAGGACCTTAATGTTCCTCAATTTCAGACCTCCCCCCCACACACACACACAAACTCAGTTTTATGAATCGGTTTCCCTATTATGTTGCCTTTGTTGCTGCCTTGCTCAGTGCACTAAGTCCCACATATGAGGGAGATCATTCTCCATCTATCCCTTTCTTTCTGTCTTCACTCAGTATGATACCCTCTAGTTCCATTCATGTCATGGCAAATTTCGTGATTTTTTTTTCCTTAGAGCTGCATAGTATTCCGATGTGTGTGTGTGTGTGTGTGTGTGTGTGTGTGTGTGTGTGTATCATAGCATCTTGATTCATTCATCCTTATGTATAAGTGGATAGGCATGCTCCACATTTTGGCTCTTGTACCACGTACAGCCAGACTTTTTAAAACCTAAAAGTGATTGACAAATCACGCCTCTATCCTATCTAAACTTTCACCTAAAGGAAGAAGTAGGCCCACTGGATAAAAGCAAGTAGACAATGGAAGCAGAAAACAAGGTTGCTTTCCTAATATTTCAAAACCACTTGTTTTTCATCACTACAAATATTCCTCCAGGGTGACATTATCCAGCCTCTAACACTTCCTGTCAGTAAGTGCTATTTGTTTTAAAAATTTGCCTAAATCCCTAGGGCCTAGGTCTGTGGCTCAGTACAGAGCCTCTGCCCTGCAGGTGTGAAGCCCAGATTAACCTTTAACAGGCTTGTGACAAGCCCAGGGCACTATCACTGAGATGTCACCAGGATGACATCCTGATGTGTGGACACACCAGCCAAGGGAAGAGAAAGTTTTTGGTTGTCAAACACAATTTGAATAAAAGGCTGCCAAAAATGTAACACTTCCAACCCCAGAACATTGGTTGGTTAGAAGCCTTCATTTACTTCAGAGGCAGGTGTCTGAAGGAGCAGTCCTATTGCCTTGTAATTAACCAGACTAAGTATTCTTGTCATAACTTTCAGTAAGAAAGTACTTCTTTTTGTTTTCAGACATGGTGTATTTATTTATTCATTTTAATTTTTATTAGTGAAACACCATGAGGTACAGTTGTAGACTTACAAATTTTTGTGCTTGGGTTTCAGTTATACAATGATCGAGTACCCATCCCTCCACCAGTGCCCATTCTCCACCACCTCTAATCCCAGTATCCCTTCCACCCCCCCCATCCCCCCATCTCACCCTGCCTCTGTGGCAGGGCATTCCCTTTTGCTCTCTCTCTCCTTTTGGGTGCTGTGGTTTGCAAAAGAGGCATTGAGTGGCAATCATGTTTGGTCCATAGTCTACTTTCAGCATGCATCTCCCATCCTGGGAGGATCCTCCCAACACCCTTTATTGGTGGCTAAAATATAGCATAGCGGTAGGGCGTTTGCCTTGCTCGCAGCCAACATTGCCGACCCGAGTTCGATTCCTCCACCCCTCTCGGAGAGCCCGGCAAGCTACCGAGAGGATCTCACCCGCACGGCAGAGCCTGGCAAGCTCCCCGTGACGTATTCGATATGCCAAACACAGTAACAACAAAGTCTCCAATGGAGACGTTACTGGACCCGCTCGAGCAAATCGACGAACAACGGGAGGGCCTTTACCTTTACCTTTACCTCTCTAACTGAGCTGCCTTTTCCCCTAGTGTGAAGAAAGCACTTCTAATAAACAAACTGGAAACCAAAGTCATTCATCAAATACAATAGATACAGAATGGTTTAAGATAACAACTATTCTTTTATATTTTTATTTATTGGGAGAGAAGGTTGCACCACACCTCCTGATATTGCTCAGAATTTACTCCTGCCTCTGTGCTCACAGGGGTTACTCCTAGCAATGTTGAGGGAAACGTGTAGTAATAGGGCTTGAACCAGTGTCAGCTGTGTGAAAAGCTTCTAACCTCTGTACTACCTCTCTAGCTCTGTAAATTTTTTTTTTTTATGTAGGAGTACTGCTATTTATTCAGCCACTGATTAGCTGATTGAATGTAAATCTTCTTTTTTAATACTTAAATGTTATACTTAGAACAGAGAGCACCATTCAAGGCATAAAAGCATTCTTTTGTATCATTAAGTAGTGTTTGGTATATATGAACATCTGTTTTATAGTAGTAGGTATAAACAAGACAATGTTATTTTTAGTTAATATGATAGTTTCTAATAGAAACTAATATAAGTCCTTCTGATCTCTCTCAAGGATCTAAATGTGAAAACTCAAAAGTAGAAAAGTAATCACAAAAAATATACTTTATTTTAAAAGGCAGCATGTTTTATAAATTTTTTCTATGTTGTATACAAACTAAACTTTTTAATTAAATTCAAGCATGCCTTAAAATTTTTTGAGTGGGGCTGGAGTAATAGCACAGCGGGTAGGGCGTTTGCCTTACATGCGGCCCAACCTGGGTTCGATTCCCAGCATCCCATATGGTCCCCCGAACATGGCCAGGAGTAATTCCTGAGTGCATGAACCAGGAGTAACCCCTGTGCATCGCTGGGTATGACCCAAAAAGAAAAAAAAATTTTAGGAAGGCACATGTAAACTGCAAACATAAATTACTATAAATCAATAAAACTGAAAATGATTAAAATTATTTTAGCACAGCACGAAATTTTCCTTTAAGAAAAGCTAAATCCAGTACATGACACTATCAACAGAATATTTATGTTAGATACTAATATTTTTTCCAATAGTCTCCAAAAGGAAAGAACCCATTAGTTCTAATATTGTGAAATGTCTGGTTTATTCTGATTTATGTCTGGTAGGTAATTAAACATATATGGTCTGTGGACTCACACAACTTACCTGATTTTGGTAGACTTCAACCAGGTTTGAGTATGTGATCATAACAAGATGTGATGAAGGAATTCTTCCACAACAAACCTAGTAAATTACATCAACTAATGCTATGGGTTAATCCTAAACAAAGATTAGTGATTGCTGTAAACTGACTAAAAAAGTCAGTAAACTGAATGATATTCTAACTGATTAGATGCTCACAACTTTATATCAGGGAATTACTATCCAACTTAAAAATGGATTAGGGAAGAAAAGTGATTCTAGAAATATCTTCCACTTTAATAGTCTTTCGCTGAAAAGAAAACATGAAAGAACTGAATATGTTCCAACTTCCGTGAAACACAAATAAGGATAAAATCGGTTAAAAAAAAAACACACGAAGTACATTTCTATTTTTTATTTAAAATCTCCTTTTAGGTTTTAGAAGCTTTGAAATGCAAGTACAGCTTTAAAGCACTTGTAATGGCTAATTATAGATGAATCATAATACAGTTTATATCCTAGGAGGCATCTGTGGGTGTTAATTGGAAATAAGCAGTTTGAGATCATGCTAATAACAGTGTAGAAAAATGAAGTTAAAAAAAAATTCAAAGTGTTGGGAATTCTCTCATCCTTCAGAGACTGTATTTTAATCATCTCCTCCACAGAGAAGGAGCAGGACTTTCTTGTAATCTCCAGAGGTATCACCCTAGGGGCAAAGGAAACAAAGTAACAATCAGACAAATGGGTTTCAAAGCAGAACAAGAAGCTCAAAGTTAAGTTTTTCAAGTTTTTCTGGATTTTCCTTAGAGGCTTTAAAAATAAATTTGCCGCTTTTTTTAGTTGCAAAGTAACACTTCTTCAGTGCAGGTAATAAAAGAACATAGAAATGATCAGTCATAATTCCACCATCTAGAGATTTTTTTTTCTTTCCAGTTTGGGGGCCACATCTAGTGGTGCTTGGGGCTTCTCTATGGCGCTCAGGATCATTTCTATTCTGAATATTTTAGTTTGTGCGAAGCCTTCTAGACTTTTTCCTTTGCACATAGATTTTTATGCAATGGAATGTAGTCTGCTTTTTTATTTACTATAATGAATATTTCCTCATTTAAGATCATTGAATTTTTCTGAGAAAACATTACTTCTCTTTGGTTTTGGGTCACACCTGGAAATGCTCAGGGTTTACTGCTGGCTCTGTGCTCAGGGATATCTCCTGGGTGTGCTCAGGGACCGTATGTGGTGCCAGGATAGAGCATGGATCAACCAAGTGCAAGGCAAATGACTTAACCCTTATGCTATAATGCAGCCCCAAATCATTTTTAATAGAGTATAAAATTATAGGCAGGTAAAATAATATATTTGATTATATAACTTTGTTGGACACTTACATATTTCCAACCTTTCGAAATAAACAATCAACAAGGAGGCAGTAAGCACACAATAGTTACATTTTGTGGTGGTGCTCAGGACTAACTCCTGGCGCTTGAACTCGGGATTCAAGGGATTGCTCCTGGCAGGGCCTGGAGGACCTTATATGCTGCTAGGAATCAAATTTGGGTTTGCTGCATGCAGGGCAAGCACCCCAATCACTCTATCTCTGGCATTGTGCATTTTCTTGATTTATCCAGAATACATTTTATTTTATTTTATTCAGGTCACGGGTCACGGTCCTCCTGTTGTTCATCGATTTGCTCGAGCAGGCCCAGTAACGTCTCCATTGTGACACTTGTTACTGTGTTTGGCATATTGAATACATCACGGGTAGCTTGCCATGGCTCTGCCGTGCAAGCGAGATACTCTCGGTAGCTTGCTGGGCTCTCCGAGAGGGGTGGATTATTTATTTATTTATTTATTTATTTATTTTGCTTTTTGGATCACACCCAGCGATGCTCAGGTTATTCCTGGCTCTGCACTCAGGAATTACTCCTGGCGGTGCTTAGGGGACCATATGGGATGCCTGGGATCGAACCTAGGTCGGCGGTGTGCAAGGCAAACACCCTACCCGCTATGCTATCGCTCCGGCCCCATCCGGAATACATTTTAATAAAATATAAATTCCTGTCACTGTCCTCCCGTTGTTCATCGAGCAGGCCCGGTAACATCTCCATAATGACACTTGTTACTGTGTTTGGCATATCGAATACATCACGGATAGCTTGCCAGGCTTTGCCTGTGGGCGAGATACTCTCAGTAGGTTGCTGGGCTCTCTGAGAGGGGCGGACGAATCGAACTCGGCTAGGCCATGTTGGCCGCTTGCAAGGCAAACACCCTACCCACTGTGCTATCGCTCCAGTCCATAAATTCCTAGATTAATTATTAAGTATTTTCTCTTGAAGGGAGGGAGTTGGGCCACACTTAGCAGTACTCAGGGGGTACTCTTGTTCTACGCTCAGGAGTACTTCTGGCAGTGCTCAGAGGCCAGAGGAGATAAGGTGCTTGCCTTGAATGCAATCCACCCAGGCTGAATCCCCGGTGTCCCATATAGTCCCCTGAGCATCACCCTGTGGTCCCCTGTGTATCACCAGGTGTGGTTCCAAAACAAAAGAATTTCTGGCAGTATTCAGGTGACCAAATGAGGTTGCCTGTCTGCATCTTAGCCCCTGAGCTATTTCTTCTGTTTTGTTTTGGTTTGGTTTGGTTTTAGAGTGAACTAGCTCTTCTGTCCCAGAAATACTCCATAGCTTCCAGAAACATTCTATAATTCCTATATGTAATTTTAATAGTCCAATTAACATCATTTAAAATAGAGGTCAATCTCAACATCAGACTGGAATCCATAAGTTACACTGAAGATAAAGTTGGCAAAACCCTCTATGACATAGAAGCTAATGGTATCTTCAAAGATGTCACGCCACTGGCTGAGCAAGTGAAAACAGAGATAGACAAATGGGACTATCTTAATCTAAGAAGCTTCTGCACCTCAAAAGAAACAGTGACCAAAATACAAAGACAGTCTACAGAATGGGAAAGGATATTCACCCAATACACATCCGACAAGGGGTTAATATCAAGGATATATAAAGTACTGGTTGAACTCCACAAGAAGAAAACATCCAACCCCATCAAAAAAATGGGGCAATGAAATGAATAGAAACTTTTTAAAAAAAATCCGAATGGCAAAAAGGCACATGAGAAAATGCTCTACATCATTAATCATCAGGGAGATGCAGATCAAAACCACAATGAGATATCATCTCACACCACAGAGACTGGCCCACATCCAACAGAACAAAAGCAACCGGTGCTGGCACGGATGTGGCGAGAAAGGGACCCTCCTTCACTGCTAGTGGGAATGCCAACTGGTTCAGCCCTTTTGGAAAACAGTATGGACGATTCTCGAAAAATCAGAAATTGAGCTCCCATTTGACCCAGCAATACCACTCCTGGGAATATATCCCAGAGAGGCAAAAATGTATAGTCGAAGTGACATCTGCACTTGTTTGTTCATTGCAGCACTCTTTACAATAGCCAGAATCTGGAAAAAACCTGAGTGCCCGAGAACAGATGACTGGTTAAAGAAACTTTGGTACATCTACACAATGGAGTACTATGAACCTGTTAGAAAAGATGAATTCATGACATTTACATACAAGTGGTACTACATGGAAAGTATCATGCTAAGCAAAATGAGTCAGAGAGGAATAGATACAGAAAGAATGCATTCGTCTGGGGAACATAAAGTAACAAAATAGGAGACTAAAACCCAAGAGTGGCCAAGATTAGTACCAGGAGGTTTGCTCCATGGCTTGGAGGCCAGCCACACATGCTAGGGGAAAAGGGAGCTCAGATAGAGAAGAGAGCACCAAATAAAGGGTGTTGGAAGGATCCTCCCAGGATGGGAGAAGCATACTGAAAGTAGACTATAGACTGAATATGATTGCCACTCAATTCCTCTTTTGCAAACCACACCACCCCAAAGGAGAGAGAGAATAAAAGCCTGCTACAGAAGCAGGGTGGAATGGGGGGATGGGGGATAGGAGGGATACTGGGATCATTGGTGGTAGAGAATGGGCACTGGTGGAGCGATGGGTATTTGATCATTGTATAATTGAAACCCAAGCACAAAAATTTGTAAGTCTACAACTATACCTCATGGTGTTTCACTAATAAAATTTTTAAAAAATAAGTTAATTAAAAAAAAAATAAAATAGAGGTCAAACCCAGCAAAGCTGGGGTCAGGATGGGACCACTCCAGGCTACATTTCCATGGTTAATTCCCACTGGCTGGCAGTACAGTGTTGCTCAGGCCTGCTTGTTTTGGGGGTCAAAAGGGCCATACCTATAGTATAACATTGGCTTATCCTTTCTCCTCTGTAGCCAGGAGCTATATTAGGTTTACATTAGGTTTATATATAATAGCCATTGTGATGGCTATTGGGTTGTAGCCATCACAATGCTCCCTAAGCACTCCCATTTCCTTGTTATTCATCTTTAACTACTCTGTGCTCTGCTTTCTCTCTCTGTTAATCACTCATTTCCCTTAACCAGAACCTGTGACTTGTAAGGTCAAATCCTTTTAAGGACTCTGGGATTTTGTATTTGTAAGTCAAATATTGTTCTTCTCTTTCCCTTATGTCCTTTGCATACTTTCCTTTACAGCAATGCCCTTTTTGTATACAGAAAGACAGTTAATGCTATGCTTTTGCAACCTGGGAGTTAACTGACTCCAAATAATATTAATTCCTGGGCATGTCATATTTGCTCGACTTAAGCCTTAGTTGCCATTAGTGCTTAATACCCCCAAAGCAGGGTCTCAATGAAGGGACTGGATGAACCCAGGGCAAGCTCTAAGCTACCCTGGCATCGAAACAGGATAGACCAAGCGCCATAAAACGTATAATAAGTTAAGAGCATGGTTGTGGACGAATTCTGTCATGACCCAAAGAGAAATGACTGGACAAGGACCCTGATAGGGCTAGGAAGCACTAATCTGGCTTACAGACTATAGTCTGGGATCTATAGTGAGATGTCCCCAGGAGAGCCACCCTATAACCTTAATATATCTCTTACTGTGTACAACAAAATGATTAGAAAGATTACTAAGAAGTAAATCTAAGATGAATGTTTATGAACTAAGGAAAGAAGAAGTATGTCCTTGGATGAAATGCCACCCTAGAGCAAATCTCCTAGCAGGGGGAGATCTTTGTCTTAGAAGAGCTTCCCAGGAAAGAAGGGAAGGGCTTAACATATGTTGATCTGACTTGGAGTAGTTTCTACCCCCAGTTATTGGGCGTTAGACTAAGGCTGTGAGACTGAGCTCAGGGACGGCAGCATAGGCGACAGAAGGAGACCAGGAATGAAGGGCAGTGTGTGACTGGAATGGGGCGCTCAGTGAGATTTGAATAGGCATGTGGGGAGAATGGGATAACCGGCGACTGATCACCAACCCGCCTGGTGGCCCAGTTCCCTCCTTCATGCATCTATTGGTGGCGGCTGCAGGCCGGGGGTAGTGAAGCGGCTCTTGGCCACTGAAGCACGTGGCGGGAGAGAATCCGTACATTATTTTTGTGAATACACACACACCTAGTGGGCTGGGGTGGACATGAGGTGCAGGAGCTGGAGCTCTACACCTGTGCAGCATTCTCTCTCTCTCTCTCTCTCTCTCTCTCTCTCTCTCTCTCTTTCTTTCTCTCTCTCTTTCCCTCTCTGTCTTAAGGGCTCGACAGCTCATTTTTTGTTAGTCCTTCATGGCACTAGAAAATCTGTCTACTACATACAAAGTTTAACATGAAAGCTATTAAAATGAGTCTTATCATTTCGATGTATACTTTGCCTCATTTATCTGCCAAAAAATAAAGATGTGAGAAAAAAAAATCTCTTCCTTAGCAGAGTATGTCATTAATGTCTTCTTTTGGCTGATCAAGTGTCTCACTTGTTTACTTGAATAAAATACTATTTGGCACCTAACATTTCATGCAGTTCAATCTTTCTTGTAAATTGTAACTTGATGAAGATAAAATGATCTACTTTCTCCTATTCAATACTTCTTTCTCTGGAAATTCTTCTTTTTTACTAAAAGTACAGCTCCTGCTTTCTTTTGATTTTGTGAAATACTCTTTCATCTAACCCTTTTTTAAAAAAGTTTTTTACTCCTGGCTTGGTGCTCCAGGATCACTCCTGGAAGGTCTTGGGGGACCATATGGGGTACTGGGAATTTTTGTTGGGGGCCACATCTGGCAGGGTTCAGGGTTTAATCCTGGTTCGTTGCTCAGGGATCACTCCTGGTGGGCTTGGGGAACTATATGGGATGCTGTGGATTAAAACTGGGCCAGCTGTGTGCAAGGCAAGCTCTCTACCCACTGTACTATTGCTCTGGCCCCAGTATTTGTCCTTTAATGTTGGCTTGATTTTACTTGACACGTTGCCAGGGTTCAGTCAGGTATCAGGAACTGCATTCTATTTTTATATATTTAAATAAGTATATTATATACAATACATGCATGCATTATAAGGTAAAGGTAAAAGGTAAAGGCCCTCCCGTTGATCGTCGATTTGCTCGAGCGGGCCCAGTAACGTCTCCATTGGAGACTTTGTTGTTACTGTGTCTGGCATATCGAATACTCTCGGTAGCTTGCCGGGCTCTCCGAGAGGGGCGGAGGAATCGAACTCGGGTTCGGAGGAATCGAACTCGGGTCGGCCATGTTGGTCGCGTGTAAGGCTAACGCCCTACCCGCTGTGCTATTGCTCCAGCATGCATTATATAAAACATATATATTATATCTAGCACTGTAGCACTGTCCTCCCATTGTTCATCGATTTGCTTGAGTGGGCACTAGTAACATCTCCATTGTGAGACTTGTTGTTACTGTTTTTGACATATCGAATATGCCACGAGGAGCTTGCCAGGCTCTGCCGTGCAGGCAGGATACTCTCGGTAGCTTGCCGGGCTCTCCGAGAGGGATATTATATATAATGTGGTTAAATATATAAACTGCATTACATTTATGCATCAGCTGTTGATGGACAAGTTGTTTCCACTTCTGTCGTGAATAATCTTTTCATCAGTATTCCAACAAGTATCAGAGTCCCTCTTATTTCTTTTTGAGTATATACCTGGGAGTGGAGTTACTGGATCATATGGTAATTCTATGCTTAACTTTTTTTTTTTTGAGGACGTGCCACTCTAGTTCCACAATGGCTGCATCATTTACATTCACACCAGTAACACACAAGGTTCCAATTTATTCACATCCTCGTTTTTTAAATCATTTTTTCCTTTTGCGGGGAGTAGGCTTGGGTCACAATGGTGTGTTCAGGGATTATTTTGGATCTCAGGAGTGACCACTAGCAGTGCTCAGGGGACCATATGCAGTGTGGGAATAGAACTGGTGGGATCTACTGCATGCAAGGCAGGAAACTTACCTCCCATATTATCTCTCTGGTCCTATTCTCTCTCTCTCTCTCTCTCTCTCTCTCTCTCTCTCTCTCTCTCACACACACACACACACACACACACACACACACATACACACATACATGAATTAAAACTGAGCCAGCTGGAGGTGTGCACGGCAAACTCCTTACCCACTGTACTATTACTCTGTTGTTGTTTTTTTTTTCTGCTTTTTTTGGTCACTCCCGGCGATGCTCAGGCAGGGGATACTCCTGGCTCTTCACTCAGGAATTACTCCTGGTGGTGCTCAGGGGACCAAATGGGATGCTGGGATTCAAACCCGGGTCAGCCGTGTGCAAGGCAAACGCCCTACCTGCTGTGCTATTGCTCCAGCCCCTGTACTATTACTCTAGTGCCCAGTATTTGTCCTATAATGGTGTAAATATACAAACAAACACTGTCCTCCCATTGTTCATCGATTTGCTCGAGCGGGCCCAGTAACATCTCCATTTTGAGACTTGTTGTTACTGTGTTTGGCATATGGGCAAGATACTCTTGGTAGTTTGCCGGGCTCTCCAAGAGCAGCAGAGGAATCAAACCCAGCTCTGCCAGGCTGGCTGCGCGCAAACATCCTACCGCTGTGCTATTGCTCCAGCCCTATAATGTATAATATACATATATGTGTGTGTGTATATATATATATACATACATACATACACATACACACACACACATATAGGATGTGGTTTTCATTTGAACTTTCTAAATGATGTTAGAACCTTTTTGTGTGCTTACTGGTAATTTGTATATTATTGTTGGAAAAATGCCTATTCAAATCTTTTGTATTTTTTTAAATTGGTGTTGGTTGCCTCTTTGTTATTAAGCTATAGGAGTTGTTTATATATTCTGAATAGTAAATCCTTGTTAGATATATCATTTGCAATTATTTTATCCCTTTCTATGGATTAGTGCACTCTTATTTTATTTTCCATAAAGAAATTCCTGAGCCAGAGAGATAGTACAGGGGATAAGACCCTAGCCTTACATGCAGCTGACCTTGATTCAAATCCCTGGCCCAGCCTGCAGTTCCCTATACCCCACCAGGAGTGATTCCTGAGTACAGAGGCCAGAGTTAAGTTCTAAGCACAGCTGGATGTGCCCCTCCAAAAAAAATAGACAAATATTATAGAGGCTGAAGATACAGTACAACTGACAATACTCTTGCCTTGCACATGACCAGCCAGGTTCATCCCCAGCACCCCATAGAGTCCCCCAAGTCATGCCAGGAGAGATTGCTGAGCACAGAGTCACAAGTAAGTCCAGAGCACTGCTAGGTAAGGCCTAAAATAATCAAAACAAATTATAGGGGCCTAAAAACAGCATATGGTCCCCAAACTCCACCAGGAGTGATCTCTGAACGCAGAAATAAATCCTAAGCACCTTAGGGTGTGGCCCCAATGCCAAAGAAACCCAAAGCAAAGCAAAGCCAAACAAAAACCCTCTAAGTAGGACTGAGAATATTTCATTCAAGTCCTGATTTGGAATTCTTTGAGCAACAAAACCAGCTTCTAGGGTAAGGGGTCTAGGCTTCATATTCCTGAGCTCCTCCCCACCCCTGGCTTCCTCCAGAAGCAAAATGCCAGTAAGGAGGGACTGTCAGGCGTGTGAATCATTTCTTAGCATTCCCGTGCCATCTTAGGATACCCATATTTCCAGCGCCAGGAAGGAACAGCCTTTGAGGGTAACAGACATGCTTGCCCATATTTTCAGCAGATCTTTGCAGGCGTGGGCTCAGTTCCGGGTGACTGATTCGGATGCTAATCTTACACTGTAAACTGACACATGAAAATTGTGCTCTTCAAAGTATTCATTAAACTCTTTCTCTGGGATTAACATGAAATAATTACTGTATTTAGAGGGCAAATATTTCCAGCTTCCTAGCCAGCAAATGTGAAAGGAGAGAAACTGGAAATATCTGAATGACATGAGCATCTTTCAAAGTGAATGGTATCTTCCAAGAAGGAGAGGACAAGAAGTGCCTAAATACCTAGGTCCGTGCCCCATTCTTTCATCAGCGCTGTCCCCTGGGCCAAGGCAGGCCCTGTCCTCACCTTGATGAAGGAGTACAGAGATTTGCCATACATCCTCTTGAAGTTTGCCCGAATGTCCAGCATATCAATCTCTGCTCGAGAAACCATCACTCTGATGAGGGTGCTATCATCCGTTCCCAGGCCCTAAGGAAGAAAGCAAGATCCCACATATGAAAGCCTCCTTGGTTCTTGAGATGCTCACTCCCATCTACCAAGGCAAGGCAATGGGTGGCCCTCCTGATGATGTTTTTTGTGTACAACCTTAGACTTTTAGGATATTTTCAGTCCTCTGCATGATACTCAAGTCTCTCTTCATGTTATCTTCTCAACCCCATTTTCTGATCAGAGGAAACTACTCTGCATGTAGAGACATAGGCTGTGTTCAGTGATTCCTTCCCACACACCAATGTCTGTCTCTAATCCCCATCCTTGCCATCCTTCCATGCTTCTAAAATCCACTGATGGAATATTTCCTTTAAGGTCCCACTCAACTTTCTTTTATGTTTTTTATGATCCTTCTCCACCAAAAAATATTGGGGAAAAATATCTTAGCCTCTTTAATGCTATAACTTTGAATCATCAGCTACATTTTATTTTGTTTTGTTCTTCTTGATGTTATTTGGTTGTTATTGTTTTTTAGGCCACAACCGGTGATGCTCAGGGGTTACACCTGACTCTGTCTTCAGGAAACCTCAGGAACCGCATCTGATGGGGAACCATATGGGATGCTGGGCATTGAACCCGGGTTTGCTGTGAGTAAGGCAAGCACCCCTCCCACTGTACTATTGCTATGGCCCTCTTCTTGGTGCTTTTTATATTTTCTTTTGTTCTACTTGGTGTTTTACACACCACTGACTTATCCTCAAGGCTATAAGTTCTTCAAGAGTTAGGACTGCATTTTAGTCTTTTCTGTATCTCCTGTGGTTTCCAGCAAAAGAATTTGTAGAGTACAATGTATGATTAAGAGTTGGCATTCTAAAAACACACTTCCCTGTACATTAGTTCTCTCTCACTGAGGACTGTGGAAAAAAAACTGTGGGTATTTTTGTGTCTCAATTTTTTTGAATCTTGAAAATTGGAATTAATATGTCTGTCCCTCAGGCTATTCTGGGGTAAAATTATTCTGTAGCACTGTAGCACTGTCCTCCTGTTGTTCATCGATTTGCTCGAGCAGGCCCAGTAACATCTCCATTGTGAGACTTGTTGTTACTGTGTTTGGCATATCGAATACATCACGGGTAGCTTGCCAGGCTTTGCCATTCAGGCAAGATACTCTCGGTAGCTTGCTGGGCTCTCTGAGAGGGGCGGAGAAATCGAACCCGGGTCGGCCGGGCCAGCTGCATGTAAGGCAAACACCCTATGCTGTGCTATACTAGTAACAGTGATGGCACATTATGAGTACATAATAAATATGATCTCAGACAATCACTAGCAGGAAATCAATAAAATCTTTGATTGAGATGAATAGTTCAGGTTGAAACTTGGGTGGGTCTGTTAGCAAATAAAGGTGCACACAACATATGTACAAGACATTTAGACACTTAAAAATGAGGTAATTTACCTTCATAGATTTATAAAGCCTTTCAGCAAAATATGCAGGTTTGTTCCTCATGCACTTTACTGTAAAGAGGGGGAAAAGAAATTAATAGAATGCAGATAAAATCTATGAAAAAAAGCAATAGCCATTCTCTCTGTACTACAAGTATGACATACCATCTCTTAATTGCTTTTCCAGAAAAATTTTAGCCAAGCAATGTTGAGTGAACAAAAGCTATGCTGAAAGCATTTTCACAAATGGAAAACATTTTCAATGTAGCATCAGTTCCGGAAAAGCCATTGATAAGGGCTGTTAAAGACAGCATATGCTTTCAAAATAGTCACCCTCTATCGTATATAATAGTTATTTATAATTGTTCATAGATTGCAATTCTAGGGTTATCTTTCCTATATACTAAGAAATAAAGGCACAGAAGATATAAAAATACATAGTCATGTGGTATCATAATAATTAGGTAGTATATTTTATTTCTTACTTAAAGTTCTGAGATATGCCATGTCCCAAAATTTAAACCACACACCATTTAAAACACATTTAAGTTGTTGTCGTTGTTTGTATCCCTAAAAACAGTCTACATCTCCTTATAGCAAATGGATAACAAGGAGAAAATCTATAGATAACTGTTTCTCTATTCCCATCCTGGCTAGCTTACCGATAGCCAACAGAGCATCTTCAAAGCTACCAGATGTTTCAGATTTAATGCTCTCTTCAATATCCTTCTTCGAAATTCTTCTGTATTCATCAAACACTACAATTACAAACAGAATTGTAAATAATAAAAGAACAGAACAATTAGAATTCATGGAGAGACTGAGCATCTTTTACCTAGGCACCATTTATTCTTTGGCACATTTCAGGAGGAAGCTGATTAGCATGTGGGTGGGAACCCAAGAGGACTTTGATGAGTGGAATCTCCTGAGGCAAGGAGAAAGAAGGGACCCCTCAGGATGTCAGGCAAGTTTATTCCCTAACCTCGACCCTGTTTTCTCACACTGTGTAGGATAACACTGTTTTGTCCTTCCTGCATAGCCTCAAGTAGTTTAGGTTTATTGGGTTGCCTCCCATCACAGTGCTCCCATTCCTCTGTGTTTATTTGTAACTTCTTTCTTTGTGCTCTGTTAACTTGTAAATATTGTTTTTCTCTTCTCCCTAAGTCCTTTGAATAGTTTATTCAGAGCAATGTCCTTTTTGTATGGATACAAGAAGACAGTATATGCTATGCTTTTGTGACGTGACTCTCAGTGATATTTCCCTCCTGGGCATCTGTTCTCTCACCTAAGCCTCAGCTGCCCTTACTTCCTAGCGCCCCCAAAAGCAGGGTCCCGATGAGAGACTGGATGGAACCAGGGCAAGCGGTAAGCTATGTGCTACCCTGGCCAAAGCGCCATAATGCTTAACTGTAAGTTAGGAGCTTGGTCATGGACAAATGCTGTCATGAATCAAAAAGTAATAACTAGATTTGAACCTGCTAGGGTTAGGAATGATTAATCTGGCCTGAGCACTGTAGTCTGAGTCTGTGGCAAGATGTTTCCAGGAGAGCTGCTCTACAAGCCTCAATGGTATCTTACTGTGTCCATACAAAAATAACAGTATTAAGATGTTGATAGAGTTATTGGACTGAGGAAAGGAGAAAAACACCTTAAGAGGTATTTTGCCTGGGGCTTTGGAATATCTTTTAGGTGGTGTTCTCTTTGAACTTGGTGGGCCCTCAGGAAGGGCTTTCTTACGTTTATTTGGCTACCTGACTGGGTGCAGTGTCAGCCCAGAGTCCTGGGGAGTTGGAAAGGCAAGAGAGTTGGAGAATGAGAGAGAGCGCAGGACTGCAAGATGGATCACGGAGAGGTTAGCAAGGGGGACAGAGAGAGAAGAATGTAGAAGAAGAATATAGGAGCAGGCACATGGAGAGAGAGAGAGAGAGAGAGAGAGAGAGAGAGAGAGAGAGAGAGAGAGAGAGAGAGAGCCCAGGCTGCAAGATGGAGCGCGGATAGATAAGTGGCAGAGATAGGAAGAGACGGCGGCGGGAATAAGGGGCAGTGTGAGACCAGAATAGGAGGCTCAGAGAGACTGGGGTAGGCGCGTTGGGAGAATGGAATAAATGGCAACTGATCAATCGACCGGCCTGGCCCTCGTTTCGTCCACTGTCTGCCCATGGCCTGGGCCACCCCAGTTGGGTGAGCGGCCTGGGCCCACCCCGAATGCGGGCAGTGAGGGGGAGAGCCGTCGGGGCCCCCCTGTCTGCCCCTAAAGATTTTTTACAACACTGAACAGAGATTTTCTTGCTTTTCTCATTATTCCTTAATAAGGAAACAATTTATTTATAATTTAGACTGTGGCAATAACCTGTAAGTCAAAACTAGAGTAACTCAATCTCTTCAAAACAAGTTATGTCTAATAACAGCTGGTTGCATCTTATAATGGTCTACAACATATTATAATATTTTTAGTTTTTGCCAAGCATTTTTTCATATGATGAACATGTTTTCCTTTCTTGATGCTTCCTTCTAGAGCCCTTTTAAAGACTTTTCTCCCATCTGTTTTTTTGTTTTGTTTCATTTTCTTTTCCTGGACCACAGCAATGCTAAGGGATCATGAGGTACCATAGATCAAACCCAATCCCAAATGCAAAGCATGTGCTCCAGCCCTTTGAGCCATCTCCCTGCCACTCCTAGGAGAATTTTTAATTAAGTAAATCATAGAGATGGCCATATAGAGAGTTCACTTTAATGTTAGCAAACATTAAGAATCACAAAGGCCACAGATAGTCCCCCATATACCTCCAGGGGTCACTCCTGAGCACACAAAGCCAAAAATAGCCACTGAGCACAGACCGGTGTGACCCAAAGCCCACCTGCATCCACCCCCAAAACATCTCAGAAACATGCTAACGTTCTGGCTGTCACTCTCAGAGTTGGTAAGTCAGTTCGTCTAAATAGCATAAGAACTGCTATATTTTTGTTTGTTGCAATGTCAGGGATTGAACCCAGGGCCTCATATACCCACACTCACAACAAGTACCCTACCACTGAGCTATATCCCAATTCAAGAACTAGCATTTGAAATGCAGTCTTTCGGCAGCCCTGCCTTACACATAAATCCATGATTCCCTTCTACTGAGATGCCCAGAACTGTCTCAATTTTAGTTCTTTTTAGAGTTTCTTAGGATTCCCTGCAATTCAGTGAACCACTAGTATTTTCATTTTTCCTCTCATTTCATTTCATGCTATTTCCTCTTATGCTGGAGTCAGTGAATATTGATTGAATAAAAAAAAATCTCTCATTGAGGCCCAGGGATGAATCAGTGGTGGAGCATTTGCCTTCTAACCAAGAGGCTGAGAGTTCTATTCCCAGCATCATTCACATGCCTAATTCAGTCCTGGTAGCACTGGCAGCATTTAGAATGCCTGATGTGTGATCACAACAATCAGTGTTGGCAAGGATGTGGGGGGGGGGGGAAGGGAACCTCATTCACTGCTGGTAAGAATATTGACTGGTTCAGCCTTTTTGGAAGACAACATGGACATTCTTCAAAACCCTAGGAATTGACCTTCCATGCCATCCAGCAATTCCATTCCTGGGAATATACCCCAAGGGACCAAAAACACAAAGTAGAAAAGACATCTGCACTCCTATGTTCACTGCAGTACAATGAACATAGCCAAATACAATAGCCAAAATATGTAAATAACCCAAATGCCCATGAATAGATGATTGGGTAATGAAACTATGGTACATATATACAGTGGAATACTACACAGATTTAAGAGAAGTTAAAGTCATAAAATTTCCTGCAACATGGATGGATTTGGAGGGTATCATTGTTGTGTGAAATCAGCCAGAAGGAGAGCACAGACTCAGAATGATCTCTCTCATATGTGGGATATAAAGAAACCTTGTAGGGGAATATCAAATGCCCAATGACAATAGAAATGAAGAAAAGGAGAACTGATCTTCATAGGAAGGTTGACACTGGGGCAGGGGAATGGGGAGGGGGTTGGAGTGATAGCACAGCAGGTAGGGCATTTGCCTTGCACACAGCATCCCATATGGTCCCCCCAGCACCACTGGGAGTAATTCCTGAGTGCAGAGCCAGGAGTAACCCCTGTGCATCGCCGGGTGTGAAACCCCAAAAAAGGGGGTGGTAAAGGGGATAAGTTAGGGAAGGGAACTCTAGGACAATGGGGGAGGGGAAAAGTGCCTGCCACAGAGACAGGCTGGAGGGTGGGAGGGAAACTGGCGACATTGGTGAAGGGTAATGGGCATTGGTGAAGGGATTAAAATTGAAATAATATATGCCTGAAACTCATTATCTTTGTAATTTATGGAGATTTAATTAAAAAAGGGGGGAAAGTATGTTATCTCCAGTGTACATAATTAAGAGTATGACCACAATCTAGTGTGAGACCTCCACAAACATAGTAATAGAATGTGTGCGACCCTGGTAATTGCACCCACAAAAGGAGAAAAGGAGAAAGGGCGAAAACTTCAGTTAACACACTTTCTAAGCATCAGTTTCACTGTAAAGTAGGGGAAATCGTGGTTGTTCCGCTGGAAAAAAACAACCCTTCTAGCATGTTCAGCACTACTGCTAGGAGATAATTATTCACAACACCTTCGCTACTGTACATTATCACTCTTACTAGTGGTTGGTAAGAAAGCTATGAAATTTTACTTATCCAAATGGGGCTTAAGATAAATTTAATTTTCTAATTGTCCAATTCTTGGGGTTTTTGTTTGTTTGTTTGTTTTTGTTTTTTTACTTATGCCAGGAAGCAAAAATAATTGGAAATGTATTTGCACTGACTCAACTTCTGAGGACCTGCAGTTCTTGGCAAGTCTCACCAGAGAGAGATCTGTATTATTATTGATAGAGCCAGGCAAGGAAAGGCAAAGAAATGAGGAGCTGAGTCAGAAGTTGGCGTATCTAATGGCAGCACAGAAGCAATCACCCATTTCTTGACAATGTGAGATATCTGAAAAATAGCAACTTCTAAAATGGGGTGCACTTTTCAATTACTTTATATGCTTAATTTAGCAAACTAATTCTCAAATTTCCCACAAGTTTTGTAAATTGTGTGTCATCATAAGGGCACTGTGAGTTTACAAAATTAGGAGACGGCATAAAATCTAAAGAGCTTACATAAAAGATGAAATATCTTATTAAACTCTTATTTCTGTTTACAAAAATAAAATAAACCTGACCACGAATATTCAACAAATGCCTAGCATCGTCTTCTCCAGGAAGTTAAAAACCCATTACAAAGTCTAATATTATCAGTGGCAAATTAGAAACATTACACACAGGGCATAAAATGTGTAATTATCCACTATTCATCTTCTGCAATATAACCCCTACAGAAATCACTTCTAATAGCTTTACAACTTGGATGTTAAATAGGAATAAGTGTCAACCAATATTTCTATTTTATCACTTGCTGATTTTTTTTATGTGACTAGATTTCAGTGGGACTGCTTTAGAAAGAAAAAAAATAACTAGAAAGGTTGATTTCCTATAAACAGAAATATCAAACTGGTACAACAAATTGTTCATTTGCTAATTATTCACAATTGCTCTTTCAGAAATGTTGGTTATGCACATTACTGCACTTACACATTTCCAAAATAAGCCCTCTAAGACATTCAACAATCATATATCTGTGTCAAGACAAGGGGAAAAGATTCCCTATTAATTCTGTGCCATATAGCTTTCACTCTTTTTCCAATATTCACTTTAGAAGGTGAAGCAAGTGCCTTACCATGCAATAGATGATTTCGATTCCGAGAACAGAGGACAGTTAGAAATTTCACCTCATCAGTCCCCCATTTCTTCTCTCCAGCCTCATACAGGTCCTAGAGCCAAACAAAGCACAAATTAGAGACCCCACAAAATCACATGAAGTCACAGTGCCTGTACATATGCAAGTATTTCCAGAACTTGAAAGAGGTGCATGGCTTAGCTTTATTTGCCAGTGATAGGGGTAGAAAAGAGGCTGTCCAGATGTGGAAATGTCTGAAGATTTTTCTGCATGTATAAGACTACTGGGACCCTGTACTCTCTCCCAGAGGGTTAGACCACACAACAACAGCTGCTGACATGCTACTACAAGGTTCCACCTTATGAGCTTAAAGAAATATCCTTGTCATGGGTGGTCGCGAATAGTAACCACTAATCTTAAGTGGCTGTTTGAAATGTAAATAAAATTAAAATTCAACTGAGTCATATTAACCATATTGTGATGCAAGTGGCCAGATGAGGCAAGTGTGTCTCCAACGTTAGACAGTATTAGGCACATTCTATTGAACCATACTTTTCTTGAGTGATCAATGATTTGTGCAAAGCAGCAAGACTTACAGTAGAGTCTGCACTCACTAGGAACTATTAATTCTCCAATCAGATAACTATAAAGAAATTCATTCTGTATTACTGACAAATTAGAACTATTGTTCACAGCACCTCATTCCTACAGGACAACTCTTAATTTTTTTTAAAACTTCAAGAGCTATAGAAATAGTTAAGATGGGATCAAACTGGCCAACCCCAGTTTGATCCTTGACACCACATATGGTGCTTTGGGAAATGCCAGCAGTGATCCCTGAGTACAGAATCAGTGGAAAAGTCTGAACATTGCTGTGTCTAACCCCCAAACAAAACCTTAAAAATTCAGTTATCAAGACTAAGACTATGGCTCAAATGGTAGAACAGATAGAATGTAGGAGGCCTTGAGTTTGATCCCCAACATCACACAGCACCCCAACAACTGGCCAAATCCCAATCCCTCCAACTGTACAGCCTTCCTTTTTTTTTTTTTTTTTTTGCTTTTTGGGCCACACCCGGTGATGCACATGCACAGGGGTGCTCCTGGCTCTGCATTAAGGAATTACTTCTGGTGGTGCTTGGGCGACCATAAGGGATGCTGGGAATCAACCTGGGTCGTCCGCGTGCAAGGCAAACACTCTACCCGCTGTGATATCAGTCCAGCCCCCTGTACAGCCTTTATAGGTACATACAGAATACCAGGGGATGTGACAGCCAGCACATGGCCCAGACTCAGCTTAGACTCTGGGAATGGTTTCTAGTGGAGCAGAATTTCTTTTTTTTTTAAATTTGCTTTGCTTTGCAGATTTTTTTTAAGTCATCTTTTTTTTTTTTTTTAGATTTACAATTTTTTGTGCTTGGGTTTCGATTATACAATGATCAAATACCCATCCCTCCACCAGCGCCCATTTTCCACCACCATGGATAATATCCCTCCCACCCCCATCCCTCCCATCCCACCCTGCCTCTGTGGCAGGGCGATCCCTTGTGTTCTCTCTCTCCTTTTGGGTGTTGTGGTCTGCAAAAGAGGCATCGAGTGGCAAACATGTTCAGTCCATAGTCTACTTTCAACATGCATCTCCCCTCCTGGGAGGATCGTGGAGCAGAATTTCTAAGATCAGAGTGAGAGAGGCGAGGACACAGATCCTCTGAGCAGCCTGTCACTGCCGTTCTCCTCTGTCTCCAGCCAACACTGACGCTGGAGGCACCGGAAACCATGTCTGGGGTTGCTCTTAAATTCCTGCCTCTTGATATGACTTTCAAAGACCAGGAAAGTCCTAATCTGAGCTCATCTGCTTCTGTCCAGCTTTCCCAGCCCAAACTTATTTGGAAGCAACTTTCCCCCAGATCACTGCTAAGGAGAATTGTGCTTCTTAAAGAGCCTAAAATACTTGTTGACTTAATTGCATGACTTAAAAAAAAAACAGATGGACCTGCCTGGTTCAAAAGAGCCCAATTCCACTAGCTCTGTGACCTTGTGCAAGTTACTGAACCATAAAGTAGAAGTTGGGGCTGGAGTGATAACACAGCGGGTAGGGTGTTTGCCTTGCACGCAGCCGAGCTGGGTTCAATTCCCAGCATCCCACATGGTCCCCTGAGTACTGCCAGGAGTAACCCCTGTGTGCATGAGTAATTCCTGAGTGCATGAGCCAGGAGTAACCCCTGTGCATCGCCAGGTGTGACCCAAAAAGCAAAAAAGAAATAAAAAGTAGAAGTAATAATATTTCTGCATAAATGTGCGATAAGGAAAAAGTGTAAAGTAGTGTACATGATGTCTAGCACCAAGTAAACTCACCAAAAAGTTCTTTGTGTATATAATGCTTCAGAAATAAATTTTTCATTAACTCTTCATTTAATCTGGTATTAACCTGGCTGTGAAGGTTCCTTCCAACATGCCCTCAAATGATCTCTTTTACCTTAAGGTAGGTAAAATTCACATTAGCACTGAGAGTTTCAAAGTTTTCCGTAGTTTCTGCTCAAACTTCCTGGATTGAAGGCAATTTTCTGAATCTCTTGTATAGGATGGGATCTTGTATCCCTGAATCCTCAGAATATTTGTTGTTGTTTTGGGGCCACACCTGGTGGTTCCTGGAGGCAGTACTCCTAGCTTGATATTCATGGGTCCTCCCTAGCACTGCTGGGAAGATCACATGATACAAGGGACTGAACTTGGGGCTAATGTTCATTGAGAGAAAAGAGGGTTTCCGTAGAGGGGGTCCATCGGACAGGTAGAGAGGAGCAAGGAGCTGCAGTTCTCCTCACCTGGGCATCCTGTCTGAGGAGAGCATCATCCAGAAAATTTCCTTGATCTCTGCCACCCTGAGGAAGAGAGGGAGAGAATATCCATGAGTTCTGTGGGGACTAGGGATGACTCGTTTAATTGAAAATATCCAGGAACCTGTGACTGGAAGGCCACAAAGGCTGGCGCTGAGTCCAGGATGAGAAGACAGCTGTCCTTTGAACATTGTATGTTATTCAAGTGACTAATCTGAGCACAGATCTGTGCACATGGCTGGTCATCATTGTCTATGGCTAGCCACGCAGGGGCTCACCCAGGGGCTCACCCAGGGTTGCGTGGGTGTTTCTGCCATCAAAGGAGAAGCTTAATATAATGATGACTACTCCCTCCACTCCCGCCTCTTGCCCCACGCCCCACCCCTGTCTTCGAAGCTGACTCAGCCTTGCTAACTGCAACTCCTCATGCATCGATTCCACCCAATGGGAGCTGGGAACAGAAGTGAATCAAGAGGCTCTGGGACCAGCAGTGGGCTTTGAGATGCCTATAACGTCTCTTTAATACCAGCTCACATAGAGGGTGGGGCTGAAGCTTGGAAGGGATGCTGACTAAAGCAGCTACTCTCCTCTGGGGTGGACGGCCTGGTGGAGAAGGGGAGGGTTGACTATTTTTATCTCAATGCTAGTTCAGTAATCTGCAGTCTAAGCATGCTCAGCCATGTGGCAGGGCTGGGAGGAAAAGAAATGATGGATGGTAAATCGGGTGGGCACTATGAAGTCAGTATCAGAGTAGAAGCAGGAGGGAGTTGGAGATGATTCGTGGAGATGGGGATTTGGTTGTCAGAACAGAGACAGGTGGCCAGGTAGTACTGCAGGATTGAGGGGTTGACAAGATCAGGGTTAGGTCTTGGAGGACTGAACAGAGGTGATGACAGAATCTCCTTAAAGAAACACCTAAGGGGCTGGAGCAATAGCTTAGTGGGTAGGGCATTTGCCTTGCACACGGCTGGCCCGGGTTCGGTTCCCAGCATCCCATATGACCTCCCCTCCCCCCCCCCCCCCAGCACCGCCAGGGGTAATTCCTGAGTGCAGAGACAGGAGCAACCCCTGAGCATTGCTGGGTGTGACCCAAAAAGCAAAAAAAAAAAAAAAAGAAAACGAAAGAAAGAAAGAAAGAAAGGAAGAAAGAAAGAAAGGAAGACCCAAAAGGGAGGGAAAAAAAGAGCCTCAATCTCAGTGGGGAGGGGAGGGCTAATGAGGAAACTCAGAACTGCAGGAACTACCCGTGTGCTCATCTGCTTTTCTGGCACATCTGCTGCCGCACTAGCCTAGCCCTGCTTCATTCTGAGACCTGGTCTCTCAGTCTCCAGTTCAATCCACTTTAAGCGTCAACATCACCATTGCAGCAGTGGCCTGGGAATGCACTGCCAAGCCTCCAGCAGCTCCCATCTGCTCTCCAGCAAGATCCCAGCTCCTCTTCCTGTCTCCTCCCCCACTTCCATCACAGATGTCCAATGCAGTTGCTCAACCAATGGTTCCCTCAACGCCTCCATGTTTCCTGCCTGGAGAGCACCCCCGCACCCCCCTGCCTCTTGAGACCCTACCAAGACTCCAGGTCCGGTTGGCCACAAAGGCTTTCCTTTGCCCCACAACCAAAATCCCTCCTCAAACCTTCCCTCTACTCTACGTCTCTCCTACTGCTCCTTAGCAACCTCTGTACCTGATGCACCAGCGCTGACAGCCCCAAATCGCCATCTTCCTAACCCTCAATGCTCTTATGCAAATCGAGCCTGTCTGCAGTACTTGGCAGGTATAAATGATAAAGGATGGATGAAAAAAGAGACCTAAGAACAAGACCTGGGAACAGGCACCATTTGGTCAGCTGAAATAATGAGAAGGCTGGAAAGGGGATACAGAATGGGCACTTCAGTATCCCCCCCACCCCCTTCAGAACAGCCAACCAACTGGGGGAGCAAATACTCACAGCACACAGAGACACCAGCACCCGCTGGAACATGAAAGATGTGTCCGAGCGAATGTCATCTTCCAGGCTCCGCCCATATTCTAGCAAGAGAAAATTCACAGCATCAGAATCACATCCTGCCTAACACATTGAAGAACCTTCTGTCCTCTCTGGAACCAGCCTGTTGGCCAAAGCAGCTCACCTGGGCCATTTTCCCCCCACCCCATTCACGGTTTTTCCAAAACTAAAACTCTGGTCAAATGCTCAAGTTGAGTTGAGTTTGTCGTTCTCATCAGGCTGAGGTGTTCCTGGCCCTTAAACTGCAGTTCTTGCTCTTAGGTTCTGACTGCACATGTGTTTGTCCTAAAGGTGACATGGTGCAAGGAGAACCCCTCGAGGCCATTCCCAGGGACCTAAGATTAACATGCTACATTAACATGCTACTGCCATTTCCCCACAAGCATTGTGGATTCTCTACTTGATAACAGACACACTTGGAGAAGAAGACATTGCCCTGGGTTGCCTCATCAGACTAAGATCTTTACCTCAGACATCTCAAGAAGCTGATAGTCATTGCCTAGATACGAACCTGCCTCATAGGAAGAGTCTGCAATAGAGGACTCATTATGGCCAATGTTTCAATGCCTAAAGTTGATCCAGTAGGTAACTATCAATCTCAGATGACAAGGAAACATCCACCCTGAGGTGCTACTTACGCAGCTGGTAGGTCTGGTTAATGCGCTGAATCTCCTCAGTTGACCGTGAAGCCAGGATCTCAATCAGGCAGCCTTCATCTGTGCCAGCTCCCTAAAACCCAGAGGAAAGGACGTTAGGAGCCAGTTGACAAAACTGAGTCCCACACACCCAAGGAAGACAGTTGGGAGTCTGCAGAAAAGGAAGAAAACTCACTGAATTTTAGCAACAAAAGCTGTTTGTGGTTTTTTTTTTCTTTTTGGTTTAGATGTGTGTGTGTGTGTGTGTGTGTGTGTGTGTGTGTGTGTGTGTGTGTGTGAAGCAAGCTAGTTTTTTACTGAAACTTATTTAGAAAGATATGATGGGGGAGAAAGGGAGAAGTGTGTGCTGAAGACAGAACACAGGCTTCTCCAGAGTGAAAACAGGCAGGCAAAAAAACACAGACGCAGCAAACCAGATACATGTTCAAGTGAGAACACTTGGAAGAGCAAGCCTAAGATCTACTAGTATTTAATGATCCTGCCCAAACTCCCATCATGTTTGCCAGTAAATATTAGCATCAGTTGGCTTTGAGATGCTGTTTTTCCGCATCGGTTAGGAAACCAGGTTAGGGGCAATTTCTGCTCTCTGAGGGCTTCTTCAGCTTCCTATTCTCTTCCCTTAAAGGACAGAATTCTCTTGTGAAGGTTATTAGTGAACTCTATTTTCCCAAAAGCACCGCAAAGAAACTTGTATATGGCTCTGTATTTTCTGACATGACTGAAGAGGGTGATGGTATAAGAACTTAGTTCTTGGCAATCAGGGACCTGAGTGTGGGCACACTATGCCTGGTAGCCAGGGAAGCAGAGAACCCTTTCGGACCAGTTCTGAGTCTCTAGCAATGCGTCTATCACAAAGTTTCCTATCTCAGAAGTAGTTAATTTGGCAAAGATGTTTCCGGAGCTGCCCCCAAGGCACAATAATCATCATTCCCTCCCTCTGGCATTACAGGAATGAGAAAATGATCTATCTCATAGATTTGGGGAAACAATTTCTCAGCTGCAATGGCTGTAATGCAAGGTCTTGTTTTCAAGCAGTCCTCAATGAGAGGAAATCTTTCTCTTGGAGCTGCTTCTCCTCCTCCCAGGAGGCCTTTGCCCCAGCACCTTGAGAAAGCCTGTCCGAGGGGCAGGACAGACCAAGCACACACACACAGCATGCCGGTAGGAGTCTCACCTTCATGGCCTTGCGCAGCTCCTGCACATCATACAGCACCGTGGGGGTCATCATGCCCAGGATCACCTGCTCGAAGTTGCCGCTCAGTTCTGACTTCAGGTCATCCAACAGGTCCTGCCAAACGAGAGAGCGGCTGAGCTGATCAGCCACAGTGACTTCACAGTGTGGTCCAGGGGTGCCTGCAGTTTCTGAGGCCCTCTGTGGGGCAGGGGAACTGCACAGGGAAAACTCACCAGGATAACACTAAGATGTCACTTGTCTTTACACGGATATGCTCTCCTAACCATATAGTGGAACTTTTCAAAGGCTGCTGACATAGCTACGCTTCTGTTAAAGGCTATTAAGAATACTCCTTCCAGGGACTCGAGTGATAGCACAGTGGGTAGGGCGTTTGCTTTCCACACAGCCGACCCAGGTTCGATCCCTGGCATCCCATATGGTCCCCCAAGCACCACCAGGAGTAATTTCTTAGTGCAGAGCCAGGAGTAACCCCTGAGCATTGCTGGGTGTGACCCAAAAAGCAAATAAATAAATAAATAAATAAATAAAAGACAAAAAGACACTGGTCTTAACTATACTTGATGGTATAGTTAAGACATGCAGCTGACCCTGGTTGGATTCCCAGCACTGCCAGAAGCCCCAGGTGGCCCTTCCCTGAGAGTCTCAAATGCTTCAGTTCAATGCATGGGCCCAAGGATGTGATGTTGTTCAGGCCTGTGGTGCAGGGATTAACCAGGTCACACTCCAGCTGTGCCCACCCTACTGATGCTCAGGGAACCAGATGGTCTGGGGATTGAAGTGGGATCAGCCACATGCAAGCATGAGTCTTAATCTGTATATTTTCTCTCCTGCCACCACAAGAACTCCTCCCTTACCAACTAGATCTGGAAGAGACCAAATTTTTCTCATATACTTCAACCAAAATCACATTATCACAATAAACTGAAAGTAGAAGCAGACATGAAAATTTGGTTGTCTTCCATTAAGGGAAATGTTAAATCTGCAAAATGTAAACTAACATCAATCTTGTCACTTACTTTTCTTGTTTTGGAATATATAGCTATAGTAATTGAAATTATCTATGTCAATGCATGATGTAGTAATTGCAGGGGCGTGGAATCCTTTTGCTGAAAAGGGCTATATGAATATTTTTGTTTTGTTTTTTTATTTGGGGGCAACACCTGGTGATGCTCAAGGGTTACTCCTGGCTTTGCACTCAAAAATTACTCCTGATGGAGCTCAGGAGACCTAATGAGATGCTAGAGATTGAACATAATTCAGCAGTATGCAAGGTAAACACCCTATACTATAGCCCCAGTCCAATATACGGATATTTTAAACAATATTTTTAGGTCATACAATTAAGGTAAAGGGACTGAGAAGCATTTGTGTCTGTCCAGTTATGAACCAGAAACTAATGATGGGCTTTATATGGCCCATCAGCCAGACACTATCCACCCTAGTTCATTGTTTTTAAAATAAGTTAACAAACAGATATGTAGAAATGTCTTCATGGTAATATGGTAACTATCAAATATGTTACAATCTCCTCAATAAAGTTCTCAATAATGTAACAGAGTCTAAAGGATCCTGAAATTGAAAAGCTTGGAGACATTGATTTCACCGTGTTTGCAAACTTAACAATACTTTAAATATGTTTACACGACATTTTTAAGCTGCTGAAATTTTTATGTTGTAAAATTAATACAATTTCTGTAGCCAGTTATCTGCTTATGCAATAAATGTATGCATTTAGTGGTGTCTTTGTGATCATTCATGATCATTTTGTAGGGTTCAGTTCCTGAAAAGAAATGTAAATTATTTGGAAAAAGGTCAAGTTCCAAAGACACTTGTTCACATTTTCTCCTAGAATACATCAGAGAATTTAATAAATTTCTTAAGCTTAAATGACTCATGAAGTGTTGAGTTGCTATTCAAGTCCCAACTTCTGATTCTCATAAGTCTGCTTCTACAATACTGCACTGCAAGACTGTATGTGCATATTTTAATGTTAAATCAATAGATATTGAATAAATGAATGAATGAACAAGCACAAAAAGTGGTTCTCAGCAAATATGTTAGTGTGGGTCATTCTTGACAAGCAGCCAATCACATTAGCTTAGCTCTGAAATTTATAATCAACCCTACCATTTGAGGCAATACCCTTTAGATTTCAAGTTCATGAGACATTCGCCTTTGTGCTGATTGAATTTATTTGAAGATGGAGAAAAGTTTAGAATGCCTACAAGATACTCTGGGCAATCCGATCAAAAGAATTCCATTTTTTACCAGGATGCCTAGCCATGGTGCCCATGCAAGGCCCTGGGGATCTACTGAGCCAGCCCAGTTCCTTCTGCAAGTTTAAGGCTGCCTGAGAAGAAACAGTCAAACCTCTCTCTTTGGGTGTGACCCAAAAAACAAAAAAGGAAGAAGAAACAGCTGCAGAGTCCAGAGATGGCTCAATGAACTGAGTGCGAGTTTTGCGTACGAGAGGCCCTGGTTCCTGGCCCCGTTGGGTTCCTAGCACTGTCGGGTTCCCAGATCGCTTCCAGGAATGACACGTCCCAACCATGTACAGAGCTGGGAGTAGCCCCCCAAGCACCACCAGGTGTGCAGCCTGACCCCCCTCTTGAGGAAAAGAGAAAAGCAGTTTCAGTCTGACAAGCTCTCCATTGTTGCAAGGACAGGAATGTTTATCACAGGGTTCCTACACTCTTGGGCCTAAAAACACTGATTGGCAACATTTCCTCAGTAAAAAGATGCTCTATGATCACCCAGCAAGCTTTTCAGTGACGTGGGAAGACTAAGGGGGCCAACTCTGATAAGTAAATCACTGAGGAGACTGATGGAAGGTCCGGAGGGGTGTGGGTTCAAACTGAAAGGGGAAAATCTGATGAGGCAGCAACCTCTGAATGCTTGCAGAGATAAGCAGAAGCTTAAAGCTCCATTTGAGAATTTGAGGATGTGTCCCTCAATTGAGGAGCCTCATAAGAACGAACACATGTTACAAAAGCAGTTTCTACTCTCAATGCCTCTTTTGCAAACCACAGCACCCAAAAGGAGAGAGAGAACAAAAGGGAATGCCCTGCCACAGATGCAGGGCGGGATGGTGGGGGCGGGGTGAGAGGGATACTGGGATCCGTGGTGGTGGAGAATGGGCACTGGTGGAGGGATGATATTTGATCATTGTATAATTGAAATCCAAGCACAAAAATGTGTAAGTCTGCAACTGTACTTCATGATGTCTCACTATCAAAAACTTTTTTTAATAAATAAAAAAAAAACACAAGACAGTTAAGAAAATGAAAAAAATTTTTTGTAAGTCTACAACTGTACCTCATGGTGTTTCACTAATAAAAATTTAAGAAAAAAAAAGATTTAAAAATTGGTTGACAGTGTTGCTCATGAAGTTCTATAAATGCAATAATTTTCATGAACAACTTTGTAAAGGCCTATCTGACAGTGATTCAATAAAAAATAGTAATGATTTTAAAAAATAAAATAAAAATAAAAATCATTTCTAACAAATTGAAAAAAAAAAAGAAACAAAAGCAGTTTCTGTGGAAGAACAGAAATAGACCTTATGCCTGCCACAGAGGCAGGCAGGGTTGGGAGTAGCTTGAAAGGGTGGGAGGGAAACTGGGAACACTGGTACTAGGAAATTATACTGGTGGAGGGATGGGTGTTGGAACATTGTATGACTGAAATGTAATTATGAACAGCTTTGTAATGCTCTATCTCAAAGTGATTCTTTATACACACACACACACAACACGTGTGTGTGTGTGTGTGTATATATATATATATGTATATATATATATATATAGCTTTTTTGGGTCACATCCAGCAATGCTCAGGGATTACTCCTGGTTCTGCACTCAGGAATTACTTCTGGTGGTGCTTAGGGGATCATATGAAATGCTGGGGATTGAACCCAGCTCCAGCCCCTCAGTGATTAAAAAAAAAATAGACCTTAAATGGCATGAGAGTCTGTTAGAATAAACAGAGTTTAAATATGCTAGCCATATTTAACTAGGGGGTGACTATCCACAGTGGTCTAAAAGAAGCTGGGTCAGGCCCAGGGAAACAAGTCTGGCTGTTTAGTCCTCCAATCAAGTTCCTATGATGTTAGGATAACAAGAGACCAAGCTTCATCTGGAGTTCTATGAATCAAGAGTTCCTTGGAATCACTTCCGGTTAGCAACAAAGAAAAACCTGACATGAAACTTCTTCTCAAGAGGATCATTTATAAACTCAAGGCCACTTTGGGAGTCTAGAGGGGGAACTGCTTCCTGGGTAGGTCTAGCGGCAACGGAGTCCATCATGGCACAGAGCCCGAGAGGTGGCACTTACCCTGCCAACATTGGTCTTGTAGGCTGTCCTGATCTCCTGGCGCTGGGCAGTGCTGCGGTGGGCCAAGATGTTGATAATGGCATCTTCATCAGTGCCTGGGGTGGAGCAGAGATAATGGATGTGGTTTGAGAAAGGAATGAAAAAACAAGTTTCATGGCAGATATCAAAGTCACCCAAACACGCAGAGAGCTTGCTAAGAGGTCCTTGTTCAGAGGGTTTGCCTTTTTTTTTTTTTCTTTTTTTGCTTTCTGAGTCACACTGGGTGATGCACAGGGGTTACTTCTGACTCATGCACTCAGGAATTACTCCTGGCAGTGCTCAGGGGTTACTTCTGACTCATGCTGGGAATCGAATCCAGGTCGGCCACGTGCAAGGCTAACACCTTACCTGCTGTGCTATCACTCCAGCCCAGGGTTTGCACTTTTTGTTTTATTTTTTTTCAGGGCAGGAACAAACCCTAGATTTGAGTCTCTGCCTCTCTGTTAATATGTGTATCCCATTAAACAAAAGAATGGACTTTACTGAGTATGCATTTCCTTTTCTAAAAAGGTGAGTGATTGATCACAACTCACTGCCAGTGTAAAATAAACCAATTGAGGGATTGAAGAGAGTACAGCGGTTACATGCAGCTGACCAGAGTTCGATGCCTGGTACCACATATGATCCCTCGAGTCCCACCAGGAGTGATCTCTAAGCACAGAGCCAAGAGAAAGCCCTGAGCCTTGCCAGATGTGTTCCTAAATGTCTCTAAAACTAAACAACAGCAGCCACCCCCACCCCAAAACTTAACCAAACAAACAAACAACAACAACAAAAAAAACACACAACAAAAAAGCAACTGAGTGAATTACTTAGTATGGTGCCCAGTACTACCTAAATATTCAATAAGTGTTTGGGGGCCCCGCCTAGCGGTGCTCAGGCTATTCTCAGATCAGTGCTCCAGGTACCATGTGGTGGTAGGAATCGAATCCGGCTCTCACACATGTAACGCACGTGTTCTACCACTTGGCCACATCCTCAAGCTCCCCCACTGCACTTCCTTCAAGCGAGACCCACTGATGAGCACCCTCAGCCAGAGCCGCTGTATGGCCGGGGCACATGGCTCCCAGGCTGCATTCGCCTGCAGCGGACACTCACCAAGCCCCTTCATGGCCTTCCTTAGGTTCTGCGCATCTTCGACGGCGTTGAATCCTGGAGCAGCTTTGACAGTCCCTCCTTTGGTTGCCTGGGCACAAGGAGAAACGTTGTGACTAAGGTAGCATCTCATTCAGCACACACTCAGGCGCCTCCCCGGGGGCCCACGCTAATCGAGGAGCCAAGAAGAGAGCAGGTTCTTCTCCAGTGAGCTCAGGTCCTTGGTCATGGGAAGCAGCAGGCAGTGGACAGGAAAGCGAGTCAGCCAGCACATTCCCCTCCACGCAGGGAGGTGAGGAAGGATCTGGTGCAGGAGGAGAAGCCTGGGAGCAGCTATTCTGAGGAGTGACTCTGAGACTGAACAATGACGTGCCTTAGCTGACTGTGCCATAGCTGACCAGGTCACGGATGACCGTGCCAAGATGTTAAACACAACAGTGTAAGGCTTCTAGTAAGTGAGTCCAAGCCCTGAGTCACCCTCAGCTCTATGTCCCTGTTCTGGGGTCCCTCCATCTGTCGTGGCTGTGTTGGACCTAACTGGGACATGCCACGTGTGAGAATTTCTCTGAGGAGACTGTCTTCTTGCATCCTCTCCTGCAGTTAAAGCCTAAGAAATAACCAAAAGGCATTTTGCTTCTTTTTTTGTTTTTTGGACCACACCTGGCCAATGCTCAAGGGTCACTCCGGCCTCTGCACTCAGGAATCACTCCTGGTAGAACTCAGGGGATATATAGGATGCCAGGGATCGAACCCAGGTTGGCTATGTACAAGGTAAGTACCCTACCTGCTGTACTATCTCTCTGGTTCCACATCTTTCTTCTTGCCTTCTACAGTAAGTCAGTAGTAATAAGCAAATTGGTGATTTGCCATCAAAATTCCTACAAGGTCTCACTCAGTCTTTGGTCCAAACATGAGACAGTTTTCTGAGTCAGATGCTTCAGGAACTTTGTTATTGAAAAAGGTGTAGCTGATACTCAAATATTGCATTTGACTTTAAAACCAACTGCATTACTGAAGGACACTTACGTGATTAAGGTTAATATCTGACAAGGTGATCGATAGAGGGATTTGCAAGAATGGCTCAGTTTGTCAATAAGCATTTTTAGTGAGGGCTTTTTTTTTCAGGAAAAGATAAGCTTTAGGGTGAGCCCTAAAGTGTCTGTATTGATTAAATTCCAGGGCACGATGCCCCATTACCGGTGCTGGGAAGGCAGGGATTCCATCCGAGACCGGCTTTGTATGGTCGCAGGCAAAGAGAACAGGAGGATGGGAAAGAACAACAAAAACAAGAACTAGAAATGGGTGATACATCATAATAGATGAAAATTTTTTTAGTTATTAAAAATAATCACGAGGGGCTGGAGCGATAATACAGCGGGTAGAGCACTTGCCTTGCATGTGGCTGACCTGGGTTCAATCCCCAGCATCCCATATAGTTCCCTGGGCACAACCAGGAGTAACCCCTAAGTACAGAGCTAGGAGTAACCTCTGAACATTGCTAGGTGTGGCCCAGACCCTCCCACCCCCAATAAAAATAATAATAAAAGTGGTAAATGTTAAAAAGATTGACATGCAATTCAATGAATGCTATTCAGCAATAAAAAACAGTGGAGTAACAACTGATGAAATTTAGCAGCACTGATAACTTGCAAAAATTCTGAACACATAGACTCTAGATTCCATTTGTAGAATGTTCTAGAACAGATCAAACTAATAATCCTAGATTAGGCAAAACAGTAGCACATATCTGGGGACAAGTGGGGAGTATGATGACATGGTTTGTCTTAATAGGGAAATAAATTACATATACATACAAACATATGTATGTACAACTCATCTAACCTAAGACAGTTGAACCTTTCACTACATGTAAATTATTCCTCTTTAATTTTTTTTTGTCTGTTTTTGGATCACAACAGGCTGTGCTCAGGGCTTATTCCTGGCTCTGTATTCAGAGGTGTTATTCCTGGAGATACTCTGGGACCATATGTGGTGCCAGGGGTTAAAGTCAGGTTGAATAAACGCAAGGCAAGTGCCTGACCTGCTGTACTTTCTCTTCACCCCTCCCCATTAATTTGAAATCAATTTTTTAAATGTCATTATTTCTTACATTGTTTTTTCACTTTCAAATCCTCTCTCTCATAAGGGCTGGAAACATAGCTCATAATTAGAGTACTTGTCTCACATACTATATATGAGGTCCTGGGTTTGATATTTGGCACCAAAAAATAATTAATGAAGAGCAGATCATTATTCATTTAGGATCATTTACATGTCCCTCTTTCTTTCTTTCTTTTTTTAAATGTAGGAGTACTGCCATTGATTAAGCTGATTGAATCGCATGTTCCTCTTTCTAAAGACATCTGGAGCTGCATCTAGTTCCTCTACAGGTATCCGATTCTATTTGTATCATTTCTTCCCAGATGACCAGAGATCCAAACCACATGCCTATTCAGAAACCTCCCTTGGGTGAGAGAAGCAAAGCAGATGGTTGGCCTAGGGAGGGGCGGGGGGAGCCGGGTGTGCAGCTAAGAGGCTCAGTTTCCACAGCAGCTTAGAACTTTATGAAACTCTTGAAGGGATCAGTTTTCCCACCAGTCCCAAAGATCAGATAACCACACTGGGAGGAATCCAATCAAAGTAGCAGGAGGAGGACAAGTCCATATGGCTAAGAAAACCCTTCTAGATGAACCTGGGAGAATGGGGTTACATCAAATATCAAGGGCACAATGCCCCATATCAGGTTCTGTGAAGTGATTGGTAATCATTGGTAGGAGAATCTGAGATTTGGGAGTTTTCCTTTATCTTGGCCGAAATTTTCTACAAGAAATGTGCAACACTTCTGCAGAAAGAAAAGCATACATTGTTTCTGCATCTCGGGATGTTAAAGAACTCAAAGGATTCACTCTCTGTGTTAACTTTCAGGGTCCAGGTACTCACCACCCCGGAAAGAAATCAAGCTGCTGTTCCATTTCCTCTTCCCTCCCCCGTGCTGTGCAAACAGCCTTCCAAATGAGACAATAGTCATAAGTCTACACACCTGGTACCTGTCTGTGGCTGGCACGGGAGGGCGAGGCTCCCCCACTTACCATGGCCATGACTTAATTTCCAGATCAGAGTTCAGTCACAGGAGCAGAAGTTTCTCTGTGATAAGAGAGAGGAAATGACTGTGATGAGTAAATTGTTATTAGAATTGTTAATCTAGATATCCTACAGGTAGCAAGAAGTTAAGCCATGGATAAGTGATACTCAGTTTCCTCAAAAGGTCAGCTATTGATTAGCCAAAGACACCAAGGCCAGGCTAATAAGTAAAGAGAAACGGTTTGAATGGCTAGGTTTACGAGGCCAGCAAAATACTTGATCTTATCGCTCTTCTGTTTGGGAACACACATTACAGAAATAATTCCTATTCTTTGGTCAAGGGAACATAACATTATCTGTACTAGAGGCATACCCAGAATTTTTTTAATTGTTAATTTTGTTCTAGTTTAACCAAGTGACGACACTCCACCATCACCAAGTGCCCACAATCCCCACAACTGTTGTGAAGTCACCTGTTGACTTGTCAACATCCTTCCCCTCCCCAGACCTCCACTGCTTGGTTTTGTAATCCAAGGTCAAGGATTTGAAGTTGCTTAATACTGTGATTTCCCTTTTTTTTTTTTGTCTCACTATATACCACAGATGTGTGAGATCCTTCAAAGTTTTTTCTTTTCCCTCTGAGTTATTTCACTGATCACGAAACCCACCTGTATTCTCCAATTTTGTCCACATTGCAGTGAACCACATAATTTCACCTTCACCTTTTCTTAGAACAGCACAATATTCCACTGTATACATGTACTCATGACTTTTTTATCCACTCATCTTTCTTTGGTCACTTAGCAGACCCACATTCTGAACTGCATGCTTTAGTGGACTAGAAAGGGGCCTCATCAAAGAAAGGGATTGATGGGGCTGGAGCGATAGCACTGCGGGTAGGGTGTTTGCCTTGCCCACAGCCAGCCTGGGTTCAATTCCCAGCATCCCATATGGTCCCCTGAGCACCACCAGGAGTGATCCCTGAGTGTAAAGCCAGGAGTAACCCCTGAGCTCTGGCATCCACTCTATGTGTGAACATATGTGTATAGGCTCAAAGACAGGCCAGGGGTCCCATCAGTATTAGACTCTTGATTTCCCATTTACCCCTTTCACTACCATGTCGTGAGACTTCATGGTGCTACCCTTCAAGTTACAGCCTCACACTAAGCCTTGCCCTGACTCCTTTACAGCACCCCTTCCTTCATCAAGAACATGACTCAAACATTCATCCAGTCATTCAGAACACAAGAAATAACTTTCTTGTAGGCTAAGACTCTCAAGAATTCTCATATTGACAAGCTTTCTGTTTCTAAGTCCTCTCTAGATGAGGTCCATTTGCTAAGCATTTCAGATCCTGGACACTCAAAGAATCATCCCAGAAACATAAACCTAAGCATCACTTGGGAGTTGGCTAAGAATGCAGAATCTCAGATTCCCCTCCAGATTGCTTTCCAGAATCTCCATTTTCACAGGATTTTCCAAATATCTGTCTGCACAGTGGTTTGGAAAAGCACAGACCTGGACAACCCTTCTAAAGAGCTCTGTCCAATTATTATTCCCCAAGAATAATAAAATCTTTCTTAATACATTTATGTTATTAGGTTTTTTGGGAGGTAGGGGGCACAACTGACTTTAGGGGTTACATTCAGCCCAAGGCTCAGGAGTCGCTCCTAGCGGTACAAGGGAGATGGGGCAGTGCTGGCTACCGAACTGGGCCTCCTGCTTGCAAAGCATGTACTCATTCTGTTTAGCAACCTCTCTACCCCATTAACCTGCTTCACTATCAACTAAACCAGGGTTAGCTAAGTTCATCATTCATCTTTCCTTAAGCCCAGTCCCTTTCTTCCTTGTTCCTATCATTCACTGCAGACATAACTTACACTACACAGGGGTTCAAGCCCTTTCCAGTGTATTTCAGTGGTCAGCTCACACACTCACTCGTGGTACTGGGCATGCCAAACAGCAGCACTGCGGGGATGGTACCCCACATGTCTGGGTAGCACTGGGGATCCAACTCTAAGGCTCTCACCTGCCACTGAGCCATCCCCTGGGCCGCCCAAAGCCTGTTTCTATCCCGTCTAAAAGCTAAGGGTGGTTTACTATTTTCAATGGTTCACATGAAAAGGAAAGGGTAGAAAAGAAAAGATAATGTTTTATGATGTGAAAATTATATGAAACTTAAATTTCAGGATTTATAAGGCTTGCTGGTGCAGTCGCCAACATTCTGTTTACCCTTGAGTCATTTACTCTTGAATGGAATTGAGTAATCATGACAGACAGAGATGGTACAGCTCCAAAGCTGACAATACTTAGTATTTGGTCCTTCACAGAAAGTGTGCCAGACCTTGGTGTGAAGGAAGAAGAAGGAAGTTACCAAGAAGAAGCTGCTGTGGATCTGGGACCATCAGCACTGAGATCAGAATGAGGAGAAGGGCTAATCCGTCTAAGTTGTGGAAGAGAACTCCTTCAGGTAGAAGGATTGTTCATGCAAAGGCCCTGGGATCACAAAGAATGTGCTATGTATGAGAAATGGAGAAAAGTATGAAGAAAACAGAGCAAAATGTACAACTTTGTTATGCTCTATTTCACCGTGATTCAATAAAATTTAAAAAAATTATTAAAAAAGAAAAAGAAAACAGAGCAAAGTGACACAAGGTAAGGTGGCAGAGGGCTTGGCTATGGATGCATGAGAAATTTTGTCTTTCTCATTTGCCCAGAAAATGCTAGAGGAAGTTGTGACAAGGACTTTTGAAGCCTTTCATGGGCCCTGCCACTCCTTCATTTGTAGGCTCTGTTTCACATGCTATGAATTACCCAAACGCACCCACATCTCTCAATAAGTATAACACATGGATGCAAGAGAGATAGTACAGTGGGTAGGGGTGCTTGCCTTGCATGTGGCTGACCCGGGTTCAAGTCCTAGCATCTCATATAGTCCCCTGAGCACTTCCAGGAGTGATCCCTGAGTGTGGTAACCCTGAGAACCACAGACTGTGGCCCCAAAAGCCAAAATAATAATAATTTTTTAAAAAAACAAATAAATAACTCATAGAAGAGCTGGACCAGTTGCTGACAATTGGTTGACGACCTGGCAAGCAGAGTTTTAAGAAGCTTTGCTTCCATAACATTTGGAACAAATGATAATGAGCTAAGTACCAGAGAAGGGAGACTCCACCCCAAAAGCCAATACCATATTTTAAGCTATAATATAAGCACTGCTAGTTCTTTGACTCCATCCAGAAGCAGAAAGAGTGCTTGGGCAAAACCTTCTGGAAATTCTGAGCGTCAGTACTCAGTGACCTAAAAATATTTTAGTGGAGGGAAGAAATGTATCATAATTGAACACAGGGTGCTTTTAGTCAGATAATTTATTCTGAGACTTGGACCGCACACAGTATACATCCATTTACACAGAGACAGCTATTGAATATGTATTATTTACTAATCTGGAAGACATTTCTAAGTAGATTATAGAATAAATGCAGAAAATGGTACTCCTTGAATCTCTGATTAGATATTGGGCAGTGCTGCAAGGTTAACACACACAAATGCTGAAAGCATTGTCTGGCACCTAATCAGATCCAATAACTAACTCTTGGCAAGGACAAGGTGAGTGGAAAGGAGAGAAAGGGAAAAAGAGACCGCCCTTAGGTCTCCCCCACCCCCCACCGCCCTGGCACCGGCACCCCAGCACCCCGTATGGAACTGCTGCAGGAGTTGCTGCTGCTGCTTTGTTTGTTTTGGGGCCACACCTGGCTGTGCATAGGTGTTACTCCTGGCTTTGCACTCAGGAATCACTGAGTGGGGCTGCCGGGGAGTGAACCCGGGGGCTGCCACGTGCATAAAAGCACCCTATCTGCTCTACTGTCTCTCTGGCCCCTGATGCAGGAGCTGCTTCTGCTGCTCTTTTTAATCTTTTAAAAATGTAGTCACTGGGGATAGAGTGATAGCACAGCGGTAAGGCGTTTGCCTTGCACGAGGCCGACCCAGGTTCGATTCCCAGCATCCCATGTGGTCCCCTGAACACCGCCAGGAGTAATTCCTGAGTGCAGAGCCAAGAGTAATCCCTGTGCATCGCCGGAGATTTTTTTTCTTTTTGGTGTGACCCAAAAAGAAAAAAAAATAGTCACTGTGAAATTACAAAGTTATTCATGATTGGGTTTCAGGCATACAAGGTTTTAACACCCATCCCCTTCACTTGCCTCCACCAATACCCCCTCCCCAAATCCATTTGCCTCCACCCTAGCAGTTTGCTTCTACAAGAGGCTTTTTATACAGAGCAATAGCAGGGCTGGAGCGATAGCACAGCGGGTAGGGCGTTTGCCTTGCACGCAGCCAACATGGCTGACCCGAGTTCGATTCCTCCGCCCCTCTCGGAGAGCCTGGCTCGCCCACACGGCAGAGCCTGGCAAGTTACCTGTGATGTATTCGATATGCCAAACACAGTAACAAACACAGGCCCGCTCGAGCAAATCGATGAACAACGGGAGGACCGTGACCGCACTGTGATCGACAGTACTGTTGCCGATGGGGTTGGGGTTCCAGACAGAACACCTCACCACCCTCCAGCATCACCTCCTCCCCCCTGGGTGACGTCTTATCTCTCCTACAGATGTTGCCCCCTTCCCGTCCTTCCCCTACCACCACCCCCTAGACCCTTCAAATGGCATGTTCCTTACTTACTGGATACCAGTTCTCACGCTCTTTGTTTCCACTGTCTTTTGGTACTTGTAATTATATTATTATGTTTTCTTTATATTCCCTATATGAGAGATCTTTCTGTGTCGGTCTCTCTCCTCTGACTAACTTCACTCAACATGACACTCTCCAGGACCCTCCATGTGGCAGCAAATTTCATGACTTTCTCTTTTCTTATAACTGAGGAGTATTTTTAAAACTACAGTTTTTTTTCATCTATTCATCTATATTCATCTATTTTTGAACACTTGGGTTGTTTCCAGATTTTGGCAACTGTGGATAGTGCTGCAAGGAACAGAGGCATGCAAATGTCTTTTCTCCATTTTGTTTTAGGGCCCTTGGGGTATAATCTAGGAAGTGGAGTT